CCGAACTATCCCCTGATAGTGTGTGTGCCGCATCCCGTTTTGCCTCTTGGGAAGGAGGCGATCGCGGTGTATCCCGAAGATCGGGACCGCATTCGATGCCCATCAGCCCGTTGCGACGGCCTGATGGGCATCGAATGCGGTCCCGATATCGGGATACGAGCGGACCTATGAATAGTTCGGAAACAAAGACACATGCACAGCAGCGATGGTGGGCCCAGAAAGAGATGTTACAAGAACGTTCCGTGCGCATTTATACTCCAGAAAGGGTACCCCAATCCCAGGTCCTAGCCACCCTTCGAGAAGCCTCCAAAGCTGCAATTTTTGTACAGAAACCCCTGAGCTTGTCCCTGGGCGTCTCAAGTTCTCCAACACTTGTACCCAGCATGGTAAAATCCATCATATGTTCCACACAACAGGCTCAATTTCAGTCCCCAGCAAGTGATTCCAGTCCCCAGCGAGCAAATCCAGTCCCAAGCAAGCGAGTCCAGTCCCCGGCGATCGCGATCAGTCCCATGTAATCACTTTCAGTCCTAAGTACGCCCCTCCGTAATGTTCAGATCAGTAGAATATGATGAAGTCAGTAATGGCCGCCAATGAAATCGACAGTTCCGGCCTTGACACTCCATCAGAATGAACGTACATAACTAAATTAGCTCACTTGATGGTGAATTGCCGGCTCAGCTCTCCTTTCCCAGCTCAGGGCTCCGTTCCAGCTTATTCACACGTCAGGGGTTTGGTACAGTGGAGCTTGCAGCAAGGGCGGCTCTCTCCAAGTGAACTCCTGGACATCAAGCAGTAGAATAGAACAATTAGTACGCCTTTAGCTCACTAACTCCAAGCTGTGCCCGGCAACTCAGACAAGGTTGCAGCAGATCATATCAACCAATCAAACAGTTGATAAAGAACAACCTCAAACTGGTCATCTCAGAAGGGGTACTGCAAAGGATGGCGGTCCATTCTGGCCGACATCGCCAGAGATAGCGCAGTCAAATCACCCCTGAGCCGGCAGCTGAGCCACATCGACAGCATCAGCACCACGTCAGTTGAGGTTCACTGAACGACCAGACTTTTGCCCCTCTCACGAGCCGGCTCTTCACGAAGAACTGCTTGTCGTGCCAACGACGACCAGCTAAAACAGCAGCGACGGCAAGGGGAAGCTTCAAACAGGTAGCAAACATCCCACTGCCAGCCAACCATGCAAATACGCTTGTGCAAACTCTCACAGCTGCCGCTCAGAGCGCCTTAACCAGCCGCAACTGTTCCTCGACGGTCGGCAAAGTCAAAACGCGAGTCAGGTCCATGGGTCAGGGCTGCCTTGTCCGCAGCACGTCGGTGTATGACACGGAAAGCGCTTCTCTCCGCGTCGACAAGGCTGTGCAGAGACGAGGCCTGGCGAGTTCTGGTCGGTAACTAGACCACACTAGACACTAGGAAAAAAAGGGCCAAATAACACTTTTGCAAACACACACAAAACACATTTCATCATAGTTTTACACGCTAAGAACACAAAAATAACACAAACCCGTAAACTTGGTACACGTTTGAACACGTGTTATTCGGCCCTTTTTTCCTAGTGAGAGGTGCTGGTCCCGAACGGCAAGGAAACGCCTTGCAAACACAGCCCTGGCTGGTCGCGACCTTCGAAAAGATCGAGCGCTATTGCGCTCAGGCCGTGGCGAATGTTATGTGCGCGGCCAGGGGAGTCAGGCAGCCAGGCCGAACGCCTAGACCACCGTGTAAGACACACACGGACCCCACGCAGTCGTTCTTACAGCTTCCATGCCGAGTGCAACAATGGAGAGTCCCCCACGGCGCTGCTCGCGCCTCTAGTACTTGTAACCTCCCCTGAGTTTGAAATGCCTTCCCTATGAAACAACATCTTTGATTCCGCGGAATCTTTCCGCCACACTGCCGTGTCACCACAAATCACACCGGTGCGCTCTACTTCCCGGCCACGTAATACCCCACGGGGCCATATTCCCATCAAAAGCTACGTGACGCCTCCGCGCGCCCCTCCTGACTCTGTCTCACAGCGCCCTATGGCAGGTCGCACAGGGGGCACCCCCACCAACCCACCCACCCAGCCACCTACCACCACCACCAATCCAAACAGCGCCATCGCACATAAAATGCCATATCTTGCACATTAAGGATCCGTTTGGGGTGAAATCTTTTGCAAACGATTTCTTAAAACCACCTCTACACAACTTGGGATAGCAACAGCATGTTGCAAGTCTGACTTGCAACTGATTGATCCTTTCAAATCCAGATTCGATCAACTTTCACAAGTCCATTTTTGTGACCGATGGCACCCAACCTCCCGTGACAAGCCATCTTTCTCTGAGCTAGGGGCACACTTCTGAGCAGCTGGCATGCCACAGGACGCCAGAATTCTCCAGCACCATGCCAGGATGACAAATCCAGCTGCAGTACATTTGCTGGCCTCTCGCATCAGCCCTGCGACCTCCCGTTCCGCGCATCCACGGCGCCTGCGCTCGCTCGAACTCACCGCGCTCCGCCACACAGCCGACCGCGCAGGGGGAAAGGCCTGCCCGCTCGCCAGAACCCCCACAGCAACTTCAACCTCGATCCGTCTCAAACGGCGATTCGGTCGTGTGTCTGCCATCCCCCATCGGCAGCACCAAGGCCAGCCACGGCCGTCCCGGCTCGGTCAACGGGCATTGCTCGGAAAAACCGACGCAACCCGACTCGCCAAGCCTTTCTGCGTCCGATGCTCCCGGTCACGCGCGGCTGTAGCCCTTGCCAAAGCAAACGCACGTGCCCAACAATGACCTGGGTGCTTCTCAGCACTTCATCGTGTTTTCCAAACGTGCCTGACACCGGTGTGCCCGCGACGCGCGCTGCCACGTACTGGAGCTGTGTCCGGCATCACAAGTGCATTGCTTTTGTTTCTTTTGGCCATAAAGTGAGGCTGCCATGATCTCTCTTTGTCACTGAACTCATCTCCTTGCATTCTGAATGCCTTGGGCTAGGGTTGCTAGAACATTCTGGAGCACTCCTGCAGGCTTGGTTTCTACGTTTACGTTTACGTTTTTACTTTTACATTTTTACGCGCAAAAACGTAAATTTGCAGAAGGGCCTATTTTTACGGCTATTTTTACGTTTTACCGGCTCCCTGGGACACCCAGGTTATACGATGAAAGTGGCGTACAATGATCAGTCCTCCGCCAACTCTAGGCCCACAACACAATGTCCACCTCGGCCTTGGCAGGGCGATGATGGCGCTTAACAAAAACTCGTTTTCTGCCCCTTCCAGGGCACCTAGCTGCCACTCTCCAGACTCCGTAAGTCTGTATGTACTGTCCTTATGTACACCGGACAGCTTTTACGGTGTAAAAAACAAGCCTGCACCCCTGGTTGATGTTTTGGGGTTTCTGCCGCATTGAGCACCAACCTACTGGATGGAAATTACTGTGACGAAAGTGCTGAGGCTTTCGACATCCCCTCTGCATCATTTCTGGATCTCACGGGTCGCCAGCTGAGTGATATCCCTAAATTGCTAATTTTTTGATGAACCCCATTTATTGGCGACCCGAACAGTACTCAATAAATCGCCACAGCTACCGCCACACGTGGCGTCAGCTTTGAACCACCGCAGAAATGGCGTCCAAATGGCGAATCTTCCGGCAATGAACCGGTCAGGCAGGGAATTGGACACTCGCACGTCCGAGCTGAACTCGACGGCGAAGTACACCCGCAATGGGCATCTGTCAGCACAGCATGCTCACCGTTCAGCGGGGTACAGTCCCCGAAAGAGACACAAGGAATAGCGAGGTGGGCCCCAAGGTTCGCGTGTTCGCTGCAAACAAGGTTGCTCGTCCATAAATAACCCACGCCGCTTGGTGCGGCACCGGTACCGTGCACCTACCAAAGGTCGCATCAAATCCATACACGGTACCCCTGTACCTTACCCTTGGGTGCGCCACCCATGCCTAAACATACAGAATGCCCTGATCTATGTACTATCTCGTGATGCCCTGGGTTATGAACCCTTCCTAAGCCGCCGGGTGCGTTACCTAAGCCCCGAAATACGGATATCGCCCACTAAAGTACTGGCCCGAGTTACCCAGCCGAACCGTTTGTACCGCCTTCATCCTTTAGAGTCACACCGCTCAGGATGCTGCCACGCCCATCGCCCTAGCCACGGCATCATCTGCTGAACTTCCATGCTGTGGCACATGGTGCGGCACCCGCAGCTGTCGGCCACCATAAGGTACTAGAACTCGTACGGGTGCGACACCCATCATACTTCGCCCTCCTAAGTACGCAGAAATCCGCCTCCGGCGCTCCCATGGAAAGCCTGGTGGGTCCACTCGTCGCCCCGGGGTGTTTCCAGCTTTGTGGCACATCTCCAAAGTCATCAGCTTCGTCTCCAGGGGCTGGGCATGTCTTCCACTCATCCGTTGCATCTCCCATGGTCCAACCCGTCCTCCAGGCATCCGCCAGCAGCCGCATCATTGGGCCCTCAACATACTCCCATAAAAGGTCATCTTCTGTCATCAAGGCCTCCGGCACATTCTCATAGGGGCGCTTAGCATCAGTAGTAATCGCGGCTCGTTCACACAAAGGCGTTACCCGTCATCTAGACCACCACTTCGCCTCCGCACGGGCAGGGCACATCTCATAATCTACACAATCAATTATCAAGCATCCCCACGTTTATAGATAACCACAATCAGGTTACTAATGCATCATTAACGACAGAGTACCCGGTTCCGGCGGGGTACTTAGACAATCGCCACACCACACGGTGTGTCACAAACAAAAAGACGCAAGGAAAAACACCGGAGAAAAAATTGGCGTCGCCCATTTGTATTGCGGTTTGCGTGGCCTGCGTGGTTTGCGTGCCTTGTGGTCCGTCTCTGCGCCGGTCCCAGGCGCGCACTCCCAGGAGGCCTCCAACGCGCGGCCGGCCGGCCCCAGCCAGGACCACATAAGTTACAGACGGACCCGGACCATCCACGGGCCCCCTGTCCACGATGGCGGTGTCCAGGGACGGCATCCTGTACGAGAGGCTGCACCTCTACGAGGATGTCGACGCGGATGAGGATGGCGCAAAAGACCTGTCCACCTCGACGGCTGCGTCCGTGCTCAAGGGCGTGTCCAACCTGCTGGCGCCCAGGGACGCAGTGGGCGGCAAGTGGGGCCTGGGCAAGCCATCCGCGATGCTGAGCTGCGCTCAAAACCGGGAGAGATTGGCTGCGTTCGATCCGCGCACAGGGACTGTGTCCGTGCTCAGCGCCTTTCCAGAAGCCGCGGAACTTGTCAAAAAATTCGATCCTTCGGCCTCACCGCACCCTCCCCGCGATGGCAGAGATCCCGTCGTGCTGATGTCGTGGTCGGAGGATGCGGCTAAGCTTGTGATTGGCACGGCATCTGGCTGCATGTACGTGCTGGACGGCCAGGGGGAGCTGGTGAAGTCGTGGGGGCAGGGGGAGGCCTGGGCGAGGGCGGGCCTCGTCGGAGCAGCGTTCTTGCCGGACGGCAGCCTGCTGGTGCTGTCCGGCGCAAGTAGACTATACACTTTACCTCCTGAATTCGGTGCGCCCCGGTTTGAGCAGTCGATGTTGGCGCAACACACCGTGCCCAGGTGCATGGCGTACGACGCCAGGAGCGGGGTGCTGGCCATTGCGGGCGACGGGCTGTACGATCCGTTCAAGAAGCCCAAGGACGTGAAGGTGGCCAGGGATGAGGACAGGTTCATAACTTTGTCGCTGTGGAAGGGGGCCGGGGGGGATGCGTGGGAGAGCGCGCTGGCGGTCGGCACCCGGCCTGGCAGCGACTTTTTGGGAAAGATCACCGGCAGGGTGCAGCGGCCCACCCCTGAGGGCTGGGCGGTTAGCCCGTCCCCAACTGGGGAGCACGTGGCCTTGCGGGTGCCCGGCAGGGGGGTCAAGATCTTCTGCGTGGCGGATGGGGATTTCATGTCAGCGGTGGAGGGGGTGGATGGGGATGAGGAGGAGGTGGAGGGGGTAATGGCGGGCGTGGAGACCACCAGGCTGTTGATTGATGCGACCATGGTGGGGTGGTGGGGGGCAGGAGTGCTGGCCGTGCGGACGATCGGCCGGGGGATTAGCTTTGTGGAGCTGGAGGGGTTCAGGGAGGTGTCCGGGGGGTCGCACGGCGGGGAGTACGCTAAGGGGACGGTGGCAATCGTGGGCGGGGGGGAGAAGGGCTGCGTGTACGTGATGCAGCCGATGATGCTGGTGTCCGAGCGGCGGGTGAGGAAGCTCACGGGGAAGGAGGAACCCGAGCCGGAAAGGTATGGGCAGCGGTCATTGCGGGGACTGTTGCAAGTGACGTGCATGAACGGGTGGACTGAGGGGGCGAAGGCATTGGAAAGGCAGTGCCTTTGTTGCGGATGGGCTGCGATGATGATATGCATTGGGTTGCCAGTACAAGAGGCCACAATACAGACATTCGCTGAGAACTTGAAGTTGTCCGTCGCTTTACTCGTCGCCCCTCTGCTTTGGCCTCCTGTGGTTGGCAAACTGCCGCAACTTGCGCCCAGAGGAGCATTCTGTTGTGGGGCCCGTGCTCCTGAGAATTACTGCCGGCATTGCCCCACAATTGCGGTGTCAGTCTATTTGGTGGCATGTAGGGCAACTGCTGATTCTGCACGCCTTGACGAGCAGGGGCAACTGCATGAACCAGTCCCCCCTTAGCCGCAGGGACTGCTCTCCTCCCAGAATGTGCTTTCTGTGATGGTTAGCTGCGTCCTGGAGACTGTCTTCCCATCACATGCAGTCGTCCCCTGAACTGCTGCAGTGATTACCAGTTTTGTGACATCTCCAAACAATTTGTTGTGCTGCAATGCAAGACATCATCGCATGTGTGTTGCCTGCTGAGGCCTGTGACTGGCAGTGTTGGCCATGTGCAAAACAGCTGTGTTGCTGGGGTACAAGTTTGTCAAATTCAGTGCTGTGGAGTGAATGTCCGTGGAGTGACAAGCTGTGAGCTATCGGGAAACACACAGTGTGGATACCTTATTGCCCAAATTCGTTTGCAAGGTGCATGGACGCCGCTTGGCCTTGTCAAGGCAATAGTATCAGCCGATGGTGGCAGCTTCTGCTCATTGTTTTGTTTCAGATGCCATGTACTCATTGTTGTGTTCCGGATGTCAAAGGGACCCTCTGTTAATGGCCAGCGAGAGCCACGAGTGGCCAGACACCCTGAACATTGGTTGGACCCTGAACTCACTGGTGGAGAGGACGCCGGATGAGATGCTGGAACTGTATCTGAAGCGCCACGCGTGGGCGAGGGCACATGCCCTAGCGACCAACCAAGGGCTCGACAGTGACAGGGTCTACAAGTATAGGTGGACTGCGACGCCAATAGATGAATGGAATGTGAAAGAGAATCTGGAACCTGTGACAGATCGGCGATGGGTAATCGAACAGTGTGGGGTGAGAGTTGCGGATTCTGTCCAACTGCAGAGGTCGCTGTTTGAGTGTGGTGTGCGGGAGACGGAAAAGTGGTACGACTTTATATCGAATGCAACGGACGGAGCACAGGTTGGGGACGTTGTTCCACAGGGAGGGATCGCCGATCGGGAGTGGCTGCTGCAGAAGAGGATGGAGCTCATAGGGGCATTTGACAGGATGGAGACGTTCTGTGAGGTGCAGGAGGGTGGGTACTCTGCACAGGCCTACGCCGTGTTCCGAGACTGCGATTTGGTGGATGCCGCGAGGGCGTTTGCGGCCTTTGGTGATCTCATGGGTGTGCAGGTGAGTCATGCACACGTTGGCAGGTGTCGCTTGGAATAAATGCAACGGATGACGTGGGAAGTCCATGAAGTGCTTTGGCAGTATGATCGCAGAAGAGATGCAGGGCGACAGTTGATGGGAGCGATGATGAGAGCTTGAGCAGGGTGCATGAGCTTATGGTGATGGCATCGCAGATTGGCGAATAGTGCACATTTTGGCCCACAGTGGTTGTGGTGGATCTGTGCATCCTGTTGGTGTATGATTGGATATTGCACCCTGTCCAGGCACAGATGACAAGAAATGACACTCACACAAGTTTCTGCATTGCATCACTGTCCAGTGCACTGACAGTTATGTGCTGACACGTGTCTGGACTCTGGTATCATCAATCTATCCTCTTTCCTGTTGGGTTACAGCCTGCCTTCCTTGGTCAGGGTGACACACTGATGCCATCCGTCGAAAGTTGGCCCATTTCCCTTTGGCAAGTGGGACACCACTCGTTGGTGGCTGCTTAGATGCCAATTCGATAATGGCTGTGCGACCTGTCGACTGTAATATTGCTCTCCCTCTGGAATGTACTCCGCTTTTTATATACCCTCATGTTGGAATGCAAATTACCTTGCTTCTGTCCCTGCTGCTCAGAGTGCCCACTTCTATGCTGCAGATTCTGGTCCAGAGGCACACGCGAGCAGTTTTCCACAAGTTGCTGGACATCTTGTCCTGCATCCCAGAGACCACCGACCCCGGCCTGTACGCCCACCTGCTGCCTGCACCCGGCAGCACACCCAAGGACATCTTTGCGCCTGCGAGGGAGGCCGATTGGTCAGAGAACCCAGAAACCCTCCAGGTGTTGAAGGCCAACAATCCGGACATGAAGGCAAGCTGCACACCGATGCTGACTGAGCCCATTCTCACCCTGGACGACCTTGAGACGCAAGTGCTTGGCGCAGATGCACTGACGGAGTGGTACACTAACCGTGCATTGGACATCGACACTAACACCGGCCAGCTCAGCTTCTCCAAGGCTCTTCTCCAGATAGGGGTCGACAAGGGCCTTTCCGGGAGCGTCACAGAACTGTTGAAGTCTGTGCAAGTGCTGAGTGGCACTGTCAAGGGCTCGCAGGCTGGTTGGTCTGTTGGGCTGCAGGAGTTTTCGACGATGTCCAGGTCTGACAGGATAAGGGTGCTCCTGGAGGGCTCCACGATCTCCAGTCTAGAGTTGGACTTGGAAGAGCGAATATTGCCGTTCTTCGCTGGGCTGGACGACAGTCTTCGAGAGGAGGTGCTGGCAGACCTATATGCGAGTCAGATGGGGCCCCGCCTGGAGTGGTGCGAGCGCCTGGCAGAATTGGAGGGATCCGGTGTGCGTCTCTTTGGCAGTGGGCTCCGTGGGGCGTTTGCCTTTGCCAATTCTGTCACCTTGGGGATCCAGGCATGGCCGCATACTGGCCAGTGGGACCAGCTGAACGGGCTGCTGCTGAATGCCAAGTGCTGCTTGGAGGCTCATGAGCGGGCCTTGGAGGACAGCACAGTACCTGATTGCAGGAAGACGTGGTCCGAGCTGATGGCCAAGGTGAAGATCCTCAATGGTTGCATCTCGGCCGGGAAGAGGCTGGCGGGGCACGGCATGGCGATGTCGATTGACAAAATTGGGTCGCTGGACAGTGAGGGCGGCCTTCGGGCGGTGCGCACGATCTTGGCACGAGCATCCCGAACTGGACGTTCATGGGCCGATTCCAGGTGGGAGGGGCTCGCAAAAGATCTGCACTCGATCAGCAAGAGGCTGCCTGTGCCGCTCGAGCGCCAGACCGTTGCTGCAGAGCTCTGTAGGGCGCTGCTGCGTGCTGGAAAATTTGCCCAGGCGAAGGAGCAGATCGCAGGCGATGGGGACCCCACCCTGGATGAGAGCAGTGCAGGTGTGTAACTGCCTGCAGGCTGGCTGCTGAATGTGCTCAAGCGCCTTTCTATTGGGGGCCTCTGGTGTTGTGCCTGCACTGGTGTGGATTGCAGACAGTGAATAGTCCTGGATGGCATCAGCACCTGTTTTTGCAATTATTCAAATCTGCCCAGTACCTTGTGGCCAGACACATATACTGTTGTCATTGACCTGGCATCTCGATGCTGCAGAAAGTACCAAACTCCATTGGGTATGCTGAATGTATCAAGTTGGTATTGAGTCCAACAATCCCTTGACCGTTTGCTGCTCCTTGCACTGGACATGCATGCTGTTGATATAGTTGTTGACTGCCATTGTGTGCATATTTTCTGTGTTCAGATTGTTCCAGATCGTTTTCACAACGCTGGACGGGGTTTTGGAAGTGTCATTCAGGAAAAGGATGCCTGTTGCCTCCCAACTTCGCCGCCTTGTTTAGTGATCGTCGCTGTGCTGTTTCTGCAGAGATGCTCGTCCTGTCAGCTGGCCGCGAATTCCTGTATTCAGCGCCCTCACTGGACGCCCCAGCCATCTCTGACTCCCGCGAGTGCTTCCAGCTGTTGCCGGATTCTGAGGCGGCCAAAGCGGAACTGCGAGTCATCGAGGCCCTGATGATGCTGCCCTCAAGGTTCGGTCTCAATGTGCTGCCCATGCAGCTCAGGCAGAACAGCCGATCCGAGGTGCTGCAGCAGGCTGTGACCATCCGCCCTGAAAACTACAGAGACAGGGAGGGGCTGCAGGCTCTGGCCGAGCTCCTGGGTGTGACGGATCCGGATGAACTGGCGGAGGTGGACGTTATGGTCGGCTGGGGAGCGCTGCACGGAGGGGACCTTGCAGCCGCCCAGGAAATCGCGGAGGGCCTCATGAACGCCGGCTATGAGAACGCCTGGGAGATTTGCGGCGCTGTCGGCCAGCTTGGCCAAGGAACGGAGGCGGGGGAGGGTGTGGACGAGGGCGTGCGCCGAAAATTGCTCGGATTTGCAACTCTCCACTGCCCGGACGACAGGAAGATGGTCTTTGAAAAATTGTTGGAGGCGTGCGGCCCAGCGCCAGTGAGTGCGGCTCCCTGTTGATGCATGGGCTCGTCGTTGTGCCCAGGAAAGAGATGGGCCACGGTCCATTCTGCTGGGCCGCTGGCAGCGAAACTCAACTCATCATTCTTAATCAATTCATATGCTGGATGTGGCTGCATGTTGTACCGCGGTGGATGAGTGTCCATGGGGACGGTTGTGCCCACAATCCATGTAAATAGTGGGAGCATTGATCCTGGTCGTTTCTCGTATGGATACTCGGAAGAGAGCGAGAAGAATGGGTGCTCTGGGGAAGACGGTGTGCCCAAAGTCCTTTTGGGCTCCTCTGGGCAGCTGGAAATGCAAACTGCTGTGCCGATAAGGTCTGTGAACTGCCAGTATGGAAAAGGGCAGAACCACACTATCCAATAAATAATACCTTTCCCTTCTGTGTTTCATTCAATCCAATTCTCCTGCACTCTCCATGCCCATTCCCCAATGAAGGTGTGTCTGACAGCAACACCCCGCAGTTCTGGCCACAAGGAATTGGCACAGTCTCTGGGCAAGATCGTGCATCAGCCATTAGCTCTGGGGATTACTCACTTCCGACCTGGAAGCGCCGGCATCCCCACTTTCCAGCACTTCCCGCATCAATACTTGGATCTCGCTGGGCTCATCCAAGTCCTCTGCTGGGCTGCCTTCTTCAAATGAGGTTTCGTCTTCGTCGCTGATGCTCTGTGGATCATCAACCATTCGGTCATCCACCGCTTCCTCAGCAGCATCCCTTGTGCTAAGGTCGCCATCGTCAGTCGATGTCCGTCTTGGTCTGCGCTGCGCCCGGGGCTCGTACTTCAAGCGAATCCCAAGCTCCTCATCAAGGAGTCCCACCCTGTTGAAAGAACGCGCCATATCCACCAGGTCTCCATCCAACATGCGGCCGTTCGCCTGCTCGTCAACATCCGTCAGCAGAAACATCTTCACCCGCTTGAAAAACGGCATGTCTCGGTGGTCCATCATGATCAGCCCCCGAAGCACTCTGGCCAGGTGCATGCCAGAGAGGTTGCCAAGCGCCTGTTGGCTCGCCAGGCGCCGCACGAGCCTCCCCAACTGTCTGTGCCCTTTCAATTCCGCGTTGGCCATCACCCACAGGCAATCTGCATATGTGTAGTCCTTGACCGACGCCAACCGCTGGTCCCTGCTCAGCTCCTCCGCCATTGCCCCCGCCAGGCCAGGGTGATAGAAGTGCAGCCGGCACATTGCAAACAGCACAATGGACAGGCCGTAGTCCCCAAACTCCTGCAGCCGGCCGGGCTGCAGAACTGCATGGGCGAGGGGCTGCAGGTATTCCTCCTCTCTGTACTTGGCGTGGGCGCAGCCCAGCAGCACGCCGGCCAGATCCTGGTGGGAAAGCCGACGCAGGCGCTTTGGAGATGTGCACTCGTTCAGCAGGGTGGCCCAAATGGCATCATCCTCAAAGCGCAGGGATCCCATGGCCCGCACCAATCCCGCCAGTTCTTGGCCTTTGTACCGCACCACTCGCTTGGCAAGCGCTGCCTCTGCCATGAGATCCTCCACAATAGCGTGATCGTCGAACTGCAGGCTGCCAAGAGAGTGCAGCAACATTGCAAGGCCGCGGTCGCCAAGGCTCTGAGCCCTGCGTGCTGTCTCTGCACCTATGGCACGCACGGTTGGCCCGTGATGATATTTGAGCTGTGACAGCCCGAACGCCACAGTGGATAGGCCCTGCTCTGTGAACTCTGCCAGCCTCCCTTTCCTCTGCAGATCCTTGCACAGAATCTCAAGAATGTGGGTGTCCCTGATGGCCATGTTGGCAAGGCCATGCAAGATATTTGAAACGTCTTGCTCACTGAATGTCTCCAGCCCAGACTCGCCCAAACGCCGTGCCAGCACCCTTGTCACCAACTCCTTGTCATCAAAACGCAGCTTGCCCAGGGAGTAGATCACATTTGATAGCCCATGGGATGATATCAAGGGCCCCTTCTGCTCCACAGTGGAGACCAATGGTGCTAGGGCACGCCACCCATGGCAGCCCAGCAACGCCATCGAGTATAGTGTGCACGAGAGCTGCTGTTCATTCATTTCGCCCAGCGATTCTGGCTTTGTCAATTGTTCCAACAGTCGATTCGCCACCTTATTATCCTTGTGGCCCAGCAGCGCTAGACCAAACAGGATGTTTGTGAGCATAACGCTGCTGTAAGATTCCATCCTTTCGGCGTGTATGGCCTCCTGACCCAACCTGGCAAGAAATTCCCTGTTGAATCCTCCAAAACTTCCAGAAGACTTGTGCCTGTGATGGTACAAAATGGGTTTCCTGTTACGACTGGAGAATGTGCAGGGAATTTGCAAATCTGGTGTTGCTGTTTGATAAAGGAGACAAAGAAAAGGAACAAAGCATTGTTTGGTACTGGGAGTGAGTAAAGCTACAGCGCAGACACAAGCAGTATGCCGGGACCACACCTCTGCTGGTTTATCTTCCCCAGAGAGTACACAATTGAGGAGATTTCAAGGTCTGTGCAAGCCTCCAGTATCTGTGCATCATTTAACTCCTTTTGCCATGCTGTGAGGACCTCAGCATCCACCCATCCCATCTTTGCGCAAGCATGAAGGACCTCTGCCAGGTCCCTTGGGACCATTCTGTGGACTTCCTTGATCGCCAGGCTGGCAAGCTTGTTCAAGAATTCAGACTGAGGGCGCTCCTTCATGTTCTTGAGCGCGTGGAAGGCCATGGCAATCTCCTTGGGCTTAATGGATGGCCCAATACTTTGCACTGCATCCTGGACAGCTCTCCAGTTGGAAAAACGATTCCACGTCTGCCTTGCATATGCCTGGGGCACCACAGTTGCAAGAGGTCTGTGCTGAGCGCCTCCTGACATTGTTCTCCAGGACTGGAGTGTGTGGGGCAAGGAAATCTGGAAACAAGGCAGCGACCATGAAGGCAGCCCTAGCCATGCTGTCCCTGCATCGTCCTGCAATGCAACACATATCTTTCAATCAGTTGTCCAGATGGACAATAAAGAGCCCAATCAAATATGCTTGTGCAGCAGGGCAGTGTGTTTCATCACCCTTTCTAGTCAATGGCAAGGTTGCAATATGATCGTATATGAATTGTCACCAGTCGTCTTTATCCTAACTAGTCAATGACTTACTCGTCAACGTTCATTGATCCATTACTTCATGCCACCTGGACTGCAGAACAAAATGGAACACAGACAGCTTGGCATGCCTCGTAGCCAACAGCCAATGGAAAATGATCCATATCTGCCCTCTCTCAGTGACTTGAGATCAAACCAGATTCCATTTTGTAAGAGCTCTATGAGTTTGCAAACAGCGATGAACCAAAACGCATTCCATGCTAGCAGTTCAAATTTGAATGAAGACTGACACAACATATGCACCAAGCCAACAAGCCCTGGTGAATGCAACCAGTACCCAACAGCTGGCCCAGTGGGCATAACGTGTGCAGATTCATGTCAATCCCAAAGCAAGAAAGAACAAAGATCTGATGCGTTGTGAAATGCACCTGGGCAGGCCTCTGAAGGTGTGGGCACTCAAGTGAAGCGCAGAGAACAGACAATGAAAGGAGTTGCTGTCTCAATGGTTCCACACCAGGACCTAGCCATGACAGTTACCACCACCTGTTAAACAGAAATTGTATCACTGTCGAATCGTCTTGACCGCATGGTTGCATTGCACAGCAACTCAACACAGACCTACTGTTGCAGGCAAGTGCGGCCACAAATCACAATAAACACTCCGCTGTGGCTGGCTCAGGAACACTGAACATCCTTGATAATATCATCAGTGCTCTGAACTGGGAACACTTACACGTACCAGAGCAAATGCCAGAGGCCTAGAGGTCAGACTATTTGACAATTGTGCTTGTGAGAATATCGGCCTCACAAACACGCCACTGATGGCCACCAACAGTTGCAAGGGGAGACAGATCATATGTGAGCAGCCGCTCAGGAATACATGAGACTCTTTGACACGGTAGTGAATGTATAAGATGCTGTCCAATAGCATTTGGAGAAGCGCAATTGGCCAAGTGCACAGCAATACCATTAGCGTCCTGCCGTTGGTGCCAAACAATAGCATACGATTTCTGACGTTTGCGCCTGCTCATATATCTCGCAGACACACAGGTCGGCTTTTCTGGGCCACGCTTATGGTGCAGCGGCTCATTGCTCTTCACACAGAGACCTCAAGCATCCCCTAGCAGGTTACTGGGTCCCAAACAGTGTCCTCTGGTGTGGCTATCCGTCTAGTGGCCTGCTGGATTATTTCTGTGCCACGGAGAACGACACCACTTGCAACATTCTATGGGCATGGCTTTGGCACCCCGACCATTCATGGCATGTTGATGATCGGCACCAAGCCCACGCCATTCCCTCACTGCCACGCACTCTTCCTCACAGACGAGACAACTAAACGAGCTGAGTCCCGCGATTGGCCCCCAAACACAGAAAGCAATTCATCAACACGCCGGGAAGCAAGACCAACCAAAGGCCATCACAGACGCGGCAATGGGTCCCTTGCCTGGGGACGCGCGCGAGCGCAGTTTTGGACCGAAAGTCCGGGCGCACTCACGGAAGCAGTGCAGAAGCAGCCGCCGCCCCATCTCCTGGCCCAGCGGCATACTGCCCAGTCGGACGGCGCCCGGGCGAACGGTCGGCAAAATCGGCGCTGCCAGAAGGCAACCCAACCAGTGCACGACTCTGCCCCGCTTAGTACATAAAGAACTAAGAATGAACATAAAACCACTCAAAAGCTGGTTCGTTGGTTGAAGTACTCAGTAGCGCCTTATTACTTAAGCCGGCCTTGTACTTAATAGTATTTAGGTACTTCGATGGCTTCTGCATTGTTCACAAATGCTTGGTTCACTTCAAAATTTAGCCTAGAACTCAAAACCACTTAGAAGTTAGCTTAGTTCCTAAAATCAATTAAAAATTAGTTGACTGCCTACAAATCACTTAAAGTTAGTTTAGTAATTAATGGTAATTGCAATGCTGAAATGGCTTCTGCACTGTTCATTGTTTCACAAATGGAACCCGCCCCTGCCCAAGTGCAAGTGGTCACCTTTGGGCCTCGGGGTCCAGGTCCACAGCTCCCATTGGCACACTCCCGCCCGCCTTGTCGCTCAACCTTTGCGGACGCCAATCCCCGGGGGATCGGCTGTAGGCTTCCCGCTCTCTGTTTCCCATTTTCCGAATTTTCTGTTTTCCATTGGGCCGGTTGATGGCCCCCGGAGCGCTCGCTGCGCATCCCCTCCAGGGCGGCATCCGCGGATTGTGGCGGCACCCACAACGGTCCAGGCCGCCGTTCGCATCAGATCAAAGGTCGAGAATCGGCGGACCGGGAAAGGCCACGGGGCGGCGGGGTGTGGATCCCGGCCAGGCGAAGGAGATGGACGGGCCGCCGTTTTGCATACCGGCGGATGGAGTGTTCTGCGACAACTGCAGTTGGATGAACGGTAACTTGTGATGAAAACTGCAAATTGCAAACTGTGAAAATGGAGCTGGAGCGTCGGGACTACCTGCAGCGGCGCTGCTCCCGTTGCGACAGAAATGCGTCCGTCGTTTTACCATTGATGGCATGGTGCTTTGTGTACTGTGTCCAATACGCCACAGGAAAAATGGGCAAAGCATAAAAGGGGCAAAGGAAAAAGGGGCAAAGGGAAAAAGGGGCAAAGGGGAAAAGGGGCAAAGGGGAAAAAAGGGGCAAAGGGAAAAAAGGGGCAAAGGAAAAATGGCCAAGGGTGCCGAGTCAAGACGTCCCTCGCCCATACGAATGGCTCTTGAGCAGTGACTGGGGACGTCTTGTGCACTGTTGCATTAAAATCTTCCTGCGCTCGTGGGTCACTGTGGCATTTGTTTGTTGAGTAGGGGTTGCCAAAATCCTGGGATTGCAGTTCTCATGAAACGTGACAAACAGATGCCGTGCACCTTGCAAGCAATGACGTGGGTTTGGGATTGAAAATGCAGAGTGTCGTAACGGCCATAGACGTCTGCAGTGGCAGATAGCCGTTGTTATAGGTTGACTTTGCGGGCCCCAAGCTGCTTTTGTGTGTTGTCCATAGGTTGCATCTATGGACATTTGGAAGACTAGCTAATGGTGCAGATGGTTGAGAGCAGCACAAGTGTCATGTAGCTACACACCATGCTTGTCCTGCAAGGGCAAAATGTACTTGAATGGCAGCTGTGTATTCCAAACTCTTAACTACGCGGTGGGATGAGAGTGAGAGAGGAAATTCAACTTTGATGTTTAACCACCAGGAACCTGCCTAGATGGGGAGTGTGAAGGTCTGCACATATCTAAGGAGGATAGAGCTGCACAGAGGCAGTGGCCAGAACTGCCATCTGGGGCGGCTCAATTGATCATTGCTGCTGGTCCCGAGCGTTCAGGTGGGTCCCGCCTGGTTAGATCAGGGGCCCTTGTTTGTTGAATGTTTTGACACTGAATGGTGAAACTGACAGGTGCTCTTTGCTCAAAGCCATGGCTGTTTTCCTTTTTGCAACAGTGGATTGGCATCCAGCAATAAGGGGGGTGGGATGCTTACATTCATGGTGCTAGATGCACACAGGCAGTCCCAGCAGGTTAGTCAACCATGCACCAGCCCTTGCACGATTGTGGGCTGTTGGCACACCCTTTCAACTGAACTTTCGCACAGCGAATTTGCCAAATGCTGGCCAGAACGTGTTGTGAGGGTTGCCCACTCACAACAAAATTCTGCCTGGTAGTCCTTCCTTCCTCTGCTGATTGCATGAAACAACAGCATGGGGCTCTCCACTGCTCCCTGTCAGAATTTCAAATGCAGGCTCTAGAACAATGTGATCCTTGGGTGAGGTGCAATGCTCTCTGACTTGTGTGTGGACACGCCACAAAATCGAACAATGGGCGCAAATGGATTGATTTCTCACGTTTTGATGAACGTGGCTGTGGTGATTTGTTCTCTTGGCCACAATCCAGCCCAGACAATCCCTCAGATTGTGCCAGAATAGCACAAGGGTTATGGGACAGATCCTGTGGCATCCCTTGGATCCACCCATGCTGTTTTGTTGCACTGCAAAAACTGCTCCTTTGCAATGAGCAAGCATCAGCACAGTGAGTGGGAAGTGAGCACTCAGGCAGCAGCCAATTTGTTGATGCGACTGTTCCTTTGTGAGACTTTGGATTGTCGCAAGCGCATCAAAAGAGGTTTGTCAAATATATTGTGTGTGCAGTTCCCCTGTTTTTTTTTGGTGGTTGTTGATGCAGACAAAGTGTGTTTATGCATATATTGCATGATAAAATGCAGATGCTGCAAAGAATTGTCCAACATTTGTCACTCCTTTTGTTCCTGTTGTCAGAAAGGGATGAATGTATGAGAATTATTCCGCAATGTTTGTTCTTCCCAGCCCACACACAATTCCTCAAAGAAGATCCTACATGGCACGCTTTTGTGCGAGATGGGTAAAGCCTTATCCTCAGTACTGCAAGGCATACTTTGTTGTGCAGGCCTTGCTCGAAAGGTCTGCTGCAACATTGTGGATGGCAATGTTCTCCGACAAGGTGTGTGGCTTGCCTCATTGTAGGTAGCACTTGGCTATTCAACGCCGTGCGCTTGTTGTTCAAGAGTGCACACCAGCCACTCGATGCTTTCTGGATAAGCACTCTCACAGACACCAAACTGGACATGAGAGGCGTGGGCAGTAGCCAGCATTCCCATGTTCTAATAAAAACCCACCAATGGAGCAACTTGTGGACAGTGGAACGGGCATCCCATGTGTTTGTGACACACAGGGATCTGAGGGGGGTGGTGGCTTCATACAGGCGAGTGGGATGGGCGCATACGATCCCCGATTCGTATGTGGAGGACCACCTCAAGTGGAAGGTGCAGTTGGGTTTGAATCAGTAGTCCTAGCCAAGGACGGACCTTTTGAACAGAAAAACGACATTTCATGGATGTGCAGTGAAATCTGCTCCCACAAAGAATTCATGTGAGACTCTTGGTCGTTGCGCATGGGGAAACGCAGAAAAGGCCAAGTGCAACGGGAACACAACACAGCACAGCGAAGGTACTCACTACAGCCTGCCCTGAGCAGCATAGGAGGCATGCTTCATATCCTTTGCGATGAAATGTGCGAGAGTGGTATTCCCTGTGTAGAGAAATAAGGCTCTGTTTCATTGCCAATGCTCCGTGATGGAATCTAGCAGCGATCCACCACATGTGTAGATGTTGCTCAGCTCGCTTTGCTCACTCACACAGGACGGTCACACGTCACAATTTCTTCTCCTTGTGTGCCAGTGTTTCAGACTAGTAGACAGATAAAGGCGGCGGACAGGGAGCCCAATATACCAAATTTTGCAACTTCACAGCTTTATAAAGGACTGACAAATTGAAAACCGCCATATTCATGGCACTCATTATCATGCCATCAGTATTGCCAGGCTTGCTAGCATCCACATCATGGCATTACCGTGGCGTTGTTGTCCTGCCGCCATTTTCGACAAGTTCATGAATTCAGCAACATGAATTTATGCGAAGCAGTGTGGAATCAGCAGCTATTGGTGTCAGCTACAGTGTTGGGCGTCAGCTTTGGATTGTGTCGCCCTTGTTCAACAAACCAGCCACCTGAATGTGTTCCCCATTGTAGGAGGTTGACCTGAAATCTGACAAGCCTATCACCTGACAAGCCTGGGACTCACTTGGCAGCCAAACACTTCTCTGGCTCTAGAATAAGCTCATGCGCAACATACACCCAACGAAGATCATACTCGGATGCCAGGAACACACATGCTTCAGCCGAGCCAGAAAGCTTTGTGGATGAGCCAACTGAAATGCAATCCTCCTAACATGTGTAATTTTACCACATTTAGGCCATTGCACACAAGGATTTTGCCTTTGAGAGAATCGTTCACAGCGGGATCCAAGAGCTGGAAGCGCTCGCTGCAGCTCTGGGCATCGTGAATTTGGTGAGGGCGCTGCATTGACGTTGTCCTTTGCAGTATTTTGTGCTTGTGCCGGATGCTTGGGTTGTATGCCTTGACCAGGTACCGAGTACCAAGTTGTTTGCGCAGATGCATATGAAGCAATGAGGGAGCAAGAAGGAGCACTGTGTGCAAGTTTGTTTTGCTGCATCCCAAACAGCGAATCACAATTGGTTGCTGGCAGGATACATGGTGTTTTCCTTATCGCCTCCTGCCCGACACGAGCTGCACACAGACCGGGTTTCATTTGCACAAAATCGTGTCGTCTACACGCTATTTTCTGGTGTAAGCTTTTGGCCGATGAAGCACACTTGCCATAGGCTGCAATCTCTTTCAAAAAGGGCGGCATAAACACGCCGTTCGCTGAAACAGGCTATGTTAATGGCAACAGTGCGCTTTTTGGCCATTGTTTATCAGTGTGGGCTGCGTAGGTTGACATCCATTCCGTTAACGAGGAGCTCAAGGCACTTCGACCGCCCATGTCAGGGGCGCCCCACCCCATCACCAAGCTCTGGCCTCGCCACATGAGCCCATCTGTACTGCGGACGTTAGAAAACCCCCAGGTACTACTCCTTTGGTAGCATGTGCGGAACTTCACAAGCTGTACTTGGGCTACCGTTATTGCGCGACGAGGGGCAAAAATTCATTGTAGCTGGAAATAGAAGCGTGACATACAATGGTCACCCTACTGGCCAGCAAAGTTCTTCTGAACTGCCCAAAAGGAGAATAAACAGGTGGCGGTGTGGGTGGGTGGGCGGGTGGGTGGGTGGGGGGTGGGGGTGGGGGGTGGGGGGGAGCGGCACGTCCGTTTCCTCATAGTGTTTGCTGTGTGCCAAACGTTTGGTCCCGAAGGGTAGAGAGCACCTGAGCAAATTGCGCTATCATAGCTGTGCTCCTTGGCCATGCTTAGCCAGTGTCTTGTCGCATCATGTGCACATGGCAATTCGCTTGTTGTACAGCGCTTGAAAATCTACCCTTATTTGGCTATTGAGTGTTCCAATGTTAGCGCAACTGCCAACCAGACTTTTGCATTCCTGCGTCCAGGGGAGCAAGGCTTCCGTCGCCGGGAGCCAGGACATCGACATGACAGAGGAAGGCAGTCTGTGCAAGAGGTTTCCAGGATACATGAAAGACTATGGATACATGTGAGCCAGCAAAGAATGCAGCATCACAATTTATTTCGAAATGGCGAGGAGGTGCATGCTAAACTCATGGCTCGCTTTGTTGTCACTCTCATTAAATATTTGTATGGGCCCGTTGTGTGAAGAGACAGATATTGTGCCTTTCCAGCACATATTTTTCCCATGGGTATTAGCAGCCTGTCTTCTGGGTGTTTGCAGCCCACTCTTCCTGGTGTTTGCATCCCGTTTGGGGTACCCAAAACCCCCACAGTGCATTGGCTGATGGGACAAGTTGCGACCGCGCACCCTTTCTGTACTTGCTCATTTGGCCGCCTGTTGGAGCATGAGGTAGGCTGATCGTCACCTCATAGTGCAATCGCCAAAAGATTGTTGAAACCAGCTGTGCCGGCACACGCCACGAGCAGCATTTCGAGTGCTGGTCGCGCCGCTCTGAAAGACGCTGCCACGAGAGATTTTTGGCAGCGCCCCTGCAAAAAGCAACAGAAACACCATGCAGGCCCTCGGCATCTTCGATGGAGCATCCACACATCCATCGGTCGTGCTTGGTGGGATTGATTTCGTTTTCTGGGGTGGCATTCCTGACACCAAATAGGCCATTAATGGGATGTCCTCAACGAACAAAAGAGCTTCCATTGCACGCAGTCGTTCAGCGGTTAGTCTCAATTACCCAGGAGACATGTTGGCAATAGCTGATCCCAGGCATGTCCTGGCGGCATCGTGGACGATGGCAAGGATTTCCGCGCAAATCACCGATGGCGTGATGCACAGCCAAGTACCATCTCTGCTGGTGTTCCACAGCCATGGGTGCCAATCCTTGCGCAAGAGCCTGAGCGGGGTAGGCCACTCTACCCCAGTTCCGGCACCCTGAAGTCCACAGGAAGGGGCCACCACTCGTGTGTGGGGCCTTCCCTGACCCGAGACCCATTTTTGGGGCGGGGGGAGGGGGTGCACTGAGAAGTGTCAAATTCCGGCCTGGAGTTGTGAGGTTTCAGTGTATAAGCGAATGCATTGTGCTCAACTGTTCCCTGCGGTCTTTTGGCAGCAATGAACAGACATATAGAGGCGCCCTGGCTACAGTTTCAAGGAAAACACACAAGTGCTTGATACAAATGCAGCCTCCCGGAACCCTGTTTCTTTTAATACTGGACAAAGGAAGTACTAATAACAGCCTTGGTTGTCAGCTCTCTCAAATTCATCGTTCATCTTACCATTCTTCATTAATCGTTCATCAGAGCTCGTTCACCTTCTCGACGCTTTCATCATGTCCCCATCATATGATCCCATATTCGAAGCGGGCATGAAGAGATGGCGTGGTACGCCTGTGTACTTGTAGATGAGCTCTTCAAACCCGTCATCAATAAGAATCTCACAACAGCACGGAAGTCTCAACTGTTCCAGCTCCTCCAGCTCCCAGGCTGGCATATCCAAAACTTTCCGATCCAAAATTTAGACACAGGCTCTGCAATCGTTCCGGATTGTGGAATGTAAGCAACAATGAGTGGCCAGTATACCTTGTGGGCATCTTAACGGCATCAGCAATGAACAGCAATTCAAGCTGTCAACCAAAAAAGAGCCTCAAGACAGACTGCGTAAATCTTGCCTTTGCGGATCTGATAGCGAAGGTTCCCTGGAAGTTCCACCAGGACAGTGAGTGCCTCACCCTCCCTTTTTGGCTTCTTTTCTTTCTGTGAAAGTGCATGCAGCACATATGGCATGTAGCCCATCATCATCGACTTTCCTATTCCTGCTGTTCCAGGGACAAAATGGCGCGCATCCTTGTGCTCTGTCAGCTTACGCAAGAGTGTGTCATACTCCTTTCCAATAAATATACCATGATTTCCTCTTCGCGGCCACTTGGCGTCGTCGCTCAGCCTGAGGAAACCGGTCATCACGCTGAACTGTTTTCAAGGCATTCTAAGAACATGGGCAACCTTACCATCATTTGGAACAGTCCCTTAGTGTCGAGCAGGCTTGGTTTTTACGTTTACGTTTACGTTTACGTTTACGTTTACGTTTACGTTTACGTTTACGTTTACGTTTACGTTTACGTTTACGTTTACGTTTACGTTTACGTTTACGTTTACGTTTACGTTTACGTTTACGTTTACGTTTACGTTTACGTTTTCAATTTAAATTTTTACGCGTGGAAACGTAAATTTGCAAAAGGACCTATTTTTACGGTTGTTTTTACTTTTTTGCGTTTCCCTGGGACACCCAGGTCACTCGATGAAAGTTGCGTACAGTGATCAGTCCTCCGCCATTTCCAACACCCGCAACACAATGTCCACCTCGCCCTTGGCAAGGGCGATAATGGCGTTTAACAAAAACTCGTTTTCTGTCCCTGCCAGGGGATCTCGCTGCCACTCTCCAGACTCCGTAAGTCTGTACGTACTGTCCTTATGTACATCAGCATTTTTTACGTTGTATTTACGTACTTTTACGCATTTTTACGCATTTCTACGCAGAAAAACGTAAATAGGATCAGCTTTTACGGCGTAAAAACCAAGCCTGGTGTCGAATGGCTCCATCTCCATGCGTTGAAATTAAAAACCAAATCGCTCCAAATACCTGGGAAACTTTTGGTAGCATGAGATTCAGCACATGAGCGAGGCGGAGAGCTCACGGAAGACCGCCCAACGCCGTGCCTTACCCATCGCACGCGTCGCCCCTATGGCGCTTGCTATCATGTCTTCCCTGTCACAGGGGCCCTGCACGGGGGCCCTGTGCACGGCCCATAGGTGGTTGCGCGTGGCAGAGGACTCTGTGCTCAAAGCGAGCAAGAGGCCCTTGTGCACTGCGCACTTCAGGTTTTGCATTCGTTATTATTTCTAATGCAGCTCCCAAGGGGCATTTGTGGTGCTCAGATGCGCAACAATTATGACGAATTGGTCGGCTACCTTGCCTGATGTAATTACGCTACAACATGATCCCCATTGGGAACATGGAACAAGTTGTTTACAGTCTTGTGTTCCTGCTCCCTCAGGCTCATGCTGTTGTTTAGCTAGCACTACCCATCAGATGTACGAGGCCCGCAAATCAGCTACGTGTGTACGTCTTATAATGCACATATTAGTAAGCCAATAAACAACGGAGCCTACTTCACTTCGTACCAAACAATATTGAGTCTGGTACCAAACTGCCAATGTATCAAACAAAATTAAAATTGGTACCAACGCATATCGAATTTGGTACCAAATTCGCGCCGGTACTAAAAATGTTGAACGGTGTAATAAAAAATGTTGAACGGGTACCAATTATTAATCAAATTTCCGCTGTCATAAGGGCTCCTAAACCCTAAAACCTAAAAACCTGAACAAAGCGCAAGCCCAGTGCTGGTCACAGGGCTTGTCGCAAACTGCCATTCAATGACTAATTGGTACTGGTTCAACATTTTTTGGTGCACCATTCAACATTTTTGGTATCGGCAAATTTAGTACCAAATTCAACATGCGTTGGTACCAGTTTCAATTTATTTGGTTCGTTGGCAGTTTGGAACCAGATTCAATAATATTGGGTACGGAGTTAAATGCACACGGAAAAAAAGGAAACAATCCCATACAAGCATTCAACAATCTTTTTTTACAAATACCATTCTGCACACATTGCCCTTATCACCACCAATCGTCAGCCGCTACAACCCGCCAAATACACACCTGGTTCAACAACCTTCTTCAATCCTACAAACCGCAAATGTCCATCACCGGTAATGGGCCGGGTTGCCCCATAGGAGCGCCATGTGTGCAATGCATGGGGTTCCGGACATGTATCCGGTACAATATTTCACTGCATGCCCTCCAATATTACATCACATTTCAGAGTCCAGGTGCCACCTCCGTCCTATCAGAAGATGCGTGGACCTTGCACCACCTACGAAGAGAGTGCAATGCAAGGCCCCCAATGATGTTCGAATCCAAAAGACTGCTCAATCTAATCCCAGAAAAGTCAGGTTTGGCACACAAAGGGCAGGGGAGGGGGGATTAACAATCAAAATATTCGCTTTTGCTCGAGGTAATAATAGCACCGTAGTACGGGTGAACAAGACAATTACTAGGAGCGGCGCCCGCCACAGGATCGCCGGGATTTAACAGCAGAAATGGACCGCCGTTGGTGGCCCTCACCAAGTTTCCAGGGGCACGAGCGTCCGACGGGGAACATCCGAATGCCTCTCGGGCTGTGAGGCCGTGTGGCTGAACATCACGTCATAGCATCACCACACTTTAACGTCATGCTCAACGTAAGGCGCTCCACCCTGCGCTGTGAATCACAGCCCAGGGTGGCGTGCCTTAAGCTGGGCATGGCGCTAAGGTGTGACGATGTTGTGACGTGATGTCCAGCCTTAGCAAACACAGTGCCACCCAAATTGCACCCAAACACATGCATCATCACGGCGTCGGGCATATTCACGGCTTAGTCATGAGTCAATTTCATTACTATCGATTACTAGTGCCGTTTCCGCCCATTTTCTTCAGCAAGAACCCACACTTCCCTCTCCGCCCTACAGAAGCAAGTCACCTAGTGCCCGGCAACCCAGGGGAACACCTTGCCTCTGCCCCCCGCCTCCGCACAGCGCGTCGGCCGAGCCATGTCGCCCATCAAGGCCTGGGCTGCCCTCGATGCCAGCGGCAAGCTCCGAGGTCGCCGTCAAATTCTGTGGCATGTGCTCCGGCGATGTCGCGCTCACGGACAACTCGTGGGGCATCTTCACCTCCCCCAACGTCTCTGGTGCGTTGGCCCCGTCTAGCCTGCGCGGGATTGCTAGGCGGTATGATTCCACACCGACGGCGGGGAAGGCGTCGAGTGCGTGTGCTGAACTTGTCACACCCAGTTACGCACAGTGTTGGCATGCGCAGCACGCGCCGCTGGCTTTCGCCTGTCGTGACGGTTCTCGTTATGTGGGTCTTGCCACGGCCCTGCAGCGTTCCTCGCGACGTAGTCTAGCAGCAGGACTTTTTAATCGTCCCCTGCGAATAGGGTCGATCCTCCGGATGCGACACTCCCCGGGCCAACTTGCGACTGACTCGGCTGGTGGGAGTGTTCGAAGGGGGACGCTAGCCCCTCCTTGCTGCGCCACCTGCCCTCCAGCGGGCTCATTTTTGTCTCAAGCCACAAAACCGGCTTCCAGGTACCGCGCCTGTGTGTCGTGTACAGATTGAATGTGGTTAATTCTGAACTGCAGGGCACGAGGTCGTGGGCGCGGTGTTTGCCGTGGGCGAGCACGTGACGACTTGCAATGTGGGCGGCAGGGTGGGCGTGGGCTGGGCCCAGCGATCCTGCGAGGGATTGCATATTTGCTCGCCCAATTCGAGGATCGAGCACAAGTTTCCCGTGCCTAAGGTGGCACCAAGCACCACCAACTTTTGTGATGCTTTCCCAGCCGCCCGTCTGCCTATTCGACACCCAAGGACCGTCGTCAATCACAAGCGCCCATGAGACAATTCAGCCACACACCACCTCATCACTAAGGAGCAGTCAACGTGAGAAACATGCCATCATCATATGGTCACTTTAAAGTCATCATATGGTCACTTTGAAATTTCAAACCCCCCCACCGCAGAATGCAAGTGCAACAGTTTCTTGCAAGGCAAAGTGAAGCCCAGGGCGGTCACAATGCTGCAAAGTTTGAGCAGACACACCTGAAACTTCCCCACAAGGCACCTTGGCACATTGCAGACAAGACACCATGACCAAGGCATTTCTCTCTGACCTGCATGACGTTCTTGACGTTCTATCATGAAGCTCATTTTGTCCCCAACACGCGCGTACAGCGCAAAGTACAGGGCCAGCACCATCACGCCCTTCTCCCCCTCCTCCGCGCCCTTCGCCATTATCCCAAAACCCCCCCGGGGCGGCCCAAACTCCGTGGGCCCCTGCAATAGGCTCCCCTCCCTTCGCTCGGGGCCCAAGCGCAAGTCGATCTTGACCTCCGACAACCGACAGCACCCCATCTGGGCAAATCACAGGCGCGGGCGGTCGCGGGCTGAAGAATTGGGGCAATGGAAAAATTGGCCCCAGTTTTCACGCCCACGGAGGAGGCCTTTTCGGACCCCCTGGCCTATATAAGCAGCCTGAGGGAAGCGGCGGAGCCCTGCGGGATCTGCCGCATCGTGCCGCCCGCTGGCTGGAAGCCCCCTTTCTGCCTGGACCCTGAGAAGGTGAAATTCCGGACGAGGGCGCAGGTGGTGAATCACCTGGGCGGCAGGCGCGGCGACACGCGGGAGGAGCAGATCTTCTGGGCGGATTTTGGGAGGTTCAATCAGGGGATGGGGAGGCCGCTGCCAAGAAACCCAATTCTGGGTGGTAGGGAGGTGGACCTGTGCCGGCTGTGCAAGGCGGTGTGCGTGCGCGGTGGCTACGACAGGGTGACCGCGGACAGGCAGTGGAGGGACGTCGCGAGGGCGATTCAGGTGGGGTGATCCCAGCCATGGCTAGACACCGGACTGGTGTTTTTGTTGTTGATGTTGGGCAGCGAGGATCTGCCGTTGATGCCGCGCATTGGGGATTGCCCATCTGCCCTGCAGGTGCACCTGATGAATGGGAACACCTGCTACAGCCTGCGCACGCTGTACCAGAAGCACCTGGTCGACTTCGAGCGCCACCTGGTGTCCGAAGGGGGCGCAAGCTCCAGCTCATCGCCCAGCCCGCCTCGGGTGGCCCACCGTCCCGAGGGCTCAATGGATGAATTGTGCCGGGCGGCAGTTCAGGCGGCAGCGCAGGCGGGCATTCGATTGCCTGAGCGGGAGGCGGAGGGGCGGGGATCGAGAGCCCTCGAGAGGGATCGCCGTGGCCGTTTCAAGCGGCCGGGGTTGGCCAGTGGCGGGGAAGCGGGTGGTGAAATTGGGGCTAGGGGGGGGAAGAGGGGTCGCCGGGGTCGAATCAGGGGTCCACGCGTGGCGAGCGGCGAGTGCGACGGCGACATCGAGGCCGTGGAGGCGCTGCTGGTGCTCGGGGCCGCGGCGGAAGGGCTGCCGAGGGCCAAGAGGGCGAAGGCCGGCGGGAGGCCCAAGGGGCAGGTGGGCCATCGGGCGTCTCGCCTCGTTGATCGCTCCCCCCGCCTGTTGCTGAGCGCGGATGTGACCTCGCTGCGTGCGACGCCGGTCCCCACCCAAAGCGCATTGTTGCAATTGGCGTCAAAAAGGGAGCACTTCGTCCTTGGGCAACGCCCTGGCGATGGCAGCCTGGCACTCAGCTGTTCTGGCAGAGCTTTTCCCGTGAACAGTTTCCGCGCGCACCTGCCATCCGGTGCATTGGCGCCCAAGTCAGCAGCGAGGCTATCTCCTGACGCAGGGGTCCTGCCGTCCCTGCTCTGGGCACCCCATTGATCAAGTTGGATGGCTGGGACTGCGCCTTGCAGGTGAAGGGGGGGCCAGATTCTCCCCGAGAGGACATACGCGTTCCGGACAACATCCAGACGCTCATGTGTGAGCTCTGCAACGGCGGCCAGCGCGAGAACGCCATCGTGCTGTGCGACCAGTGCGACCGCGGCTACCACCTCTTCTGCCTGAACCCTCCCCTGGACGCTGTGCCCGAGGGCGACTGGTTCTGCCCGCGGTGCCTGGCGCAGAGGGCGCGCGGCGGGGGGGTCCGGAACGGGCCCGAGCTGACGATGGCGGAGTTCTGCGAGATGGCCAGGGCGTTCGAGCGGAACTACTGGGGCAGTCATGAGGCCGCGCGGAGGGTAAGGCTTGTCGGAAAGAGAGAAAGAAACAAGGTCGGAATTCCGCGCGCACACGCACGTGGTCCTCTAGTTGACCCGGAAGAGAGACAGAAGCAGGCCATGCAAAAGCCCCCCCCCCCCGCCCCTCCAAGCAAATGCACGCGAGACTCTTTTCCATGCCGGCTACAGGCCGCGTGGAGGTTGAGTGGCGCCTTTCGCCGAAAAGGGGGGGGGGGGGGGGTCAGGATTGGGAACGCAGGGGGAAACCTGGCGACGCCTGGACTCTTTTCGGTGGGCTGGTTGGGGAGCGGTGCTGCGGGGTTGGACGCGACGCGCTGTTGGGACGTTTTGAGCCCTATCCCGTTGGTCTCTTCCTCTCTTTTTGCAAGTCTTAATCCCCTTGGCCTCAAGGAACGGCGCGACGTCGCCGCGCGCGTTGCCGGGCTTCGGCGCCGCCCCGACGCGGCGGGGAACGTGGCCCGAGCCGACGTGGGCGCCACCTGGCGCATGGCGAGCGTGGCCAGTCGGCCACGGGAGACTCTGTTCGGGTTGAACGGGCGCCCGCAGGATTGATCCGCCACGGTGGACGAGCTATATGGCACCTATGATGGTAGCCATGGTACCTGTGATAGTAGCTTTGTTGTGGCGGTGGTAGCCGGTCCCTTGGTGGCCGTCGTTGCGGCGGCGCCGAAGTTTCTGCCACGAAGCCCCTTCTTGGTTTGCTTTATTTCCTGGCCCGAGGTGGGCATTGATCCATCGCAAACGGAGCGTTCCCTGGGCAGTAGATGAGGATGCCTTGGGTCTGCCGCTGCGCAGGCGACGCCTCAGAAGATCGAGGACGAGTTTTGGACGGTGGTTGAGAAGGGCAAGGAGCTGGTGGAGGTGATCAATGGCGCAGACATCGACACGAAGGCCAACGGGAGTGGCTTCCCCCGAGACGACAGCAACCATGGCAGCCATCCATGGAACCTGAACAACTTGTCCAAAAACCCGAACAACCTGCTGAAGCACATCTCCCGTGACGTACCTGGGGTCGTGGTGCCTTGGGTGTATGTGGGTATGCAGTTTAGCTCTTTCTGCTGGCATGCGGAGGACCACATGTTCTACAGCATCAATTACCTGCATTGGGGGGCGCCCAAGCGGTGGTATGCAGTGCCCTCCAATGCAGCTAGAAAGCTGGAGGAAGCCCTGAAGGCGCACCTGCCCAAGGAGTTTGATACTTGCCCGGACATGTTGTTCAAGTTTGTGACGATGATGGACCCCAGGTATGTCCTCTCAGGATTCTTTTTGTGGGAAATATGGCAAAACGCTGACCTTCCACCCAGAAGGCAAGCTTGTGAGCTGTTTCCCAAAGCAAAGTACGAATTTCGTTTTGCTTCCATTCCTGCCCAAAGCACTGCCAGCGTGTCACAAGAGAGAGAAGAAGGGACGTTGTAAGAATTCCTCAGGAAATCATAGTGGAAAATATTGGCAGCCCAAAGGTCAGAGAATGTTGACCAGAGGTGTACGCTGCCTAGGGTACTGCGCAAGCATGGAGTGCCTGTCTACGAGACGACCCAGGAAGAGGGCCATTTCGTTGTCACATTTCCGAATGCCCACCATGCTGGATTCAACTTGGGCTTGAACTGTGCCGAGGCCATAAACTTTGCACCACTGGACTGGTTGCGTTTTGGGAAGGCATCCTGTGAGCAGTACAGGAGCCTCAGGCAGCGAGGGGTATGCACAGGAAAGGACCCTGCCCTTAGCAGTGTACTCCATGTACACCAACTCATGGCGTTCTGAATGCTGATGATCTGCAGCCGCAGTGCTTTCTCTTCACCGGCTGCATAGGTAAAATGTCTTACATTTGTATAAATGAGCAAATGATTGCCCATTCATCCACATCATAATGCATTCTTGCAAGCATACACTCGTTGTTTTTCTTGTAATTCAAGCAATCTTGATGATTGCCCTTACAATGTTCCTTGGAGTATCCATTGGTGATCGCGGACACATTTGCGATGGCTTGTTGTGTTTCGCTCCCAGGTTATTGGCCATGAAGAATTGCTACTGCAAGCTGCAAATGAGCTGCAGGGGGCAAACGCATCTCCCCTGCTGCAGTCTGAGATCAACAGGGTCGTATCCAGCGAGGCTCTGTTCAGACATCGCCACTGGGCCCATGGTAGGTACCGTATGTACCCGGTATTAGTAGGCGTTTATTGGACCCCGAAATTGAGCGGTGGATACTAATAGTGGGTCATGGATGCTAACATGGCTTAGACCCCCTAATCCAAGGAGTAGACAAAGAAATTTTTTGCACAATAGGCGGTGAAATGCCCAAAAATAGGCTTAAAAATACAAGATGCAATACAGCAACAGCCACATCACAAGTCAAAATTACGAAATCCCAATCAAAAACGCAGAAACGCGTTCACAATCAATCGCTGTCCACATCCAGATCTGATGCAAAGCCATCCAAATACTCATCGACACCCTCCGAATCCTCTCCCAAATCATCAGCTGCCTAAGCTGTGAAGCTTGCAGCCATCCAGTGCATCGCACTATAGGATGAGCTGCTTGCAGCAACTGTTGCACGTCGAAGGCATGCAACAAGAGTGCTGCACAAGCAAAGACGTGAAAAATAGCTTCTTCTCCCCAAGGTGAGTCCAACGAGCCTTCTTGTACTCGTTTCTGTTGAGGTTTGGGGGTGGATACTAACACCGGGTCGCGGATACTAACGTGGTTTCGAACCCCAAAGATGGGGGTGGATACTAAAAGAGGGTGCCTACTAATACCGGGTAAATACGGTATGACAGGATGGCAGTTAGGATGGGATGTTTAGGCTGGGTAGGTTGGATGCAGGCATTGGGATTTGAAAGGAGTGAACTCCATAAGAATGTGTTGGCATTGCCAAAAAACTGTCCACCAAGATGACGATGATGTGCTTCATCATCCACAGGGTTTTGCTACAGAATATTTGTTCATCTCAGAATGCCATTTCAGGCAATGTGAGTTATGGCAGCATTGTGACCAATTCCAGGCATTCTGTGTTCGTTTGGCCCATCAAGATTTGATCTTTGCATATGTTGTGACTAGACTCAGTGCTTGAGCGATTGTAATCCAGTTATTGAATCTTGTCCAATTTTAACTGATCGTTGCAGTTTTGACCGTTCAAATTAAGTTTTTCTATTGTTCAGAGATGTGGTGACAAGCCCATCGAGCGACTTTTTGAGCTCATGCAAAGCCTGTGTTTCTTTCATTTGTTTTTCATGGACTCGCCTGATTTCCCCTGCATCAAAATGTATGCGAGTAGCCTGCATATGTGTACCTAAAGAAAACGTTGAAGTCATGGATTTTCGTCCGCAGGCTTGCGCAAGTTCGCAAAGATCGAATCTGCGGTTGGGCTGAAAAAGGGTGATAGGGAAGATGCCTTGTGCTCCATCTGCCATCAGTACCTCCACCTGTCTGCAGTTGCTTGTAGCTCATGCCCTGGGCGGCATGCCTGCCTCCACCACGTGTCCGAGCTCTGTGGCTGTGACATCACCAACTACACACTCCTGTATCGACACTCACTGCTGCAGCTGGAACAGATCTCTGACTCTGTGCGTCTTGAAAGAGCAGAAGCCCATGGCTGTGTTTCTAAAGAAACAGAAGATGAAATGAGTGTCAATGTTGAGATTTTGCCAGCTATTACGGTGCAGCAAATGGCCCAAATACATGCCAACGGGCCTTTGTTAGCAGCAGACATGGAGCCCCGGGATGATGAGCAGAAGATCCGTGATGTGCTGGACAAGGTGTGCAGGGAAGGGGTGGCCAGGGCACAGAAGATGCGCGATGTGCTGGACAAGGTGTGCAGGGAAAGAGTGCTGAAGGGAGTGGGCGTGCTGGACGAGTCGATCAAGGTGGAAGATGCAGCCTTTGGTGTGGTGGGCCCTGCTTCACAAGCCTGCAGGGATATGGCGGCCAGGAATTCAGCTATCGAACCACAGAAGCCTGCTCTGCAGGTGTGCAGGGATACAGCAGCAAGGAATTGGGCAGAGGAATCGGAGGACCCGGTTGCTGTGAAGCTCTCTGTGCACCCTGAAGGGGGGAAGGGAAGGAAGCGTAACAGGAATGGCGATGCACTCATGAATGCTGATACGATGGCCACTTTCCGTGAAAGGAAGATGATGGCTTCCTTTCAGGGATTCCTTGAAACGTGGAAGCAGAGGGCCAAAGGGGTGCTCAAGGATGGCCTCTCTCGCCTTGCAGAGAATGATGCCCTCCTTGCCGAGGCAGAGCAGTTCCTGTGGGGGGGTTCTGAAGTGGGGGATGCACGGGCGCTGCACAAGGAGCTGCTGACTGTCCAGGACTGGGTGGCCACCCTAAAGAGGTGCTCTGGTCCTCGGGTTAGGTTGGAGGATCTGGAGAAGATCGTGAACTGGGAGTCGCCCCCTGCACACTTCTCCAACCTTGAGGCACTGCGCTCACTGTGCGAGGCAGCCAGGGCCTGGGTCGCAGAGTGCAAGGAGCAGGGCAGCAGGCCGATGACAGTTGAGGCCATTCAGGCCATGATAGCCAAAGGCAAGACCCTGAAAGTCCTTCTGCCCAGGCTCTCCAATTTGGAATGGCGGCTGAAGAATGCACTCGAAATACGGGCGTCTGCTCAGAAGACTCTGGACTTGGGCCCGATCGGTGATGCTGTCCAGGACGAGTCCACCTCCCTCAGTGCACTCCAGTCCAGGGCTGTGAATTACTGCCTGGCAATACCGGAGTTGGATGCCATCAGAGCCAGGATGGAAACGGTGCAGACATGGCAAGACAAGGCAGTGGAGATGATGGAGATGGCCACTCCACTACACACATTGAAGGAGCTTCTGGAAGAGGCAAGACGGGCAAAAATTCGCAAGCCCCAGGTGGGTCAGCTGAGAGGCCTAATCAAAAGGGCAGAAGAGTGGGCAGGCTTGGCCACTGCTGCACTGGAGGATGAGGTCCCCTCCAAGAAGCTTCGTCATGTGCTGCAGAGTGGATTGCGCCTTGGCGTGGCAATGGAGCAGGTGGGGCACAAGGGTCAATTCAAACATCGATCAAGCCATTGACCATCAATCGATCTATTGATCATTTGTCACTGTGTGGATTGTTGTACTATGTAGCATTTGTTTATGTCACTGCCGCCAGCAGATTCAGCTGGCTGTGCACTGAACCAGGGTTTGGACTGGTGAATGGCTGCCAGGTGGAGCAAATCAGGGGTATGCTGCGCCGTCGCGACTGGGAGGACACCACAAAGTGTGCGCTGACCAATTACCAAACTGTTGCCTCGCTACGGAATGTTTTGGCAGATGCAGCATCCTTTGAAGCCAAAGACTCTGAAGTCTATGCTGCCCTTTGCAAGAGGCTTCAGGAAGCAGAGGAGTGGGATGAGCACTTTGGTGCTGTGTTGAAAACTGTGGATGACGAATCTGTGCCTGAGGTGAGAGAGCTGGGGCAACAGGCACACAGAAGATTGACTGCCTTGGCAAGGAGAACATGTCATGCAGTGGATGGTCTCCCTCATCTTTCCTGAGCAACGAGACAGTGTGTGTTTTCAACCTGCCCTTGAGGACTGCTGCTTCGTCTTTCACAGTGTGGAGCAGAGTCTTGTGATCGTGAAGGAGGTGTCCTTTGTATGGCTTGTTTCACAATGAATCCTCTGAGCAGAGGTATGCATTAGACTCTATTTCGTCACATGAAAGACGATGCATAGGAGGAATCACCAGCACATAACAAACATGGAGCGGTGCAACATGAGCTCAAGTGGGGGTTTGGTGTTTAGTCTGCATGTGCCTCTGAAGGACTTCAAACCACTGCTATCCTTGAGGTGCAGGCCAGATTTGTGATGTGTGGTAACCAGCAGAAGCACACAAGGGTAGGAAGTGCATTTTCTGTTGTTTGGCGATGGTATTTGGTCAGCGTTGTGTTGGTAGTCAAAATTCTCTTCATTAATTTATACTTGGCGGCGTGTGGAAGGGGAATTACTATAGGCTAGATACAGTTCTGTTCTTTGGAAAGAAACCTTGTCATGAAATGCAATCATAGTTGCATGTACAAGACACGGCACATGTGTCCTGTGAGCTTAAAGCACACTGTCATTCCTTTCAATTCGTTGATGCGCCGATGTTCACTTTTGACAGTACTTCTCCAAATGCAGCACCAGCAAGCAACTGCCATTTGTTTCCCTTGTTGTCTATTTGTTTTTTGCTTTCTTATTGGTTTATCCTTTTTAGTCGCTTGTTTTCAGGATGGCAAACCATCTCTTGATGATCTGGTCGCAATGATGAAGGAAGTATCCAAGCTGAACATGCGACTGGAGAACATGCAAAGGATAGGGGGACTGATCAAGAAGTGCAAATCCCTCAAGTCGAGAGCGGCCAGCATGGCCATTCGAATGGGTGCGCCCTTTCCACCACCCCTACAGAGCGCCCTGACAATCTTCGAAGAAGCTAAGGACCTCAATGTTCGGATAACTTTCCCAGCAGGTCTCATTGCTGGTGTTGAGGAAACTGCAGCTTGGTGTGAAAGGGCTAGGACGCTGATTGAAAAGTGGCCAACAGAGCCAGTTGGCACTGCTCTCAGGGAGCTGTGTGTTGAGACACAAGGCTTGCTTTTCAAGACTGATGAGCAGGCCGAGCTGGTTGTGCTGGATGCCAGGATCAGAGCACAGGCCTTGATTGGTGCGTTGTTTGTGGATGATGTGTCAGTAGAGGTGCCCCATGGATGGGACCAGGACTTGATGCCACTGGACATTGAATATATTTCTCCACTCATGCCCCTCAAGGAGTTGTTCTCAGATGAGGTTCAAAAGCAGAGTGCCAGGGAGCGTGTTGCATTACCTGACCGCCCATCGATGGAAGCTGGCAAGGCGCTGCTTCGAGTAGCGGAAGAAGTGGGGGTACCGGACAGTACCAGATCGGATGTGGCCAAGATTGTGCAAACTGCAGAAGACGTTGATGGCCAGATAAAACAAGTGTTGCAAGCACCCTGCCACCTAGGAGAGGCCCTTGCAGACAAGACAGTGCAGGAGCTTGTTGCATTGCTTGGCAAGGCACTGCAGTTGCCTTTCTGGCTTGAAGGCATTGCGGAGCTGGAGGATCTCATCAAGCGGCGCAAGGCTTGGGAAGACAGAACGCGGCAGGTAGCGCCCCTTCCCATCAGCATTGGCTGCCGTGGAATGTTGAGAATCAGCAAGCGTTGTTGGCTGCTGATGGATCTGCTGTCATGGTTGAGTTCATGACACCATGGCCATATGTGCTGGCCAGTGGTTGCCTGAGCACTTTAACCCCAAAGGAATGCGGGTTGCAAGATTAGTGCTGTCGCCTGCATCCATTCTTGAAACACCCTCTGCTTTTCAGGACTTCGAAATGAGAAACATTCCATCATCGATGAGTGCTTGTCTGTTTCCTGCATGCAGTCTTTCCAGCTTGTACTATGCTGTAGCTCCAGGGTTGTTTATGTTGAATCAGGACAGAGGGCTGGGTAGCGCTGCTGCTGCCCTCCCACAAGCCAACACAGTCGTTGTGTAGCTGACAGATCAGCGTGGACAAGCTGAAGGCTGATGTCCACCTTGGTGCTTTTGGCAGGTTGATGCCCCACTTCCTTGGAGCACAACTGCGGGGCTGATCCAGGAACTGCGAAGAGATGCTTCATCCGCAGGAAAAGATGGCGAAATACCATGCTCAGATGTACACAGGCTCGAGGCCTTCATGGAACAGCTGACCTGCGACCTGGCACCTGCTGGTGCTGGGAAGATTGGGCCAGCCATGGAGCACCTTATCTCCTCCGTCCGCAATGTTTACTGGATGGCTGTCAGGGTCAGCCTGACTTGCATCTACCATGATTTTGCTGACACAGGTTGCGAGCGCAATGGGCACAACACACCCACATTGTCTGACCATTGCATTTGCTTCCAGCCCCGGGGAGAAGAAACTGTCCTGAGCTGCAATGAATGTGGTGACTGGTTTCACTCCAAGTGTATTGGAGTGGCAGATGGCCAGAACGAGGTGTCAGAGGCAAGATGGACGTGCCCCTTGTGTCAAGCAATAAGGGGAAACCTTGAAGGAACGGTTGAGTGCATCAAGCACTTCCAGAAGACTGCTCGACCGTGCTTGTCGAAACTCGAGGCCTTGATGCAGCAAGCTGTGGGTCTGAAGCTGCCAGAGGAGGGCCAGCTCGCTGAGACCATTTTCCTCTTCAACTCTTGGCAGGTGAAGTCTGTTTCTTTTTCTGTATTTTTGGCACGTTTAGGCAATCTCTTAGCATCTGCAGTCAACACCCGACCTTCTCTCCCCCACCCACTGTGGAGTGTCTATCGAGTGCTTAGTGCACGGAAGTCACAAGAGAACCTTCCCCCAGAGGATGATACAGAGGCCTCCCATACACGGCGAGTGAACAGAGTCCAAGTACTTTGCATTGTGCCCAGAAGGGACTGTTGACGGGTGCCATTTCATGTTGTTTTCCCACAAGTCCACCATAAGCACAATTGCTTAGAAAACGGTATGCTGCCATTTACCAACACCAAAAGGGATACCACCACTGTGAGTACTGCCACTCTGTTGGTCTTCTTGTGCCCATGGTACCATGTATGGCACATTCTGTTAAGTTGTTGCTTGCTTATGTTGATATCTGGCATGAGATCTTAAGGAAGCGCCGTGTTTCTACTCAAAATGCCCTTGAGTCTCAAGGCGTTGGCACCCTTGGCCAGGGTCGTTGCCTACATTTGAATGGGTTTGTGGACATTTACGCCTTCATGTATTTGTGCATATGTGGCCGGACCTTCACATTTACCTGCCTGTTCACACATGTTTGAGTTGGAACCAATGCAACAACAAATTGTCTCTGACAGTTTTCCAGCTCACCACTACCGCAAGTCTCGCAGCTGTGCTTGATTGAGGGCTTTTCCTTGATCCTTTCGCAAGAGATATGACTGATCCACCCTTATCCCACAGGATCGTGTACTCAGTCTTCTCGACAACCGCAGCAAGTCAGTGTCGCTGCCAGAGGCAGCACTGCGCAGCATCCTGAAGGCAGTACTGCATGTGGAAGTGGATGCATCATGGATGCTGGACAGAATCATCGAGACAGCAAGATCCGAGAAGTGGCGGAAGAAGGTGGTGGCAGCCCACAAGAATTCACACAAGTGAGCCCCAGAAGCTCTGGTGTTGGGATGTAATCTGTGAGCAACGAAGTCGAGTTTTCGCCAGTGAGCATGCTTATTTGCTGCCTGCCTGTATTGGGAACAAAGAGAAAGTTACTGCTCATGTCAGAATATGCCCTCCCCGGATGTCTGGCCATTCTCAAAAGAAGTTGAATCTAATCTACGCATGCGCAGATCGCATACAGATTCAAATTTTGAATCTATTCCATTCCCTTGGCATGGATGGAAGCTGGTTGAACAGTGCTCTGTTCTTGCTGATGTGCTGGGGTCGTTTGTCTTATTGGGGCTTTGCCTTAAAGGTCCTGCTTCTGGGTGCGTTCCCAGGCCAACCATCGACTCCCTGCAATGCCTACTGGATGACAGTCGAGCGCTGCAGATCAACCCTAGCAAAGATGCCGCTGCAGCCTCGATTCACGAATCTGTCAGTCAGGGGTTGCAGTGGATGGAACGCGCTGGCTACCTGCAAGACAGACTACGTCGGCGCTCCGGGGAGCCGATCAACGATGCTAACACCGAGTTGCTGCACCGTGTGAGGGCCCACTTGGCATCTGTGGAACATATGCGCTGCCGTGTGGATGGTGCTGTGCTGGATTCGTTGAGGGAGGTGTCCTCGCCGCACTGCACGTGCGAGACAGTGTATGATGGCAAGAGATCTATGGTTGTTTGCACAGTCTGTGGCAGGTGGTTCCACTGTGAGTGTGTGGGCCTCAAAAGTGCCTTGCTGGGAGAGCGGCCAGGCGATTTCCGGTGCCCACGCTGCTGTGAAGCAACTGCCCAGCCATATCCGCACTCCCTCCCAGTTGACAATGCCAAGGCTGGGGCTGGTCAGGAATGCCACCTCGCACCTAACCACACAGGACGCATCCTTGACGAGAAACCGAATCATGGGCTGGCTTCAGGGGAGAGAGACCAGTGCTCTATTGACACGGCTGGAATCGCAGCCAATCTGGATGAACCTAGATTTGTGACGGCCCTGACGGCCGCCGACAACGAAAATCGCCTCGTGGTGATGCCTGAATATGTGAATGGCCTGGCTCGTCAATACAGTCAAGGCCCCGTGGGCACTGACCCAGGCCCACCCAGCACCCAGAATGGAAGCGGGACCCTCGAGCAGGAGCAGTTGCACAAGCAATCGAACAGGACAACAGCGGTCTCTGGCGCCAATCAGGTGAGGATGACTGGCACCAAAATGCCAACTGTTTGAGCAGAAGTTGTGTCAAACTCCATATTTGAGCTGTGCAGAATGACTGAAAATCTTGTAGCAATGAAGTGTTAGACCAATTGTGATATTCTACTTGGGGTGATTGTCTGTTCGTAACCAGTCTCTGCTGCAGGGCGGGCCCCTCCCTGCGGGGACCATCGATGGGTGCTCTGGCATGCAAGGGAATGGGCGTCCGCCAGGAATAGGCGCGACAGAGATCGCCCAGCTCATGGTGGCCCTGAGTGTGCCATCAGCAGGAGGGCTTGCCATGAGCGCAGAGGAGCAGCTACGGGTGCTTGGCACATTGCGGCAGATGATCACCAACAAGATGGAGGAACTGGAGCAGGAGCTCTGCAGCAATGGCAAGCAATAACCAGAACAGCTGTTGGCTTGGCCATTGTTTGGTCAGCATGGCTGGAAACTGAAAAGTTTGCTCCTGCAAGGAGGGGTGTGCCAGAAAGCGACCTTCAGCTTGGTCACTTACCAAAAGCTGTGCGGAGATCGATGACAGAGGGATGCTGGATCCAGAAGACCGCGAATGAGAGTTTGGGCAGGGCATCTATGATTTCTGTGGACACAAGAACTGTGGGCTGGGGAAGGCGATCGTTGTAGTGGTGGAAGGGAAACCCAGGGAGACTTAACTGCCGGTCTTGGAAAGCAGCTGGAGTGAGGGCAGGCGTGCAAGAGGCATATTAGCTTGCACATACCTGCTGTAGTTTACATAGAACTTTTGTAATTCATCGAATTGCTATATTCACAAGGCGCAACACACAACGCTTTGGTAGCCCAATCAGGATTGTTTTTCGGCGTCAAAGCAAGCGGCAGGGATCTGTTTCCTTTCGGACATTCAGGAAAGGTTAGTTGTGCAATACAGGCCACACTGTAGGGGCCCGACTACCTCTTGTGTGGACTGTTCTACACCGTTATCCTTGGTCCTAGATGTCGCATCCTGGTACCGCGCTGCCACAAGGAAGCACGTTTCACATGGTTTCCGCAACCATACAGAGTCTGTATGTGTATGTTGGCAATAAGGTGAAGGTGGCAATAGTGTAGAATATGTTGTCAGAACAAGCAGACTACTGCGATTCGCTACAGTTTCTGATATACTCACCCACCCTTCTCCTCGGAGTACCAAACTACTCTTCTTTGAGACTGAGCAATCATTTACATATAAACACGATTTTTTTTTGAGGGGGGGTTTTACATCGCATTGCACTTTCTTGTTTACACTGGGCCGGCGTTTTTCTGGATGGAACGGTGGCCGCACCAGGACACAAATGCTGCTTCTGTCCCATCACAAATACCCTCCATTTTGATCGCTGCAATTTTGTTCAGATAAAGGCAAGTGGCCAACTGATATCGTACTCAGAGAGGTCGGGTGTCGAAACGTCCAAAGGGCACCTCAAAACCGAAAAGAAATGTCTCTCCAGCCCCGTTGTGCGGCCGCTAAATGAGGCTTATTTGGGTACAAAATCGACGATCACACGATGATCGCAGTTCAAGCCCCTCCTGGGCCCGTCCTGACGACCCCTGCCTCGTTAGGATGACGAGGGGTCCTTTGCTGGTCTTTTCTTGTCTGGGCTGCTCATTGCCTGCCCCCTTTTTTGCGCCGTGCTCTCGTCTGTCCCCAAATCCCTTCTATCGATGTCGAGTGGCCAGCAATCGAAAGCGTTGCGGCTTCGTGAGCTGAGAAACAGCTGGACACCGATCTGGCAAAGCGTGCCCCAGAAGGCTGCGTCTGGCCAGAAATACGAAGGGGAAGGTAGGAACCTTTGCTCGGCTGACAGCCCACTGGGCACCGTAGTGGAAATTTTAACGACATAGACGACGAACTTGGCCTGAAATATGTGTGGGATATGCAGAATTCGGGAGTGGACGTGAGGCAAGAATTAGGGCAAATCCATGCTGGCGGTGTGGTTGAATACGCAGACGACGTTCTTGCTAACCAGCACGTTCCACACAGGAAAGGCTCCGAATGGAAGAGATCGACATCCTGGACGTTGAGGGTGCTAGGAAGAAGCTCTTCATGTGCTGTGGCACAAGTTCTTCCAATCGGGGTGATCTCTCTTCGTAATGACCGTTGTTGCCGCATTTTCTGATCGCGTGGCAACTTGCAACTGGCCAAAACCTTCAAATTCTCGAGAAAACAGTACACAGTGCATACAGTGCATACAGTGCATACAGTACACACAGTACACACAGTACACACAGTACACACAGTACACACAGTACACACAGTACACACAGTACATTGGTTTCTTCAAAATTGCGTTCTCAGTCTTCGAATGTTACCTCTTACCTTCCTTCCCATCAGCATCCACACCAAAGTTTTGAACCAGCGATAAGTTCCTCTATCGTGGGGTGACAAATTGCCGCCAGTTCAGAGCTTCTGCGCAGGTGCTGTCCCTCCCATCCAATTATTTGCAAATGCCAGAGCAATGCGGCACCGATCAGTTTCTGGTCGGACGCTCTTTGGCTATGCGCAGCTGTATATGATAGTTGGGTGTGTCGACCACTCACGCGCTTGGATTTGTTGCAGTTTGTTGCTGTCTCTCCGCAACTCGCCAAGTCCGAAAGAACCATGCTTGCGTCACAACACTGGAGCAGTTTGGAGGCGCCAGCGTATGTGATTAAATGCAAGGAGACCTTCGCATAGGCCCCCCCCGAAATCCTAGCGCACATGCTGCGCCGTGGCACAGTCAATTCCAGCAGAATTCTGGCTGAGCGTCATTTCATCCGATGTCGGCCAAGACTCGCCATTTGAGGATACAATGCCTTGGTCTCCCATCGGCGATAAGTTGTTCAACAATCCCGATCCCGTATCAACGCACCCACTACGGCCCAGTTTTCAGTCACAAGTACCGTCAGATCTGTAGGTCACCCAGTCAGCCGCGCTTACCTAAACGCAAAAAATTCCCACCGTCATCCACTAACTATTGTCGTCTTGAGTTCACGAGGTTATTCGTGAGCTGAGCGCCTATGTGCAGTGTTCGGACGTCATTCCTAAACTAAATGGGTGTTCCTACAGCTAGGTGTCCTCCGGCCCCTAATCATTGTTCACGAACCGCGGATCAAGCCTCAGAGGAATAGCAGCGATAAGGCCCTGGTTGCCTGCGCAATGAGCACACACGCATATCAGCATAACCACAGGCGATGGACAGAAGGCATCGCGCCACTATTTTCACCATGGGACCAGATAGTTGTGGATGTGGACCGCACTTGTGCATGGCGCCCCCCACTGGATGCATTGTCAAATATACTGTATTTTGACAATTGTAGACAGAGCACACTTGCCGTGTACCAGAGGCTCCAAAGGTCATAGGTACACCCAGATTGGACTGCATATTTTGGTTTTCTGGAGTTCTTTGTTGGTTCCCAATGAATATGGAGTGCACAGTCACTGCAAAGCAAGCATCAGGAGCGCATCGTTCAGTGCACGCCTGCTCCACTGCATGTCCTTGCCAATCGCAGCCCATCCATGAGCTTGCATGGCGAACCGATAGCTTTCAAATCAGCTGTTGCACCTCCCAATCGTTGAAAAAACACAGGTTCGCATGCTGTCGGGTCTTGCCAACCAGCATGCATCTCATCGATTTTTGTATGCACACACTACTTCAGCCATACCTAGGTTGAATCCATGCAAGCCCATTGCACCAAGAGTAGTGGGCGCATCATGAGATGCACAAGCCTTGAGAGACGAGGCAGCTCATTGAAGGACACCAAAGGCTTGCAGTCACCAGCTTGCAAGCAAGCTTTCTGGGAAGCAGATGTGCGCTCAACTGGTGCACTTTGAGCTTGCTGCATCTGCTCCATGATGTTGCTCAAACTTCTCCCCAGCTCACCCAATACTTCCCAGTTCAGACCGACTTACCTTCGTCTACCCTTGCCCATGGACTTGGGTGCAGTGCGCACAAGGGTGAATCCCTTGTCCAATGAAGGCACTGGGGCCAGCGTACCGCGTGCACGGGGCGCATCCAGGCTGTCGAAAGAATAAATGTCAGGCAAGGGCTCCGATGCCTGATAGATGTCCCCATCACGTCCTGGCCCCCGCGAAGCCGTCTGGCTGGGCTTCATGGCGAAGTTGGGCCTTGGACTGGGAGGGGCACTTCCTTGGGAGTTCTTCAGGTCGAATGCTGAGGTTCCTGAAGGAGCTCCCTGCGCACGGAGCCCATCCCAACTGTCGAACTCATCGATGCCAGGCAAGGGCTCCGATCCCTGATGTATGTCCCTGGCATGTCTTGACGCCTGCGAGGCCATCTGGCTGGATTTTGTGGCAGAGATGGGCCTTGGCCTGGGAGGGCCCCGTCCTGGGGGATTCTTCTGGTCCAATGAAGTCTGTGGGGCATCTTTGCCTGCTGAGCTTGTTGACGGAGCGCCCTGCACATGCGGCGCTTCCTGAATGTCTAACTCGTCGATGTCAGGCAAGGGCTCCGATCCCCGATAGATGTCTCTAGCACGTCCTGGCACGAAGCCCTGTGCACCCTGCGCCTGGGGCGCATCCTGAATGTCAAATGCATCAATGTCAGGCAAGGGCTCTGAACCCCGATATATGTCCCTGGCATGCCCTGGCGCCCGTGAAGCCATCTGGCTGGACTTTGTGACAGAGGTGGGACTTGGCCTGGGAGGGCCCTCGTCTTGGGGGTTCTTGTGGCTCTGGCAGAGCTGCCTCGACAGGGCAGTGGTGACCGCCTGCGAGAAGGCCATGTCCCGGGCGTCACTGTTCTGCCTCGTGTGGCCTCCCTCCCAATTCTCAAATTCCACACACACCCTGGGCCTGGACATGAGCGGCGCAGGCCCGTCATCCTCCTCCTCCCGTTCCTCCTCCGCAGGCTGGGGGCACACCATGGGGTGGGCCACCTCCACCCACCCCTCTGCCAAGCCCACCTCGCACACCTCTTCAACTCCATCCCCAACACAATCCTCGACTTCAACCGAGCTGACATCTTCAACGTCGTCCTCAACTTCGCCCTCAGCTTGCTCCTCAGCATCTTCTGCAGTCTTTGTCTCCGTGCCCTTCGTGTCATCTGCATGCTTCCCGTTTTCTCTCCCAGACCCTGCCTTGGCGGCCTTGGCGGCCATCCGCCTCCGGGAGGCCAGGTCGGGCGGCGTCACGGACAGCCCCCACTGCACCGTGTTCTGCGGCATCTCCGAGCTCTTCCCGATCACCCCCCAGCACTTCAGAATCATCGTCCTCAGTTTTTCGAACCTCACTCTATTGATTTCACAGGCCAGTGCCGCCGATCTTCCCAACAGCGCGCCCACCCCCTGGTCTGCCATCAGCTGCCTGGACTCCGCCAGCGACTGGATGCTGCACACAATCCCACGCACCCACTTGTGCTCCATCGCCTCTGTGATGGTCAGCCGCTCCTTGTGGTTCGGCACGAGCAATTTTGACACCAAATCCTTGGCAGCGGGCGTCACGGCCGCCCAGGCCGCCCCCTCCATCGAGAACCGCCCTGCCAGTATGTTATCGTGGACCTCCGCCTGCCCCTTTGGCCCGTAGAACGGCACCTCGCCGCTCAGCAGCGTGAACAGCACCGCCCCAAGGGACAGCATGTCGATGGACCTTCCCACCTTGTCCACGTGCTTGCGGATCGCCGAAGGCGGGTAGTACTTAAACGTGCCCATCTCCTGCCGCCTCCCGCCATCCACCCCCTCCCACATCCCAAGGTCGGTCATCCGTATGTCCATGTTGCCATCCGACCCGGCAAGCATGAAGCTGTCCAGCGACAGGTCCCTGTCCGTGATGCCGTTCTTGTGCAGGAACGCCAGGCCGGTCAGCATCTGCAAGAACAGGAACTTCACCTGCGCCTCAGTGTACGTCTGCCCGCTCCCCAGCACCCCCTCCAGCAAGCCCCCGCCCGCGGGGAGCTCCATAACGAGGTACACCCTGCTCTTGCCGATGTAAAATTCGCGCAGCACCGGCACGGCGGGCTCGAAGCTGTGGGCCAGGATGTCAATCTCTGCATACACCCGCTCCCTCACTAGCCGTTCCGACCGTTCGTCCGCCTCGGGGAGCGGCATCGCCCGGCAGACGCACCGCTCTCCGGTCCGTCTGTGAGTGACATACCGCATCCCTGTCCCCCCTGAACATGTCAGCTGGGCGCCCAACTCGTAGTCCTTCTTAACGGGCTCGAATCTCCGGAAGGGGGAATTCAACACGCGGGCTTTGGGCGTCTCGTCGCGGAGCCGTTCCACCGCCAGGCGCCTCTCGCGGGCGCGGGTTGCTGGAGAAGCAGGGGAAATGCCATGGGCGTCGTCATGGGCGTTGTCATACGCGGAGGCCGTCGTCAATGTCTCCGGGTCGCCGCAGGCGTTCATCAGCCGCCGCTGCCATCGCTGCAGCCGGCTAGCGCCTCGTCGCCTCTCCTTCTCGGTCATGTTCGCTAACTCTCCGTGCCGCGGGGCGACCTCGGCGCCTTTATGGGACAGGTCCTTGGGGCTTGTGTGGCTTCTTGTCCCAAGGTGCGAAGATCCGCGTGTACGGAAGCTGGACAGGGCTGACGTCGCCATAAGGGCATCACACACCTCGAAATGACCCGCTCTCGAAATGACCAATTTTTGTGGGCCGGGAGGTACCACGTGTACAGGTATTACCAGATGCTTTGGGAGTGTGTCTGCACCCCCTGGAACAGACCTCGCTTGTGCGATCGTGTTACGCATACCGGACCCACGTAGGGGATGTGACTGGACGGACAGTGGCTGTCACACTAATGAGAGAGGTCTGCATTCATGAGGATGTTTGGCTGCGTGTGATGGCTCCAGCAAGCCGTCAGCGTGGAAATCGCAAAACAGACGAAATTCGTGAACGCTGCTGGGCTTGCTCCATTTGACCTGCTATGTTAACGGAATGCTGTTCATCCACATGCTTGTTTTTCCGGGACAGCATGAGCTTCCAAGGGTATTGGTCGAAGTCTGAAGGGATCTTGACCTTAGAATGGGGAAAAGGCAGTGCAATTCAGAGAACCGTTTTGGTTAGAGTGCCTTCTCCACAAGCACCCCTGTGAGGAAGTTGAATTTTTTTCTTTCCGCAACGTTGAAGTAATTCGATCACTCCTTCATTGTTCATTTTTGTTTGCAAAAATTCTGGATCATGTAAATCTGCCGTCGGAAAGTTTCAAAATGAGGATACGAGTAATTGTCTGATTCGTCAGAACTGCAGCTTTCGCCCATACATCTCTCTGTTTGCCTCGCTACTCTGTCTGTGGTGTTGGCGGAGGGTCCATGTACTAGTAGCCCATATTTTGTGCTGGTTTCCGAGCGAAAAGGGCGTCTGCGACATGTGTTGGATGATGGCTGCGCCTGAGTGGGGAGGTGGCATGTGTCTCAATTGTCGTATAACCATTTGTGATCAACAAGGATGCAGCGATTGGAATAAGAAGATGGACAGTCGCAGAAAGGAGAAAACCGATCGTGCCTGGTGCCAAAACCGCCGCTGTTGGCCACAAATACAAATGCGCCGGCTGCCGCTGGCACCAAAAGGGAACGAAATGATTGGCTTTCTGAGCCTGGTCCCATTCAACCACCGCTTGGACGAAAACGAGCGATTCTGGGCGATTGAGTACCACCGCAGCACGCACTTGCGTTGGGTGTGTCGTATAGCCATTCATTGCAATGAAGTGCTGTGCAAAATTCATGTTTGAGCATCTCCAGGTTTTGTGCATTCAGCTTTAAAGCTGGCCAAAGTTGGGCAGTTTCGGCCGGTCTCACGTCCCCACGTGGGCCTCCGCCGCGTCATGGATGCCAGCGCCCGCGACACTCCCGGCGCGTCGTCCCCAAGCCTCCGAAAGACGCCCATCCACTCCTGCCCCCGGGCCACCCCTTTGCCCGTCCCCAGGGGTTCTCGAACGCCTGCCTCGGGCCGATCTAGGCGCCGGCTGGGCAGCCTGACCAACAGGAAGCGCGGCCTGGAGACGGTGCAGGAGACGCCCGTGGAGAGCGGAAAGATGCGCACACCGCCCACGGAGAGACGAGAGGAGCGCCGCTTTAGTGACGAAGCTCTGAGGGGGCGGCCGCTTTTTGAATCTGCGGGTAGGGGGCCCCGTGGGCGGGGGCCTCATGTGATCGGTGCGTGGAGGGGGAGGTTGTTCACATGCGTGTCGCGATTTTCGTCGCGGTATTGATCAATCCCCTAATGAGGAAATACTATCAGAAAATACCATGTTTGCGATACCATTTTGACACAAAGTGACGCCATCACAAGGATTGCGATGGCACAAAGTTGGGGCGATTGCATCAATTTGTGTCGAATGGCATCGCATGAATGGCGGCTCCCGCTGGTGAAAGGGGTCCTGGCGAATTGCGAATTTTGGAAGTGCGCACGGATGACAAAGCGGTGCTGCCTGGCGCCGAGCAAAGCAGCCGAGATTATGTTCGCGATCGCGGCTCGCCATCATGAGCCGTTTGTCGCGGTGCTTGATCTGAATTCCGGTTGGCGAAGTCGAGGAGACAGGCGGATGTTGTGCGTGGCTTGAATGACATTGTCATCGATATGTAATTTCGGCGTGGCAACTTCGGCGCAGCACCTCTCCGATGGGTTGGATGACCGCTGCGCATCGGCCAGTGAGCCAATGGCCCGCAAAAATCGTCACCGTAGGCCGCGCTTGTGCGTCCCTTTTCCACAAACTGCTGCCATCTGCAAAATTCAGACCAAACTTGCAAAACGTGCTGAAGGAAAGCCCCTGATCGGCAGCAAGTCCCAGCAAGAGTTGGGGAGCTTGAGTACTGCCCACAGGAACCTCTCCATTAGGGTTTCAATGAGACTACGTGCTCTGCAAATTTACACTCGAGAGGATTTCTCACATATCGCCAATAGAGGTGCACGTGGCTGATGCACATGCGAAATGGCGAGCAGCCGTGCTTGCCCTCAATGAAGCGTACCTTTCGAGACAGTGTAGGTGTTCGCTCTGCAGGCGATGGCACAATCCCGCCAATGGGGTGCGATGTCGACGATTGTGGGACAGCAGAGGTGCCGGAGTATGAAGGCTGCAGGCGGATGGGCAAGCCCGAGAGAGAAATCGAAGCTGCAGCTTTTGCAGAATGGGAAAGGGAGATCGATGAAGCCGTGGCGGCGTTTGCTGCAAACCCGCCGCTGCCGTTCCTGCCATGGGGACCTGAGCGAGAGGCGGAGCTCATCTCTCTAGAGTGAGGGCTCTGGCTAATGGATACAGCGGTAGCCGGCTTGCAAGCTTGCATGTTGTCTTACAACTGTATCCGTAAAGGTGTTCCGTGTCGCACAAACTATCTTGTGTTGGGTCCCGTTAAGCCGGTCGAATTCGTGCATCAGCGGGTGCCAGCAACAAAAATCCATTTCACATATATTCTTGACGGTAACCAAACATTAGCGAGCTGCTGGAGACTCTATATTAGTGAGGCATACCCTCATCAAAAGGGACAAATCGTACGTTTGAAACGTCATTTTGTGCCACTACTACCTGTGGACTTATAGCGCTGGAATTAGACATAGTTGCGTAATCGCAACACCGTTATTTCAGCCATTTATCGCTGACGTCATATGGAAGTTCTTCTAAGGTAAAGTGCATGTAATCATAGCTCTTATGGGCTTGTGCAGAAGTCTATATCTAGACCTCGGTGCAGTTGAGTTTGGCTGTGCGCTCAGGGAGAAGATTAGGGAAGCGGAGGCTCGCTCTCCGTGGGCCGCCCATGACGCGCTCGAATAGAGATGAGGACAGAACTAGGAACGGTGGAGAAACTGGCTGGTTCATGCCATTCGGAGGAAGCCAGGCAACAGTGGTGCTGCAGGCGTATCCAGGCAAAAACAGCCCGCGGGGCTGCCTGGCAATCAGTGAGTCACCAAGGTTAATTTGCTCACAGCAGAGCAATGGAAGTTCGGAGTGGCGCTGGGGGAGGCATGGCGAATTCGAGGAGGCACGGATTGTAGGCTCTCATGGGCGCCGCATGAAGAGGTATGGGCCCCGAGTGCTCAATAGCGTCACCCCCTGTGGAGCAAGCCATGGAAAGCGCACAGAACCAAGGCTGGCAAGAGTGGTTTCTGGATCCACTACTCTGCTAGACGCAACTGTTGATGGGAGTCAAGTCATAATGAATAATCGTTTCCCCAAATGCAGCGCAGGCGAGGTGTCAGCACTAACTTTCATGGCAATCACGACATCAGCACATGCATCATGACGAAGAACAACAGCAATCGTTAGCAGGTGGTTCATCGCTTCTTAATCATCGCGGTCCCAGGAAAAAGTGCGATGTTGACCGCAAGACAGCCAGTTATTGCCAACCACCTTCCTTCTCAGCAATGCACACATCGGCTGTGCCCCAATGTACAGGCTTTCCTCCTGGTGATTCATCAGTGATGATCACACCATGATCACCATGATCGCTGCAAAACGGCCGATCACGCCTCTCCAGATACGAAATTCCTGAGCCCGTGCTCCGACTCCATGCTCCACTCGAGGCCACAGGTGACACACGACATTGGCACACAACGTTGGATGGTTGGACTGCACAGTTGCTGGTTAACCATCAACTGCGTAGATTTCTGACAGAATATGACAATTAACGTGACACCAGTTTCGCATCTCCGTTGTGCAGTCGTTCAGTGAGCCTTCCAGTTGCCATGGCGGACATGTCTCAATGTCCGGCCCCTTTTGAACACGTCCTATTCGCCACGCACATCGCCTCACCGTCTGGCTCTCAGCCCAGAGGAGGATGACAACTCACGAGCAAAGCCCTTCAGAAAAGCCGAAGCGAGGGCGCCAGTCCAGTGCATTCAGTGTCCGTTGCACACGCGCTCCCTGCTCAGCCAAGGCATGAAATTAGCCGCCCTGTCTTTTTCGTGAAGATCCCGCTTTGTCTCGACACCCTAATCTATTGAGCCACTGAGCCGTGTTGGCCTCGTCAGCGGAAGAAGAAGGGACCTTCACAGAAAAGACAGAGGGACCAACAGTTTCCCCCTCAACAAAGAGGGCATCGCGCCAATCATCAGCTCAGCCCCAGCAATAGAGACTTATTTCAGCGCCTGCTGAAACTAGGGTGGGTGAGCACGAAATGATGGCGGTTTGGGTGCCTCGGGTCACGGGGAGAGACAGACAGAGACCGGGAAAACAACTTCCAGGCGTGGCTAGCGGATGCTCCAGTCGTAAGCATACGCTGAAGTACACAGACGCGAGGAGCGAATGCCATGGTGATGTGGACCAATGGTGGGGTTCCAATGCTCACGTCGCGCAGCCCAGGGTAGCCACACGCGGGTGATCGCTGCTTATTCGGACTCCACAAATTGCTACACATGAATCAACTGTAAGGTTTTCTTTTCAGTAACCCATTATTCGAGTATAATTGGATCTCTTCGGGTCATCACTGATCATGCCTCCCCTGCTCCATGCCCCGCGAACATTGGCACACGCCCCAGTTCTATTCGAATCAGCGTCCTACACTCAACAGTGCGTGTACCATTATGGGTACTTCCTTCCACATCGAGCACTGTCTTCAATCACTTTGCGCTCCCTGTCTCTGCGCTCATAACTGCGCCATCAGTATTATGCCAGCAAACCGACAGCAATGGGAAACGGGCACACGCACCTTTGACACAATTTTCAGGAATCCATGGTATCCAAGGGCTGTGTTTCAAGGCGCACATTTGCAGAGAAGCCTGCGATGGCCAGCAATTTCGTTTGCACACCGAGGCCATGGGGTACGTTGCTTCAGCACTTTCTCTCCCCCTTTCGTGCCAAGTGTTGTGGGTTGTCCAGGTGGATGCCGAGCAGATAGCTGCTGCGCAGCAGCACATTTCGTTAGCCAAATCTCGGCCACCTTCACGCCTTCCCCCGCAGCTAGACTCCTTCACCGGAACGAAGCAGCCTTCCTTGATGCAATGCCTTGCCGGGAGTCTGATAGGCATGTCGGCAATCGCCATCATGCAATGGGTGATACGTCACACACGCCACTGGTGTTGATCAGCTCGACAGGAGTCGAGCTGCACAGTGCTGCTCAGCACGTTGCACCGACTACACAACCGGTTTACAGCCCATGGTGTTTCGCAATAACCCATGCTCAAAGTGCACTGCCCCTAATCCTTTGCCATAGCTTGCTCCCTCTTCTCCATTGTCGTTCGAGTCCCTTCGAAGCTCAACAACTGCTCGAAAACAGCCACCAACCTGCAACGTCTGCAGAGATCTCTCCCTAGCTTTGTGTTTTAGGCATTTGCTTGTCATTATGTACCAATTAAGGAATTGATAATGCTGTATACGAAGATTGCAGCGTTCCCATACAGAATGCAGAAGTCTTTTTGCCTTTTCTTTAAATGGATTGCCGCTTCCCTTCCTGCAACAGCCATGCTGGCATAATCGGGCCATCCTGCGGAGCATGTCTTCCCATGTGAGGTACACACGCCTCACAACACTGCACAATTTCAACAATGCCCAAAGCCGCAAACCAACCTCCACACTATATATGCGTCACAGTGTGCAACCCCCCTCCCAGTGAGACAGCCACCACATGGCAGCTTTGCCACAATGCTGCTGTCCTGTGCATGAAGCCAATTGCATGACTTAAGCTGTAGCTATTGACCCCTATGGGTGCCTCTCAGCTCCCTAGCTCTCCACGCTCCACCCCTTGCCCGTCTGGCTGCCGTCAAAGTTGATCACTAAAGTATGGAAGCGCTTCAGCGAGTGGCGATGGGCTATCGAGAGAAGCGTGATGTTGGCGTTGAGACAAGCATCGTACAACTTCTGTTCCCCATCCGCACTCACCTGCCAGCAGCACTCAGCAAAAAAACTTCAGTGCACAGCATGACGCCCCGCCATCTTGGGGCAAATTTGTTGAATTGCCTGACCACAGAGGCCGGTTGCTTCAAAACAGTCACTCGAGTCGCACAGTCTGCAAAACGATGGTGCCGTGGGCACAGGTATGCATCCATTTCTTCACGCCCATGCTGCCGTGCAGGCAAGACCATACGCACAGAGCAAGCCTCCTTACTGCAATTATGCCAGCATGGCGTCCAACACGCCCCAAATTTTGTATTGCACGTCCATGTCTATGGCATTTGTGATTTTGACATTCACACATCTGTGCTCCTCTGCTTCCATATTCCTCGCGGGGAGCATGGCTGGATGGAGTAGCAATGGGAGCTATGCCCAGTCACGGATGGAGTTTAGAAACATGTGATGTCTATCATGGGTAACGACGGCCCAAAGACAAGTTCGGGCATCGTGGAGTTGATCCTATTCCAACACATGACTACGATCGGAAATTCATCCCATCCGACAAAACTCAGATTCGAACAGAAACTCCGTGAGCTTTTGTTCCAATGTGACATAGCCTGCCAATTCATAACTCACCGCACTTGTGGCTTCATCCAATATGGCATACTTAGGGCGGTGAAAGAGGAGCCTGGCCATGGCGATCCGCTGCTTCTCGCCACCGCTCAAAGTCTCCTCCCACTTTTGAATTTGGTCCCATCCCTTGCCCCTTGTCACCAAATAGCCAAGCTCCACGAGCTCTAGGCATTCTAACAGTCTGGAGTCGTCCACCTCGTTGGGGGCACGGCCTCTGACGTTGACAAAATGACGTCTGTTACAACAAAACCACAACATGCTCACGAAGTCACAGTGCCCCACAAATGAATCCAATAAGCCATTGGTGCTTTTTTGGAGGCACAATACCCCTTGTGCACAACAACAATCCAACACACAATAATATCGCAATTGTCTCTTGTTAAACTCGGTCGATGTGATGACAGTGACATATGAACATTCAAGTGCAATGCATATGGGCTGGCATAAAATGGTCTCAATCCCGTGATGCAATTTGCAACAGAAACTCACGAAGCCTTCTTAAAACTTTGCAGCAATCGCAGGTGAGAGATGCTCCAGCTCATGAGGAGCAAAGCAGAAACTTCATGTGCAATTATGGAACAGTTCAAAACTACAATCTGCCACCAGATTGCAACGATTTTTGCCTTAAGTACACTTCCCAAAATGGACAGTTGGCTCCCATTCACCAGCGTAGAAGCAAACATCAATTCATCCATGCCATTCATCTTGTCCCACACATGGTATTCATCTTTTCAGGCAGACAATCTATGCTGAGCATTGACGACTGACACTAGGCTGTGGCAGGGGCCCAGCTGTTCTGTTTTCTAGTTTTCAAACCCACACAGGGCTCAATAGCACATATCTGTCTTGCAGTCCATGCTACTGCTGTTGCATGCCAGTCATGCTACACTGGAGATTGTCTGCAGCATCTTCTACAGTGAAGAAATGAGTCGCACCAAACTCTTGTTCAGGAGGGAGACGCCCATTGTGTGACATGCATCCCCTCTCTCAAGAGAACAAGCGTCGGTGGTCTACCTGTCTTCCCTCCCAGCTGTTCCCCACACCAGCTTGGGGGGGTCCGGATACAGCAGCTGGTCTCGCAGAGATCCGGTCACAAGGTAGGCTCTCTGAGATAGGTAGAACATGTCGGACTTAGGAGGGGTGGTGATCTCGCCAGCCTGTGAGCGTGTGAAGCCAGACCGCATCTCAAGAGCAGTCAACTGTTAGGTCAAATGGAACATGTGCTGTAAGGGTGTTGACCAGACACTGTGGATGGCGTTTTGCCCTTCATCACTTTAAAAGGTGCAGGGGCAGTGCACCATCACATCCAAGCCCGCACAATCAAAACGAAATCGATATACTGAGCCAACCAAATAAACAACAAGATCAATGGATTGTCATACCAACTGACTGCAAGTTCCCAGCCGTCATCATTCTGCTTTTTGAATCACAGGCAAGGGCAGCATCCAGATGTCCCTTGCCGCTCAACCAGGGTTCCTCATAATCTGGTCAATCGAGCCTCAGGGAACTGCAGACAAGCTGTTCCACCACCCCACAGTGTTGCTTTGATGCACACAGTCTAACAAGTCTAATGAGTCAGAAGGCTGTCACAGGGAGAATAGCAGCAGTACTCTTGTGGACAAAGCAATGTGCTCAGAGCGCTTTCTCACATCCCTACAGCCCAACTCAGTTTGGATGCCTGTTTCTGCTGTGCTTATGGTTCTTTGTGTTTGAGGCAAAACACACAATACTATCAAAGTTCTGTGGGTGAACAAAAGCAACCAAAAATGATCACTGTCTTGGAAGTGCGAGACAGTGCTTCATGAACTCTTGGAAAATGAAATTCAAGGATCGACACTGGAAGTCTTCATTTCTGACAATTGTTCACTCCAAAACAAATCATAGTGTCAAAAACTCACCATGAGGGGCCACAGCCCAGCCAGTACTCTCATCAAAGACGACTTGCCACTGCCATTGGGGCCCATAAGGATAACAGACTGACCAGGCTTCACCTCAAATGACAGCTCCCGAATAAGTGGCGTGCCATCTGGTGCATTCAGAGCCAGCCTATGGAATTTTATAGAATCGCCTACAAAACGCCTTGGTGGCACCACATCTAAATCACCAGCTTTTCCAAGAACTGAAACACATGCAGACAATAAAAAAATGCACTGGTCAGTCCTTTCACCGCATTTGTCAGAATGTGACAAAGCACTGTTGTTTCACTTTCGAAGCAATACCCATTGTAATTTCATCCATGACTATTTTGCTACCAATTGCTCACTTCGTTGAGTCAGAAGCAACAATTGGCACAGGTGCAGCTCACTGGACATACCTATGACAGCTCGACAAAAATTCTCCTGGTTGCATATTGTGCACAAGCAATTCCATCCATATTTCCCTGATGCTCAGAGCCTGAGGTCATTGACGGGAATCCACACACAGTCCCAGACCTGGCTATCTCAGAATGGCAAACAGGCAATGCGATACAAAAAAACCTGCTGCTCAAGGCTGCTGAGGCTCCCTGCCATATTGCAACAATGTTGTAGGGTATAACAATTGCAGCAGGCAACACCAGCACAAATTGAAGTACCAAGTTGGTCTACAAGGGTTGCTACTTTGGCTTTGTACTTTGATTACTTTTTGCTTGAAACACTACCGCTGACTCAGATTATGATAGAGAATGCTACAACCAGGCATCACCTGCTGCAAGGTTGTCTGGCCCAGCGCCCTCCCCGGTCGCAGACACATTCTTCAGAAAGAGGTCCTTGTGCTCTGCATCGGCAGAACTCAGTTGCTCCACCTGGATACCAGAGCAGTGCATTGCACATCTCCATCTACTTGAACAAAGCACAAGGCCCTGCCTGGTGGGATATGCACCAAAAGCAATGTTGTATGCACTGCACCATGAAACCGGAATCTGGAGTAAATAGTTTACAATGAAGGTTTCACAATTGCCGCAGTTCTTCAAGTCAAGCAGCTGCAGGGTATCAGGCACTCAATACTTTGTTGTCCAGATATGCAGGGTTTGCCAAAAGCAGCACTGCGTATCAAACAACAGTCACAGTGCACAGGATTGCCTCACACAGCCCGGCTTAAAGCTGCCACTTCCTGGGAGCTGTGTACCTGTTCAAGAAGCTCAGATACCCTGGAAGTGTGGCCTGCAAGGGTTGTCACCCGCTTGTACACCATGATCAGGTCACCAATGCCCCTGCAACAAAAGAAAATCACCAAGGAGCACATTCGCTTCCCGAAATCAGATGAAGATTTGCACATTTCACCTGACGGAGCCTAGCCAAGACCAACAACAAGAAACCAGAGTCACAGGATGAGCAAGCTGCTAGCTGCTAGCTGCAGCTCCGCAAAGATTGCCCTTCGAAAGATACAAGACAGGGTCCCATAACGCCTCTTCTAAGTGCAAACTCTGTGGATACTTTTTGCCACACTATAGGATGCAATGCAGAAACTTCTAAGTGCAGCATGAACAGCATGCAGCACAGATTCGTACCCAGCAATGGCCGAGACACATAGCTGTCACCGTTATGCGGGCGCCTGTTGCAATCAGCAGTTCTGAGAATCTGTTGTGGCATGGAGAGCAGGATCAAATATCTTGTTTATGCAGGGAAGGACATGGTCTCACAATATGCTTAGAGAAACAATGCATGATTTGCCGAGAAACCTATTTCGAAATGCAGCAGCCAGTCCCTGTTACTGTGTCATCAATGTCAATTTGGGCAGGTCCATAACTTAGAAATTCAGTCCCAAAGATGTCATTTCAGTGCTTGTAGTCTGTGTAAACTGTTAAAGGGTAATCTAATTCAACCCCTTTGACTTTGTTTTGCGTGTTACTCTTGCTGGCCTCAGAAGCTTCTGCATGATCTTTGCCAATATGCCAATAAGTGCCGCAATAACTATTGCTCAGGAAGGGCGTGCCTAGTGTGTGACATTTACCTTCCTGTTGTGCAGCAAATCATTCTACTGAGCCTGATACTACGGTGTTTCAGTTCGGACACAGCTGTTCATGCACATTGCCATGCCTGTTCACACTTTCTGCCTTCGATTCAAGTGATCAGGCAGTGTTCTGTAGTTTTTACAACTGCTGTTCAAGATGCGTTTCAGTCAAATCACCTGGAGGTATTCTGCAGGAGGCGCATGGCCCTGATGTAGTCTTGCGTCAGCTGGTCCTGAGACTGACGCATCTCCGGTTCCTGGTAGTAAATGGGCACAGCGTACACCAGCAGCGTGATGCAGGATGCAAAATACTTCACCAAATAGCCCTCGGTCATCTAAAGACAACAGCAACTCCGCTTGTCAGAGCCAGCCCTTGCATCTTGATAGCTCTTCAAACACAGTTTTTTGCCATCGTACCATGTGTTGGGAATTGTTGTCTCAACTGTGAGAATAAAGACTGTGAAGATTAGCAGTGCAGGATTCCCTGTTGGAAGAAGCCATATGCAGAGTTGCAACACTGTACAGGTTTCAAAGCCAGCGCTTCCATAACAGAATCTTGCCCAGCAGGATGAGGTCCAGACTCTCAGCATATACATAGGATGCAGAAGCCACAAGAATGAACAAGAAAAGAAAGAAGGCAAGGTACCACAACATGACCACACGGTCAGCAGGCACCACACCTGTGTCCAATCTGTGCAATGTTTGGAGCAGCAAACCTAGCGAAGGACAGCTATACAGAACAAAGACTTGCATGACGATACAAGAAAGCAGCCCCTGAGCACTCTGTGCATCCTCATGGGTGCAGAACAAGCATCTATTCAAGAACAGTATCAGCTGTTTTAGACTCGTACAACAAGTCCACCACTTTGCTCGCCTTAGTGATGTTGATTGTAAGTGCTTGAACATGCACAACACCTAGTGAGCAACACATCAAGAACAGTTTTCTTCCATTTGGAACAAGGAACTGCAAGAACAGCTGTGGCCATGACCAGGGCCAACAGAGCCAGTGATGCTGGCACGGCTCACCTTTTGAAGGAACCTTTGAAATGCGGACAGTTCAGTGTAGCGCAACAGCCTGTGCAAATGCTGGTTCAGGACGAGCTGTTCTGTAGCACCTCCAGGTGGGTCGTTGTAAGCCACTTCCTCAGCGTTGGCCACCAGTCTCTGGACAAAAAGTAAGGAACCTTACGAAGCGGTGAACACACAATTTCCAACATATGGGCTGTGCCTGTAAGCATCAACCTTGCAGATTCCGGAGGGTAATTTTCAACTCTCAGCCTGTTTCCACTGCCATTTAATGTTTGGTGTCAATTATTCCAGTTAGATACTGGCAGCAAACCAAGCCGCAGATTGCTGGCTGTCTTTGGCAAACAGGATAGATCGTTCGCCTGCATGCACACCAAAGTAATATTTGCTTTGGTGCATGGATGCATGGGTGTCTGTGAGCTTTAAACTTCTTGAACACATTTTTGGCATTAAACTATCTTGGCTAAATTACATATTATGTGTGCCTAACTTGTACTTCAAGGTATAAGGATGTGTGCTACATGTGCCTGGACCCTAAACCTGCCTTGTGCAAACGTGGATTTTGGGCAGGCAGAAGCGCCCACCAGAAAATCTTGTACAGCCCATGAGAGGCTAGTCATGCATTTGTTTGCAAGCGAGAGGTACAAAATTGGGTACCTCTACAATAGAGGCAGATGAGGTTGGATCACTATTTGTAGCTCAAACCATCAGCATTATTGAACACAGCGGGCATTTGGTGCAATGCTCAGGCACACTGTCCTTCAGCCAAGCCCTCCAATCACTGCCAAAAGGCAATCTAGGCAATCATTCCCCATGTTGACAAGTGTCAAAGCCAGTCTGACGAAAATGCCCAACTTTGATTTTGCACTGCTTGGTATTTAAGCTGTTGCTTATGTTGCATGAGCCCTTTCTTATGCATTGGATACCATGTCTTGAAGTACAGAAAGGAGCCTAAAATCCCAAGATGTCTATTGCAACATGTCATTCCTCATATTGAAGCATCACTTACCCAGTCAGGCACAAAATGAGCAAAAGCCTACACTACTGCAATTCTCTGAACTGGGCAGATTCTCGTGCCATTGCTTCGCTCCACGCCATGTGGTATTGCTGTTGCACTCAGAGATTTCTTCTTCAATGCAAGCAAGTTAAAGGCACATGGAACTTACTTGATAAGTATGGAACAGACTCTTGGAAAAAAACCTCGCTCGGGAGGGGGAAGCCCATTCTGTGTTCAATGTTGTTCTACAGCCTGCATTGTTTCTTTTCTGCTCAACAACTGATAAATTTCACCACCCTGCCTCCAGTGATGTTCCCACCACATTTTATCTCTATCGACATTCTCAGAGGCACACCTGATGTGCACTTCTGAAAGAGCCTGCCAAGCCTGACTCCTGGGAGACCATCATTGACAGGGGCGGGCTTGTGGTTCTGAGAATCAAAGCCGTGCAAACGTAGTAGAGGTATAGCCCCAGTTGGGTCTGGTAACCCATGACTGGTGCCAATGCTTGCGTGAAGAGCACCACATCCAGCAGAGGCTGCAGCAAAATTTTGCCAGACGGCAAAGACAGTGTACGTCAGGCACAGCTCAACAGACAAATCCACGGAATATTTAACAATTCTTGACATACAGGCTGGAAATTAGGGTGTTCTGAACATGAATATTGCTAAGAGGGACAGAGCATCTACAGACACAACTGGTCAGGACAAAATGTGGTTGGCCAATAACCTGCAGTGCCTCTGGAGCTGTCTTCATCAATAGATTGAGTCACTCAGCAAAATAAGAGCATGTGTGACCCACCACCCTGAAACTGAGCTTTCGGCAGAGCCACTTTCAATGACAAGATGACTATCTTCATGTCTGGGCACACACAGGAGCTAATATCGAATTGACACTAGCTTGAAGAACCTTTGGTAAAAATCAGTCTTATTTTGGCCATTTGGTAGACTGCATTGCCTTTTCAGGTTGCAAAACATCTGAACGTCTATAGCTAGGATGGAGATTTTGGCACCTGCGATTTCAGGTGAGCAACGAAACTTGGGACACAACAACATCAGGCACCATGGATGGCAGGGAGCACAATAATCCCGCCATCGGCAAGCAAAACAACAAGAGCATGAGGGTGTGCTTCAGTACACCAACCAGCCAACAGTTGATATACCTTCACTGTGTAGCTGTAGAGCTCGCTAATGGCAGAAGCAAACTTCTCGACATCCTCTGTGATCCGCTGGTCAGCGAGAGTGAGCCCTACTCACGACCACAACCACACAACAAGAATGTGTTCTAAAATGTAAGAAAGTGAACCATTAGCTCAGTGTACAGCTCATGAAGCCCTGCCCCCTTTCAGCAGGATGCGAATACCAAGAAATTTGGGGCACACAGACGACATGAACTGTGCTCATGGCCTTTGAGAATGCAAGCCCTACAACCTTGACTGTTCCACCTGGCCTTGCACAGGACCACTCAGCAGCTGTGGAATGACCCATGCACAAATGCAGAACGATGTTGCCTTCTGACACTGGAAACCACCACACCTCCCAGTGTGGATGCAGCATAATAAGCCCGGTTGCTGCAGTAGTGCAGGTGCAGGTGTTTAGTCATCTGCTCTTGGAAGGCCAACTGGATGTACTTCTGCATGTACTTCAGGCCAGCATTGACTACTGCCGCAGGCACTCCAAGGGCGCCGAACCTCAGTACTTCCCTCCAAAATTTGTCCAATTGCTGAGCAACACCAGCAGTTACTCGATCAACGACAATTCATCAAACGGAAGGACACAACAGTGTTCAAAGTCTTGACTGATAGATGCAACATTGTGCTTCATCGTTTCTCCCACAATCCTTTGTGAGGCAATGCTTTCAGTGCAGAAGGAGTGTGTGAACAGATGAGCACATTTGCCCTGTATAGCCCTGTCCATGGAACTCAATGGAAGGGGTGATGCAGTGCAGCATCGACCCGATGTGTTTCTTTTGCCTGATATTGGCAATCGCATTTGCTATTGCAACATTTTCCATCATGACACATGGATTCATGACACATCAGGAAGAGTCCTGGCACTGATCGATGCTGAACAACAGGCCACTGGGACAGAAGACACACAGCTTATGAACAAACAGTTGCTGTGTATTAACTCAACCAGGGTGCTGTCGTAGTAGTTGTGTACAGCATCATGCGATCACAATCTCGATGGGCTTCATAGGTAGCAAAACGAACTTACCAATGTCACCAGGTTCCTGCCAGCCCTTCCCTCACTCCGCGATATCCGCAGTGTCAGTATCGTTCTTGAGAACAACAGAGCGCCTTGAAAAGCAACTAAGAGCGCCTCCTTCGAAAATGGGGATGGGATGCATCTGAAACAAGCGGGTCAAAACTCAGTTCACTTGGAGGGCCTCAAAGTCAGCACAAAAGGATGTGCAAGTTTCATTCCTTAAACGAAAGATTGCTGCCATTTTCTATGGCATCAAATCCAGTCTGATTGAGGGGAACTGAACTATGTGAATGGAAGTCTGCATGGCATCACCATGAAACTGGAAGAGCAGAGTGTTGGCACATTTGCTGGTTGCAATCGAAACAGAATGACTGACACCTTGAATCCACACGCGCTGTCTCTCTCACTGCATTTCATAGGTAAACACGTCAACGTTCTTGAGCAAGCTTTGGGGATGGTTTGTCCTTGTCATGGCCTGCAAGGTGCAAGCAGCTTATCTCCTTCAGACCACATTGATTCAGATGATTGAGCATTCGAACTTCTAGAAGCAAATTTTTGTGTGCGACCAGCCCGAGCGAGGTCATTCATCCGTCAACCGCACATTGACAAGATGCGCAGCAGCCTCCGCGCGAAGACTCTGTCCACGCCGATCTTTGACTTCTTTCGACCGGTCGATTTTTCGAGGTCCGCTGAGAGGTATTTCTGCTCTGCCTGGGCCTTGGCGACCTCGTGGCGAAGGGATGACACCGCCGAGCAGCCTCCGCCCAGGAGGACAACCTGCTCATGGAACGGGGGATCCACAACAGTTCTGAGCGCACTGCTGCACACCGTTCTCTGTTGTTCGCCTATGTCCCTGCGCCTTTCCTTTTCCACACTGCCTTTTGCAGTATTGGAAAGAGCCTTTCAACTTTCCTTGACTGGGAAGAGAATCAAACATTCTTGACCCAATTTTTTTCCGAGCCAGTCATTCCAACTCGGCATAATGTCCGAACTCACAGTGTCACTAGGCCGCGGCAACCAGGAGCATCCACCCGTCTATTTCCTCCCCCCAATCCCAATTTGCTGGTTTCCATGTAGGCAAACAATGTTCAGGTGGCCAAGCGACCTGACTCATCGCCCGTTGTGGCACTGTTGCTCCAACGGGCTTGCATGCACTCAAAAGGTATGCCTTCCAGAAGCCCCACTCCCGCTTACCACCAAAACGCGCTTCTGAGACGGGCTCAGTGCCTTCAGCAGGTTGTCCATGGCGTTGGATGGCGCGTCCCTGCAGGCTCGAGGCGTTGATCACTTCCTCCCCGCGCGCACCCCACGATTTGGGACCACGCCGACCAATGCCCGAGGAAGATCGAAGCGTAGCAGGGACACCAGTTGGGCGGCCTCAGAGACTCGCGAGGAGGGCGCCCGGGGCAGCCTAGCAGCGCCATGCCCAATGCACCATCGCGTCGAGGGCTGTGATGGGCGTCCCTTGAATTCGCCGTTTGGAAGGGATGCAAGGGTTGTGATCCCCACCGAATATTGTCCGAAATGAACCTGCTTTCACAACTAATTCCGGAGATCTCGTCCAAATTCTTCCCCATTTCAACCAATGCCAAGGTGAAACCACAACAGGGCATCCATTTGGGGCCACGTTCAGCAGTGCCATCGCCCAGGCACGCTTACTGAAACCCAATGGCAAATCCAACAAGAGTGACATACAAAAACCGCCGCTTCATTAATGACGGTATTTTGACATGCCTTGCTATTCGGATAGCCGAATAGCACCACCGCGACAATAGCACCCACCGATAAAGATGGTCTCACGTATCGTGGCACTGAGTCGAGATCGGGCACGTCTTGGACGCATGGGACCTGGGCCCAAAGAATCCTCCAGGCCTCCATCTGCATAGCAGCCCGCGTTGGCCAGATTATTCAGCGTACAGCCCCAAGGTTCCTTGCCGCTCCTGGGCACTCTGTGTGCAAACGGGGCATTTCCTGCCTAGCAAGACAGTTGCTTTTGCAACCGTAAAGGCGGAATGGAAATTGTCAAGCCCCATTTTCCGATTATGCTGCGTTGAATTGCCCACATGTTCATCGTCTTGAAAGGCAAATGGATCACCGGGTATATGAATAACATGTCAGTCCCTGCCGTCCGCCCCATGTACAGTGTCCACGTAGATTGGCGGGTTATGGACCACAGCATTGCGGCATACCATGTGCAACGCTCTCCACCAGCCCAGAGCCCATCCCATGCGGTGTCCCCAAAACGGACATTTACTATGGCGATGGGCTGGCCATCGCAACTGGAGCACACTTGCACTGATCCAAGCGTGTGGCGCGACAGTTTTGCACCTGCGCGTCCAGGCACTGCGCGTCCACAGCTTCCAATTGCTGAGAGCTGCTCCAAACGCCATCGGATGCATTTAGCCAGTCTTCACTCTTTCAATTGCTGGATGGAGTGGTGCTCGAGGGAGTGGACTGCCCTCTTCCTTGCCCCTGGCCGGGTGGTTGGGTGGGGCAGTGGGACATCCCATCAGAGGTACCCGGTTCGGTCCCCGGTCCAGCAATCCTCTTCACCATCCGCACGTCAACATCAACATGCTGCGGTACAACATGTACAGGAAGCCGTGCGCCCACAGTTGCACACTACAACTGGCACATTTACCACTGGGTCCTTCAGGCCCGTTGCAGGGCACAGCGAGGCCACGGCAGCGACACGTGGACGACCGGGCGAAGCCGTACCCCTAAACTCCCACCCTCCCCCCCGTTGCCAGACTCTGCATCGCCCCACCCGCGACCTCCTCGACCCCGCCGGCGGGAACACTTTGCCCCTATGGCCCCCTTCGCGTGGATCATCCCGGACGTGAGTTTGCCCATACCGCACTACCCTGCCTCTCTCGACAAAACTGTCCTCTGGCTTGGATCGGTGCTGATGGGCGGGCTCCCCGTGTCGCAGGTGGTCCCCCTCCTGGCTGCGATGGGCACGGCCGGGGGGCTTCTGATGTACGCCGGCGCGCGGTGCCTCTACAAGAACCCCGGAGTCTTGTGAGTCTGACTTGCCCTGTTTTGTTGCCCGCGCGTTGGCCACCACCTGCCTCCCCGCGGTGCCTTGTTCGGCAGCTCCGTGGCGGTTCAGAGATCCTGGCACTGATCCCTTTGGCCTGCGTGTTGGCTGTCCGTTTCGGTGCCCGACAGCATCAACAGGAAGCAGCGCAACGACCAGCTGGCCGAGAATTCTGAGTGGTTCTTGAGGAAGTCGGAGCAGTACCGCAAGTCCGTGTTCCGCACGATTGCCCAGGTAAGGCAACCACGCCGCTGATATTCTGACGCGGTAATGGAAGATTTGCAAGGGGCCTGAAAACACGAGCTTGTGATGGCTTCGCCTTTGCGGTGGATGAAGATTTTGCTGGCCGCTGCAGAGTTTTTTCTACCACGTCCTTGTCCGGTGGCGGTTTTCGAACTCTCTTGCTGAGGCGCCGTTGTGTCGCATTTGGGCAATGCTCGCTCTCACTACGTAGGGAGCCGCATACAGCACGACAGATGGCGTTCCACTGCGCTTAGCGCGCTCGATCCTCGATCGAACGCCTGCGCGAGGGACTATCTTTGAGGCAAACCCCAGGACAGGTTTCCAGACGGGGATCGCGCTGGCAGGGATTCGCGGAATCTGTCTAATTGGCGTCAAAGGAAAGGGAGACCGAGGGCAGCGATCGCGGCAGGCCTTTGTTGCATGTTTGCAGCTGATTTTGGCACCGCCGGACTCCAGCCGAGTTGGCGACGTCCAACCCTCGCGTCCTGTGCTGTGCGGAAAGACAAGTTTTACCCTGGGCAGGCGAACGGACGCTCGACATTGGGCGACGTTGCGCCACGTTGGGCCGAGTTGGAAACCAGGGCGGCGGACGTCGCCCCTATATAGCACCCACCCACCCCCCAGCGCCCCCTTTTTGGCTTGTCACCATTTCTGAAGTACTTTATGCAGCTGGCACCAAAAGCCAGTATGGGCCCGGTGGGCTGGATGCAGCGTACCCCCTACACCTGCGGCCATGGTACCCCCTACACCAGCGGCCAGGGTACCCCATACACAGGCAGCCAAGGTGCTCCTTACACCGGGGCCCACGGTACCCTCTAAACCACTGACTCGCTGGCCCGCGTTGGCCTTGTTAGCGGAAGAAGATGGGATCCTCACGGAAAAGACAGAGCGACTAATATATTCTCGACATGCGTTGCATTGGATTAACGTGGCATCACCGCAAATTCGATGCACTGGTTCGTTCAATGGGCCAAGCAAGTAAATTTCGTTCAACTAGTCATGGACAATACCAAATGCCGTGCCTGCAGTTCCCTCTTTGCTTGAATACGTAGTGCAGTCGAAGGCCCACATTAAAGCCATCTTGCCGTTTGAGTCCATGCCTACTATAACGCCTGAAATGTTGACGGAAAGGAGGGACTCCGCCTCCTCACTTAGTGGTGACGACTTCCCATTGAGCCCAGGCGGTCAATGAGGGCGGTGGCAGTTGTCCTTGTTCCCCCATAGAAAGCTGGCGTCTGTCACCTGAGCGAATGCCCATCAAAAATCCACGCTACCAGGTAAAACACTGTGATTGCTTCGAATTGGACAGCTTATTACACATCATAATGATTACATTTCGAGGTAAGCACACCAGAAAACATTTGTGGTATTTGTTCCTTGTTTGCAGGCTGCTGAATGGCCTTGAATGGAACGAAAATGCTCGGACAGCCTCAAACCGGCGGCAGGCTTCTTTAAGCCCCATTTCGCATAAGATTTGTTAAATTAGATGGCACGGGGCGCCCTTAGAATGGACCACACACTCAATTAGGTGCACGAACATTTGAGTTTTCAATTGGAGAAATCTGCATTTATGTGTGAAGTGTCGGCCAAGAGTTCAACAGCATAGCACATCAATAGCCCATCTTCTATGCGTCATCCCTCAGCTGCGACCAAGTCACAATTCAAGCAAAGTTATGCCTTCGGTGGCGCTGCTGCCGAATTTCCTACTGCCTATTGAAGTGATTTAACAGCAGCCTCTTCTACACGAGAGCCCGGTAGGATCGCTTCAATGTTTGAAGGTCGCTTGAAACAGCATCCCAACCTTGATTGTAAATTTCTGTCCAGTACCTATATTCCATTCAGCATAAGCAATGCCAACTTACATCTTTTCGGGGCGGCTAGGTTTTAAATTGCCCTTGTGTGCTCATCTGGAAATAATGATCTTAAACACACGCCCGTGTAGCAAACAAAGGGGTGGGTATAATTGCGTACATCTAAAATCATACAAATTACCGAGTTTGCACTTCAGATACTGCCTTCGTTCCAAAGTCGTGGCCGAATTCAAGTGTTGATTTAACTTTGCAAGATCAACTCAACCAATACATCTGTCAGAAGATTCGAGTTCCTTGGTTGATTTCAGGTTGATATGGATCTTGATTGTATCAGTCATCGCCGTAATACACTACATTCACGGCCTAATTAAAACACGCCCCTGTCCAATTTCATGCAGGACCTGTATTCCCCGCGTTGATGTGTTGGCCTTGTTGTGGTATGTTCTAACCCATTCCCGTAAAATTCACGAGGAACTTTGTTGTAGACAACAAATGGCCACTGCTGCATACTTCAAGAGTTTCGATACCATTGCTATCATACTCTTTGTAGATCGCTTTTTCCGTTATGCTGAATCACGTTTTCAAAATTCTGTTCCTCACACTTTGGCCGCGTTTGCATCAATTTATTTCGTCTTTTTGGTTGGCGTCAATATGTATGGCTTTCCAAACCTTGGCGCGTCTACCAGGTACATGCTTTTGCAGTGATCGAGGTCTCTCTTGGTCTTTGGGCACAACATTCACGCGGTTCTGGTTGACACTCCAAATGTTCCACTGAGCTTCAATCCGTTTCCGTATGGATTCTGTTCGGAATTGAACCGCATTTTTAGGGTTGCCCAAACCACCAAAGCATATGCCATAGTGATACCTCAACTCGTTCCACCCCCTTTGAAGGGCAAGAGAAGCTTGCCATGCCCCGCCTCAGGTTCCGACAAAATGGAAAACCGCGTTTGAGTTCCTCTTCACGTATCGCGAGAATGGCAGTGCCGTTTGCCACGTTTAAGGGCTCTATAGGTAGATCTTGATATGGCGCGTCGAATTTGCTTTGGTAGAGTTTAAGACTCGTACGTTATGACCTCCGTTTGGGAAGATTTGAATTCGGCCGCGACTTTTGGAACAGAGGCACTATATCAAATCCTCAACTTTCCATCAGGGAAGAACAATTCCAGTGTCACCGCAGGTTACATGTGGACTCATTGAGTGTAGGAAAGTACCCTTATGAAATTGTGGCAAATCTTTCATCTCCATTTTTACAACCATTCATACATCTAAACTCCTGCATGTAGTTTTACCCATGGACAGCCAGATACCCATTTGTGAGCGGGTATGTATGCATGTTGCGTTTAAGCATCACAGCCAGACTATGCATTGACATTGCCACGTTTTCAAGTCGCTGCTTCCTCGAGCACCTACAGCACTGTGCCCATCTCGCCCTTGCAAAAATGAAAGGTGCAACACCCAGTCTAGGTGCTCTGCCTGCCACTCCCCACCTAACTGAATTCTGCGTCATGTGAATGATGCCCTGGGATTGCAAATAGGTTTAACACTATGGGTTGATCGGCAAGGTTCTCGTAGGTTCACCAGGTTAGGTTTTTGACTCTGCTTCTTCCTTTCTCTCTCCGCTAATGATATTTTGGCCTGCATTTCTTGGAACGTGTTTTGCAGGTTTGGGGCATTTTACCATGGTAGTATTTCTTGATGCGTTTGGTTCTAAATCTCTGGGACGCGCTTTTGTACTTGTGACGGCCTTTGATGATATTTTTTTCTTCTTTGTTATCTGTTTTCCTGCACAAAACATGTGTTATGTCTGGGTGCATATGAACATCCGGAATGGTTGAGTGCGGTTTAATCCCCAATCGACTGTGCCGTGAAAGCGTTGTGTGCACGAAGGATAATGTGCACACATGGCAGGCAATACATGTCTTGCAGTGTACCAACAAGCGTTGTACGAGGACTACGCGTACGCGCTTGAGCTGCAGTATAATGTACATATGGCCTACTTCGACGCCTTGTGTGCATGACCATGCATGCAAGTGGAACACCGCAATTGCCTGCAACCACAACTCTGTCAGGGGATGCGCGAACAACAGGCTTGCACTGTGCGAATTGCTGCTGCTGCTGCTGATGATGATGATGATGATGATGATGATGATGTGTGAATTGTGCATCCTCCACGGGAAATACTTTCTCAATCGCCAAAATGATGTGTTTTGCTGCAGATGTATGGGGGCAAGCCCTACTTCTTTCCACACGCCTAGTTTGCAGGAGCTCCCAAGTAAGGATCAGCCAACAGAGGAAAACGGACAGAAATTCGGCCATTGTCGGAGACACTGCATTTACCCGTCCTGCAATGCAACACCAACTCTGAAGGCGTTTAGCCCAGATGCCGCATGTGTGTGTGCTAAGCCTGTAGAGTACGGGATTGCAGTTTTGGATCTTCCCTGCACCGCCAGTGAACGATACTTGTAGGCGACTTTTGACGATTCTGATTTCATTATGCATCGATGGCATACGAGGACATCTTCCATAGATGCGCATTAATTTTGAATAATGAATAATTTTGACAGCTTGGTTAGGAATCTATTGGCTCCTTTTCACTTTCAAGTCTTAAGCTTGTATTTGGCGCCTGTAAGCTTCAAACATTGCAATAGAAGTTTCAGTCAAACTCAATGCACGAATGCGCTCAAATGCAGTGAAGGCAGTCACCCAATCTAAGAGAGCGAGCCTAACATACTGCAAAGCACCGGTTGGCTGGCGTCCAGCATTGGTGCTTGAAAATTTCTCGCGATTCACCTGTGGCCGGTGCATGCGCTAAACCATATGAAAATTTGCTACTTTCTGAAGATGCAATGATGTGGCTGCAAAATGTGTACCTTCCACACTGCATTCCCTGCTGCTAAGTTTCCATTCATTCGTCTCCGTAGGTCGCGCATAGTACCCACCAGCTGCCGAGCGCTACTGCCCCAGAGTGGCGCAACCACTGCAGCAACCCCTTGAAGGGGATGCACCCTTTTTCTTGGCACGTCATACCATGAGAAGCAACAGGAAGAAATTCGTGTTTTCCCACGAGCAACCAAGCTTCGTTGTTTGCAAAAAGGAAACCCGCCGCAGCTGTGCGCCACAGTACCGTATTGGGTTATTGCACTACAGTAGTGTGTAATTTATTGTGATGGTTGAGCAGCTGTTACTGTGTTCGTTGCAGCACTGTACTGTAACCCCAATACCTCGGTAATAAGTTGTGAAAGGACTGGTGGAAAGTCCTCTCCCGGTAATATATTCAAGTTCCGAGCGGCCTTGGCGGTCTTGTCGGTCTGAGCACAAGGAGAATTCCACATTGCCATTTCGAAATCGTCACACGATACATACTGGTCTGTACTGGCGCTGTGCAAGATTGCCTCGGTATATACCGATACATATACTCGGTACATACATGTACTGGGTCGGTACGGTACAGTTTGCTGATAAAAAAAGTCTGGAGATGGAAGAAGTATGCAGGGATTTATGGCGCGCATGCAAGATTGCATAGCAAAGTAGAGGAGCTACGCCACAAGGTCCGGCAAAGCCTTAAGCTGTATGCAAGATGAATTTCTGATCATACTACAAACCAATTAGCACTACAAATCAAACACGAGGCTCACATTCACAGAGGCACGCAAAGGCACGAGTGCTCGGTGCTAACCTTTTTCTCGGTGCGGGAGCTAGGGAAGTATGGATGTAACATAGGCGGACCCCTTTTATTACATGAACAAACCCATTGAAGATGTAATTAATGTAGATATATGCCGTGTTCTTGGAAGCTTTGGGGTGTCTGAGAATAAATGCAGGCTAACACATGCTTTCTCTCATTTTTGCACTTTAGTCGTGTCTGTTCCCCGTCAGGCTTGTTATAAATGGGCACTTGGTGCCCCAATGGCAGGCAATATGAAAATGTTATCTAGTAGCGATATGGTGACTTCGAATGTGGGCATCTGGCTTGAGGAAATTTAGTGTGTAATTTTACAAAAAGAAGCGATTTAGTGCCATGGCGGTATTTTTGAAACTACAGCATTGACATCGCTCCTTCGGTGCCCAATTCGGTGTTGGAATGCCGCCTCTCCAAATGGCCACCAGAATGCACAGGGCGCGCGTGTTGCACAGGTTGCACAATGGTTGGCCTTGCCCAGGAGGATCCTAAGGCCAGTGGCAGCGTGCGGGCTCGCGATGGTAGCATATGATGTTGTTGCGGCTAGAACTGATTGAGTGTTATTAATAACTGAATGTATGAAAAGATGACGAAGCACTAGGAATTGCATTAAGGATGTTGATGAACGGACTGGGTATAAAGGACAGAACGTTTGTTGTCCTTTTGCCTTGGCTGTAAACCGTTGCCGTGGACTCGAGCGTACGATTCCCGTTCAGGGATCGCCACCCCTCGACCCTGCCCGCCTTCGTCAATGTCATGTGTAGGAACAACGCCTCCGACCCATTTGCACGATAACGGACAATTCTGCATAACGTAATATTGCACAATCTTCTGCATGGCGCGCACCATATAACCCATCATCACATGAAATCAAGCCCAAGATATTTTCCAGCGTGTACCACCCTTGCACCCTGCTCTGTTGAGCACAATGTACGCCGGCCCTCACTGTCAACACAACCCACAGGCCCAATCCACCGTGACCGCCTCTGACCAACCCATCACCACCCATGACCACTATGATCACCCATGACCACCTCTCAGCAGCTGTTCTCTCAATCGAGGCCCTCCATGCTTCACAATGAAGCAATTGCACTATAATGGCCAGCATGACTAAATAAATACTCCTAATGGGAGTTATTTTGGATTAGCATTTGTGTTCACGGGTACAAGGTGTCCCGACTTTATGTGGTAACGGCCATGACATGTGCGGTGCCACATTGGGGTCTTCGTCAGAGAAGGAGGGGATTCACTGAAGGGCAATTGTTCACACGCTGTATGATCCTCGATGAGTTGTTCATGTTGGTGTCCCTTCTGTACACAGGCCGCGGTGTGTATCCCGACCAGGCCTGCTTCGCCGCCAATACTAACTTTGACGATCTGGCGTATCTGCTGTGTGTAGGCGTGATAGGTGACCACGAACTGCTGGTCCGGGACTGTTTTCACGCGGACGAGTCCATGGACAGGCGGACTGTTGGTGCCCAGATTTTGTCCTGGTACTGCGGCGTTGTGTGTGTGCCTGTGGCAGGGCTGATCCCGCCCTTTTCTCGAGACCCTGGCTTTTCTGGTTCATTTGGTTGGTGATAGGCAAAGGCTTGTTGATTTTCGCGGTTGTACAAATGGCTACTTGCCCCATGGTGGGGCAGTATCTGTTACAACACTATGGAATCCCCTGCAAAATTGGCATGCATCACTTGAAAACAAAACCAACCAAATTGTCATCATTCATTTACACGTTCATTTTACAAGGCCGTCAGCGCCCTATTTTGCCAAACCAAGCAGCGTCCATGATCAGTTCATTGAAATCTAATGCATAACACAAACACAGTCATGAAATCCATCAATTCCTATTGCCAAGATGCGTTTGTCGATGACAACACACGGAAAGAACTGTCCTCGCCGGTTGGCGAGCGGGGACAGGAGCAAATTGTCACCACCCGCATTCACGAATGGCACACCTCCCCGCGCTGCGTTTTCTCCCCAAGTACCGCGGTTTGGCATTCCCGGAAGAACAGGCGCACAACGATGTTTCCGACGAGAAAAAAGGCCACGACCGCTTTGTCATGTGGCCCGTCCCTGCCAGGAACGTAACCGGTGACGGGCACCTTCATCAGCCTCCTTCAGCGACATCCCCTCCCCTCACCCCAGCGCTGTCCTCTTTCCGCTGTGGCGGTCCATGATACCTTGAATCCAGCAGAGGCACAGCCCACGGCGACGGGCAGCCCGCGAGCGCGCAACCGCGGCCAAAGCACCCCTTCAGCTCTACCCGCCACAGAGCAACGTCGGCATCCGACCAGGGAGCACAAACGATCCGACGGAATCTTCCTGAGCCGTGGGGACGGCAGATTGCTGGGAAGCTCTGAGGGACGAGGGTGGCCTGCGGCTGGTGATGGATCCGGGCCACGTGGGCGGGCCGGGACAGCACCAGGATGTCCTCTGCTGCGGGTGCTTCCCCGCGGCGCTGCTGCCAAGATGGATGATCGCCCTGCTGGCGTGGGACGGTAGCCCGCGCTACGAACCGCCGCGGGCTGTGCCCGAGGACGGGATGCGGGCCAGGGAGGGAGGAGAGGATGAGGGCAGACGGCTCCTAGGGCCGACCGGCCGCGGTAAGCCACCGCGGGGAGAGAGAGGCGGCAGGGTGCCGTCCGGCAAGTCTCGCCGCGGAAGCGGGCGGCAGAAGAAGGGTGAGGCGGGGAAGGGCTGGAAGGGGGAGGATTCGGAGAAAGGAGGGGCGGTGGGGACGGATGAGGATGAGGATGACATCTGCCCCACGTGCTTGGAGAGCTACCAGCCGGAGAACCCGAAGATCTTCGCGGCGTGCGGGCACCACTTCCACCTGGCGTGCATCTACGCGTGGCTGGAGCGGTCGGGGACGTGCCCCGTGTGCCTGCAGCCCATGAAGTTCGAGGAGCTGTCTTGACAGAGGGCGGGGACCCGGGAGCCACGGTAGTCGTTGGTCCAAGGTCATCCAACCCCCAACCCCCACCACCACCGGCAAGGCAGCAGTGGGCTGGCCCACAGGCGTTGGCCCTCGCGATGCAGCTGTGTTCGAGAGGGTGTCATTGCCCTTGCGGGAGCTGCCGGGCAGCTCCCAGCCGAGAAGCCTATTGGAGTCTCCAGATATGGTTGCAGTCGTGAACAACGCTGATGGCTTTGAGGGGGGCATCCACAGTGCGGTGATGGACCAGTGTGGGTGCCTGCTCGCGATTTTTGTTCAAAGGGGGTGGGAGGTGGGGTAAGGGGTTCTTTACTGTGGGGTGCGTGCCAACCATCGTCACTGCGGCCTGTGCTCCAGGCGATCTTTTTGGACAGGAAAGTAGACCCTTGCTGTCTTGCAAGCTTGGGACCAGATGCGAAAGTGAATCGAACGGATGTGTTGTTACCCCCATGCACACCGCCTGTGCATGTACTACCAGAATGTATCATAAGGGAAGGGATGATTCGAATGTTTGGGGTTCCCTCACAGCTTGACGTGGGCTGGGGCATAACGTCTGAAATTGACCACATGTGAGAGAACTATTTTGGGAATGCCAGTGGTTGTGGTGTGGGACAGTGGTGGGATTGGATTTATTTCAAGGGCTGGAGACTAGGGTCCTTTGGGGTTGCCTTTCTTGAGCGTGTTTTTCTAATTTTGAGATGCACAGGAGCCCCTGGGTCGACTTGCAGTTTTGAGCAATTTTCTATCTGGGAATATCGGGCCAGCATAATCTGCAGCCGACCTGTGGCTTGGAAGCCCTGGTTTCAGGGAACAGAACAGTCGCCAGTTAGCCAGACAGAAGTGTCCAGTGCAAGTGTTGTGTGGAATAAACAATGTCAGGTGGGGATTGTGCTAGCGCGAAGCATCGGATTGTGACCATTGTGGTCGGCTTTTGGTCTAGGACCTCTGATGGCTGTCTCTGGCCTATTGATGACATGAATGGTGCTGATCCCTGATGCCTCTGCATGGCACAGAAATAGCCATGGCATTTTGTAGTTTAATAAGTCGAATGGCAGTATCTGCCAGCAGGCAGTCTCAGGACTGAGATTTGAACAGGGTCTGTGAAGTTCAGCCTCTCATCGGCACAGGGGGTCTGATTTATTGTGCAGGCTACAGCTGTGGGTGGTGTGCAGATCTGTTGTTAGAATTACGTTCTGGGGAGTTCCCTTTCAGCCGTGCAAGGGGGGTCAGATCGGCTTTCTTGAGGCCTCCACTTGCGGGGAATGTTCACAGATGCCGTAGATGTTGACCCCTGGGGCGCTCAGGCCGTGCAAAGTGTTTGTAAGTGTAATAGGTTGGTATAAACTGGAGCATAGCTGCGTTGAGAATTTGGGGTGTTGGCAACCGCACGGATTGACAGTTCCTGCGGGGTCCATGCCCTGCACGGGGCTGTGTAAGTAGGAAGACCGTTCCATTGTTGGTGCCCCTTGCCAACAGGGGAGACTCAATGTGCCGTTGGCCCGGGTGGCTTGGACCTCTGCCTGCCATTGACGGACTGCCAGCATTGCGTTGCATGATGCAGTGCCCGTCCTTCATTCCTTGCGTTTGATTCATTTGCAGCGGGAAATGCAACTATCTTTGCTCTTGACATGACATGTCAAACACACTCCAAAGCGAATGTACCCTGGTTGGTGTGCGTTCAATGGCGCGCTCGTCAGGTCTACTAGGAAACACCTCTCTGGAGTGAGCTGAAATGCTGAGCTGGTGGCGCAGTTGGCTGAAAGGCTACAGGAGTGCAGCATTGCTTCATTGATTACCCTGACATCGGGAATGACCGTGCGCCAATGCTTCCCAACTCAGCTCAGCTGCGCAGATGCGCCAAACGGCACGGGTACAGGAAACACAGCGCAAGGAAACTACCATGCCCAGGGCACTGCTTGATTTAAAGGGGTGCTCCGCGTTTACATTGCATGCCTGCTGCATGATGCCTACATGCTGTCACAAAAATGTGCACAAGAGTCGACCATGGGCGCGTTGTCCTTTGCGCATGTGAATGCTGGTGCCTGGCCAGGTAGCTCAGCGCGAGGAGCGACGCCGCGGTATGTGGCGCTGACCAATAGGCATCGGAGGAATGAGCAAAGCTGCAATATCGTCGATTGCCCTCACAATGTGCAACCAGATAGGCAACCGCGTCAGCTTCGAAATACATACATAAAAAGTATGCTGGGATGGAGAGGGGTGTCACAGCACACACGAAGCACACGGATCCCCAACGTCCCAGGCCATAGCTACCGCTTCGGCATGCTGTCCCAGCGCCGGTTCACTAGTTCAGCATGTAGACCAGCGTAGATAGTGGTTGTTGCATTCCCCAACGCCAGCAACTCCCAACCTTCCCAATTCCCCAGCTTACCCACACAGAACATTGTTCTATCCCCCGAGCGACCACGGACAGGTGTCGTCACCCGCGACATCAACCACTTGCCTATGCACAGTACGCGCCCCTATTAAAACCCACAGCCCACACTCCCGATATGTGCACCCTCGGCCCTTGGCTTATGTCTGCCCGGCTGCCCGTCGCGGGCTGCCATATTGGCAGTGGGAAAGCGACTCTGGGATGGCATCCTTCATGCAATCACCAGGGGCCTCTTCGCCCAGCCAAAGTCGGCTTTGTTGTCCTCATACAATCGCTGCAGCTCCTTTTTGAACTTCTCGTGAAGCTCATTCACTTTCTCCTGAAAGTTTGGGCTATCCCACCCAACCTTTTCCACTTTCACTGGCCGACCCACAACCATGTAGATCGGGACTTCTCTTGGCAGAGGGAGGCCCCACCTGCAGACAGTGTCAACCAATAACACTCCTGAATAAGATCCAGTCAGAAGTACATTGGCACGCCTGCCCGTAGCTCACCACTGGTAGTCTTGTCATGACAATAGTTCGCACGAATACGCAAAGATGTGTATACTTTCGATCATGCTCCGAAACTTCATGTTCATTTCTGCATCAGTGGAAGTTCAAGTGTTCAAGTTTCACTGAAAGCAGTGCAGCACATGACAGGTTCAGTTCACCTGCCGACAAGGATGCCCACACTGATGCGAAGTCTTCTACAAAAGTTCATTAGTGATCGTGGCCCAATGCTCAATACTCGGCTGTTGCCAAAGTGGTAGACGGGCAGCAGGTCTGCCCCATTGGCCAGGGCCATCTTGATGAAGCCCTTCCGGGATCCAAGGAGGACCTGCACAGCGCAACAGCGTTGTTGGTCCAAACAAACGCCAGTCAACACCATCATGCCTTACAATCTGTACTTCAATTACAAGAATCGCGCCCCTTTAGAACCCAACCTAACAGCAAGTGAAACAGAAATGTTCGAACAGCAACAACCAAATGCACAGAGGTCACTGTGCAGGCTGATAGGATGAGACAATCGTGACAAAGCTGATAGTAAACAATTTCTCAACATCATCATCGTCTGAGGTAGTGCTTATTCCACTTCTGACAATCGCAATGATTGAAGAATTTCATCGTATGCTACACAGCAGTTGTGCGCATTCACGTCGCTAAACTGAGCAGAATTCACTGCGGACTGCCACCAAGTGACCCCTCACCTGTTCCTTCTCTTCATATTGCATAAACATCTCACCCACACCTGTTCATGAACACACAAGAAATCATGAGGCCACAACACCCTGGACAGTTATCAATGCTGCCAATCTTTTGCTTGTTACCGGCCACATCTGCACATCCTTTACATTTGGAAAGACTAGTGAATAATTATGCAGGTGTGTGGACCCAAAAGGGTAGACAAGCAAGAATGTTCTGACCGACATAATGCAAGGCACATGATGGTCATGTGGCCCAACAATGTTGAGCACCTTGCAATGGCAAGCATAGCCAGTGTGGAATCCACCATGCAGACTGGAGGATGCCACTGCACAGCTCGGCCCAAAAATGGGATGTGGAATCAAGCAGGCATCCAAAAAGTAGATAGTTGTGAGTCATTGAACTGCACAAATGCAAAAAGAGAGAAGCCATACCTCCAACGACAGCAGCCACATCCGCTTTCTCCAGCAGGCTTTGGAAAGTTTTGCGGTCAGCTGGCTGGCAGCCCATCCATGAAAACATCTGTTTGTAGAGTGGAATTCTGAACAGGACCGATGCCCCCACACTCAACACGCAGCGGCCAGGGAACATCCTGGGTATCAGCGTTCCAGCCAGGAGGGGGCCTACTGGATATGTACCATGGGGGAATTCGGCAATAATGTACCTGCTCCCTGCATCCAGCTCCTGTGCATGCACAACAACGCACTCGATGCTCTCAGCTATGCGTGCAGAAGATAAGAAACAGGACAGCTAACGAGCAAACACTCTGGAGCAGATGTACTTGAGACCAGTACGATGCAGCAAAAGCTGGCTGAGAAACCCTGACTTCAACAGCAGAGTGTGCAACAATGAGCACTGCTCGCCCGCTTGCATGTTAGAAGACGATGGAAGCTCTTATTTACGGAAATGCAAAAGAAGGTGCGCATAATAAAACGTCTGATGCAATGTGGGTTCTTTAGCTCCGCATTCCTTGAATCCAGAGCAGGCATAAGTGCCGAAGATGTCCAGCAGGCAAAGATGAAAAATAGCAGTAAAATAAAGAAAACAAACCTGGACAACTCCCTTGAACCCCAGAGCACCAGGTGCCGACTTTATTCAGGCAAGGCTCCGCCAGGTGCCCATAGCACATACTATACTTACACCTGCCCAGGCTATGCTGACCTCCTCAAATTTGTAGGAGAAGCTGAAATACTCCCGCCACGTGTTGAACATGCTCATGTTCAGAAATTCAGGCCAAAAGACCTTGGTGGGAAAGAGGACCGTTGAATACAGCGCCAGGTTCAAGATTAGAACCGGTCGCCACCATGAGAAGATGAGGAGAAACATGAGGATGTAGGGCCAGGCAGTGTACACGAAGAGCGTCGACATGGCCACAAGCCGGCGGTGGGGCTTCATGCCCTCGTGCTCCATTTTCTTCTCCGAGTAAACACGCTGCCCGACGGGCAACTTGACGTTCTCTGGGAGGAAGTCCACGGCCATCTCGCCCAGAGTTCACTTTTGAGGGGCACGCTCAAATGCCTGGATCGACTCAGCGGCGTGGACTGCGCCCAGTGTCCACACGCGGCCCCCGAAGCGACTTTGAGACGCACCAGGCTGGGGAGGCAAAGACACGCAGCCAGATCATTGTCAGGGCTGGCCAGGGCGATTGGCATTGAACTGTGCCGGGACGTCTCCACAGTTACACTGATGCGGCCGACGACTGGGTGAGGACGGAGACATCTAAAACTTCGACGACACCCTGAGGGACGCCCCGATGGCGACCTAAACTGCATATCTGCAGCAACAATGGGCGGGGCGGCAGAACGGCGCCCACTTGCGTGTGGTAGCAACACGGACACCACCATCATGGACGCCATGCGCATCGAGACCCGTCCAACGCGCGAGGGCAGGGTCCGCCCGGCTTAGCGGCGGCAATCAGCACCTGCGCCGCTCCAAGCCACCCTCACCTCAGATCCTCCAGCCTCCGCCCAGATCAGCTGCGCTCTTGCGCTACAGCGCCATGGCTGCACTGTTGCGCGCAGCGAGCCAGGCGGATGCCTAGGCGGAGCGCAGCCGCCTTCCGGTGCGGGGTCGCGGAGTGGTGCTGCGACGTCGTACAAGAAGTGTGGCGGGAGGGCGCGCCTAAGAGCGCACGTCGCGTCGCATCCACCCCCCCTCGCCGTCGCTTCAGCGGTGGGCCTCCAACAGCGCGGCCCCGTGTTCAGCGGGCAGGGGCGGCAGCAGTACGATTATGTCGTCATCAGCATGAATTTGTACATTACTTCTCTCCAACTTTTCTCCATAAACTACTATTACGTCCGGGGGTCCACTAACCGCATAATGAACGTCTGTCCACTCTTTGATTTTCCGTTTGTGCTTTGATGCGTCTGGCATGGTCTGGAGCTTCATTATGCAGGATGGACGGAATTTTGTGATTGACCGCCTTACCAGAGGCATTCACTAAGTGGACTTGCTTGGCTATGTCGACACAGGAGAAACGACAAAACGGAGAAATCTTGAGTTGAAATGTTAATGTAACGTAGAGCAGCAGGTCTGTTGCATGCCTGATTTTGTTGTGGGGTATAGGAAAAGAATAAAAGCGGGAGAATGGTGTCGAATTTGTAAGAACGTACACGATTTGTCGAACCAGCTGTCTGGAGAAGGTGGTTTGCGGCAACACCCGCTGATGGGCTGTCTTCTGGCGGATTTCAAGCACGTTCCTGTGCAGGCTGTGAAACTTTTCAGCAGAGCCTGGAGATTGGGGGCTAATTGGCTTCATACTCGCATTCATTGCCCGTTCCCGAGGCTCCTCCCTCTTCAACAAAAGGCGTTTATTTTGCTGTTCTTGGTTGGGGCAGCCCGGTGCCCTGTCACCATCCCGAGGTTAAGACAAATCTTTGAGTCTTGTGCGGGATTGCCACCAGGTGATGCGCAGGGCTCCAGGGAACGGGCAGATGGGGGCGGGCTTGAGCGGCGGAAGGTTCCGCAGGTCGCAGGAGCTGCGTGGAAAGAGAATCATCCACAAATGATTGGCTTGATAAAGGTAAGTGATCCCGCGCTGAGACTGACTCACTGATGTGCGCCCTCGCCTGCATCCACGCAAGCAAGTGCGCGAGGATCTGTCTCCCTCCGTCGCCTTTGCGCGTGCGCAGGGCGTCCCAGCCGTGGCCGCCGTCCCTTCGACAGTGACCGCCGAGCGATGGAAGGGGAGCTGCTGGCCAAGGGGGCCGGCGGGGGCCGCCTTCCGCGCCGCCATGGTGCTCCGGACCTTGCTGCCTTGGGGCCCGCCACGAGGTGCAAGAGGCGATCTTGCCGGTCTCTGGGGTCGCTCCGCCTGCAGGCGGCGTCCGAGTTGAAGTCCGACCCGCCTTCGGCGTGGCCCAAGCGATGCAAGGCCCCCGAGGTGCCGCGCAGCAGTGAGCCCAAGGTGCGCGGGGAATTGGGCCATTCTGGGCCATGAGAATTTGGGGAGGGTGGCTGGGACGGCGTGGATCGGCGCTGACGGGGTTGGATCGGAGGAAGGACGCTCGAATGTTAGTCATTTGAGTTGTTGGATGGGATGGGAATGGATTGGAAGCTGATGGCAGCGCCAGCTCAGGGGCGTCTTGCCGATTTGTGATTATTCCGTGGAGTTCAAGGGCTTGGGAGACTCTGTGTGGGTGATGGGCGAGACCAAAGATAATGCGTCGAAGCAACTACTCCACCTTTGGGTGCCCCAGCGTCCAGAGTATAGTGCTATTAGGCTTGGGCAGCTGCGCTGTTCCCTGAATGGTGGGCAAAGTGGCCAGTGCTGTTTTCAGCTTGGTGTTGACCTCTTGATTGAGATTTCTGAATTCTGCGGAGGCCAACCGCTGTAAAAGCTTGATGGCATTGTGACATTCCCTGACCCAGAAATCTCTTCTGCAACCGTCACAGAAAATATCCCTGCTGGGGTCGACCGGCTCAATCGGCACCCAGACCCTGGACATCTGTGCAGAGCACCCTGACGAATTTCGCGTGCTGGCGATGGCCGCCGGCTCCAACGTGGACCTGTTGGCCAAACATGTCAGGGAGTTCAAACCAGAGCTGGTCGCCATCCGAAACCCCACCTTGGTCGAGACTCTGAAGGAGCTCATCAAAGACGTGCACCCTCAGCCAGAAGTGTATGCAGGAGAAGAGGGGGTTGTTGCTGCTGCCACCCACCCAGACTGTGAGTCTGTTGTAACGGGCATCGTTGGCTGCGCGGGTTTGCGGCCCACTGTTGCAGCCATCGAGAGCGGGAAGAATATTTGCCTGGCCAACAAGGAGACGCTCATTGCTGGGGGCCCCTATGTATTGCCTCTGGCAGAGAAACATGGTGTGCATATACTACCAGCGGACTCTGAGCACTCAGCTATATTCCAATGCTTGCAGGGTAAGTGTCGGGCTTGCCTGGCTTGGATACTTTGCCTGGGTAACCACAACTGGAGTCTCGCTTTCAACGCACTTGTCAAATGTGGGACTGGATGTGCATGTGTACTTCCCTTGCATGGTTTAGGCAAAATGCAGCAACTGTGCATATCCAGGCGTGTCTGTTTGCAATGTCTACAGCATTGAATTTCGGATTGTGCAGTCTACTTCCTGCATCCTGCTGTTCCCCTTTGCCATGGCATTGATGCCCATCTGGCATTGTGTTTGGCCTGATCAGCCTGCGGAAAACTGTTCAACAGGACAAGTAGGCAAAATGTGTGGCCTGGAATACCAGTACGTCAAGCTGTTACAGGGCACATGTGTCCCATGCCCTGGCACCAGTTGCAACTGGTGAATATCAAGGCAACAATGCCTTTTTGTAATGCAAAAATGATATCTTGTTTCATCGCAACATTCTGTCGGAAACTGCCTGTCTATTACTGCACACATCCATGTCAACAACATTGTTTACATGCAAAGGAGAAGCTGGCACACCTCTTGCTAGTTTTGTTGAGTGGGCTCAAAGGATTGAAAGCACAAAATGCATGTTTAAAAATGCTTTCTGCAGGCCTTCCAGAAGGTGGCTTGAGACGAATCATACTCACAGCATCTGGTGGAGCATTCCGTGACTGGCCTGTGGAAAAGCTGAAGGATGTCAAGGTCTCTGATGCACTGAAGCATCCCAATTGGAGCATGGGAAGGAAAATTACAGTGGACTCAGCGACACTAATGAACAAAGGCCTGGAAGTTATCGAGGCGCATTACCTGTTTGGGCCAGACTATGACCACATCGAGGCCGTAATCCATCCACAGAGCATTATCCATTCCATGGTGGAAACATCCGACTCCTCCGTGCTGGCACAGGTAAGCAGAGTAGGCACAACACTTCATGCATGCAGCCCATATCTGGAAATCCACTGCTTTTACTTTTCCTCAAAACATTGACAACAGCCATTGTCTGAAAGGGCAAATGTTGAGTCGGCATTTGGCAGACTGCCCAGGGCTGGCATCAAGTCACCTGAATCATAAAGAACAGCTCCAGCGAGTTTTCGAATTTTTAATTTTTTGAATCCTGCATCAGATAGTGTAGTTTCCTATCATCGGCCAACCTGAGCCTTTCCCAGCCTCAATTCTCTTATGCACAGAATAGGCAGCCCCGACTGCAACATGATTTTATATAGGTTGTCAAGAGGATGGCTGTATGGAGCTGAAAACTCTCGCAGCGCTCGATGATGAGGCCAGGTTTTCCCTTCCAAGACATATCATGGCTGGATCTGCCACTTGTGGCATGATGGTCAGCGCTATCAATATCCACTAATGAAAGCCCTTCTGATTGTCAATTTTAAACACACACAATCAGCAAAGGATTGACAAAAGGATTTGCCCTCTGTGGAAGGGTCACTGGCAGGTGGCTGATGGAGCTATCCTGGTCACGTTTGTCTACATTGTGGCACTGGCCTGCAAGGCGCAAAGGCCCTGTCATATATTTTGCGGAGGCACTTGTATTCCTGTGAATTGAAAAGCAGCCATCTGTCTATGTTGCAGCTCGGATGGCCTGACATGCGGCTTCCTATTCTGTACACTATGTCTTGGCCCAACCGGGTGAACACTTCGGAAGACACTTGGCCCCGACTGGACTTCGTAAAGATGGGTGACCTCACGTTCCGCGAACCAGATCGGCAAAAGTACCCGGCGTTGGACCTGTCTTATGCCGCAGGGAGGGCGGGAGGCACAATGACAGGGGTGTTGAGTGCAGCGAACGAGAAGGTATGATTGAATGTTCGATTGAAAGCGAAGTGAAGAAACGACTAAGTCAAGGGAGGCATCTCCACATGTTCTTGAATGCTCACATTGTTTGCATAGCCATAGCCGCTGAACCTGTCCAGACAATGGAACTGTTGCTGATCGATGGAGCAGGCCTGTGCTGGGTGTCCAAGACCAAAGCTGGATTTGTAATGCTGGCCATTCCTTACCAATTGAATGATTTTTGGTGCAGGCTGTTGAGCTATTTTTGGAAGAAAAATGTGGCTACCTGGACATCATACGGTTGATCGAGTCCACATGTGAAAGGCACCAGTCCGATTTGGTGACAGAACCATCGTTAGAAGAGATCGTGCACTACGACTTGTGGGCGCGCGATTATGCAGCAGAGCAAGTCTCGAACCTGGGACTCATTGCAGCTTGAGGGACAAGATGAGATGTGTTGGAAAGTGGGCAAATAGCAGATGGGCGAGTCTGATGACATTCACCCTTGCGTTGGTGTATCAGGCTCCTTGAGAAAGCGGATAGGTAGTTCGCTGGCGTTCAGGAGGGGAGTCCTTGCCAGTGCAAATTGTTCACATAAACGTCCTGTACTATCCAGGGGGGTAGAAATTCCTGTATGGTGTTGCCCTATCCCTCATGCTCAGATATGCAGAGCGCATCGACCGTAGTATGACTAAATTATAGTCTTAAGCGTTCAACACGCTTGCTTGAAGCACAGGCTTCTTGTCAGCATGGCAATGTGATCTGTAGCTGCAGCGTGATCGATGCTTACCTTATGTTGTCATATGCCTTTGCCCCTGCTTCGGCGTGGTGTCTTGGAGTGCATCATGTGGTAGCGTGTATCCATCATAGTTGGCACACATGACCACAAGGTCCTAAGACGGTCCAAGGGATTAGTTGCGGCTTGGAATATGTGCGGATATTGCACGTTTTGCCACCTGTTCCCAGAACACTCTAGCTCCCATAGCTGCATATGGGAAGAACTGCGCTGGTACTCATTGACCTTTTCTGTGCCCATTTGTGCTTCTCTGCACATACAGACGTGGTTTTGAAACGGCACAGCCATCAGCAATGGCCATGCGAAGGACAAACTATTGGGAGTGGATTGCGGCATCTTCATGACCAGTGTGAACTTTTTGTGCAGACAGTATTACTGCAGCAGATGCGAGGCGAATTTGAGGGCATGGCCACCATGTATATGCCCCAAACACGTTAAGCACTAAGAACTTCAAGAAACTGCAAAGCAAGTCCTGACATGCACAGAATCGTCAAGTCAGCAACCGCATGTCTCTACACTCTGAGTCGAGGCACGTCAAGAAGAGTTACAGCCTCAAACTGCCTTTCCAACTGGGCATGGCAAGGAGCATTCTGCACGCCCATGGCTCCTGATTAGCCCGTGGTGGCACTCAACGTCGCTGACAACTCCGCCAGACCGCAAACACAGAGGCAGCCTCTGCTGGTCCCTCCAGCAACCTAAACAAACACCTACCACGAGTGCCTGACAGCATCCAGAAGTGCGCAGGGGTGCTGCTCTACCGATAAGAAGCGAACGTACTCCCAGCGAATTTCTGACAGATATAGGGCCTGGCCAAAGACAGCACCAGGGAGTTTCATCTGCTTGCACTTAGCTATGACTCCACAGACTGTGCTGGCCACGCAAACGGCCAAGGCATGGGTCATCGGGCCTGTGGTGCTTCCTTGTTGCAGGCATAAGATAGGTATGCCGACCACACCAGGGAGCAGGCGCTCATGTACAGCACTTGCTTGTCCACTGGGATCCAACAGAAGTTGGATATGGACACTGGTATCCAAAATTTCCAGCCTGGGCACATCAGCAGATGTCATCAACACCAATGGGGTGAAGAACACCATCAACAAAAAACAACCGGGAGCGTTTCCAAAATGGTAATGAGTGCAAAACAACAGGTCAACACTTAGCTGGCCGTACATGCAGCACGATGGAACAGAGATTCGCCTTGTCTGGCACAACTGCAACACACTCCTTGCATGGCCTGATGTTTTCGGGCTCTGTTCCAAGCTAGAACGCTGCCTTAGCATGCATCCAAGACAGAGTTTTTAGCTGTAGAAACGTGTTCCAAACATACAGGAGCGAGCAGCGGCTACGCTAGTTCAACAAAAGGATATCATTTCCCAAACAGCAGACTGCACAACCATTGTCCGTTTCCAAAGTGCGAGTTGTGCGACCCGGCTTCCAGATCTAACGTGCCTGGGGCAGCTGTGCGAGTCACGCCAAGCAAAAAAACGCCAAGTCGTCGCCAGGGAAAGCACACAACATGGATGCACACCATGCCTTCCAGCTGACGGATGCTCAGGTGTAATGCAGCAATGTCACGGAATGCATTCAAAGGAAATGTACCCAATTGCCCCAGCAGGCAGGCAGCCTCCAGTTCGTCGAATGACCACATAATAGTCATGGAGACAGCCTCACCTGTCAACAGTGTCTCCAGAAGGTCTGCTTCGATCTTTCCAGCGATTAGGTGGGGTTTGCCCTGTATGCCCAAAGTCCATGCAAATGCAACAGATCCAACGGAGGGTCCCAGGACAAAAGAATTTAAAAGAACCTGTGGAAGGGACAGCGACACACAGAACACTTACAATACTGCAGTATATTCAACTCTTCAGCATTTTGAGATTTCAGCGTGACGATTGTTCCTTCGCATGTTTGTCGTTACACCATAATTTTGAGGGGCTCCGCATCATGGTCACAGCTGGAATGGCGACTTCGTTCAGTTAACTTGGCCTCAAATGCTGGTTTTCTGTCTCAGCGACTCGTGTATCTGGGGCACATTAGGCGCCACGAGCATTTCAGAGACCCTCGCTTTGCAGCTGGGGCTGCTCAACAATATCTTTGCACCGTTATACGTTTTGTTATTGCTCTGCATAAAAGGGCCAAACGTTCCTTTACAGTGGAGAAAGGTACAATGTACTATGGTGCAGCCCTCATGGCCTGGTGAATGCCTGGGCCCGATTGGGCTGGTTGCATCAATGTTACCATGCAACTACACACAACATGAGATTCAGTCTTCACAATGGTAAAGTGTGGCTGTGCAAAATGTTCCAACTAATACAGAAACTTGCCTGGGATTTCTGTGCAGAGCTGCTATTACAGAAGGCCAGAAGGCCATGCAGCGGATGCTCTGCAAACTGTGCTGACGCACCTTTGTCAGGAAATGGCTCGCCGTCCTTAGGGGAAAGCGATGGCCGAGCAGGGTGTACCAATAATGCTGCATGGGTCCATACAAGAGCAAGCCAAAGCCTCCCATCCGCAGGGTACGTGCAGGATCAACCTTCATCTTGCTACCCTCCAAGAAAACAGCAAAAGCTTTGCAATCATCAGCACTGGCCAACAGAATCACCTACCCAACTGATACCCATAGCAGACCCCACACACAGCACCAGACACAAAGAGAAGTTCAGCAGACCCCAGCAGCTTTCCAGCAGATGCAAGCTGGGCATGGATGTGAAGCATATCTGCAATTGAAGTATGTGCGTGTGACAGAAACATAACACTATAAAATGTTGCAACTTGCTGAAATCTGACTGAAAACAACAACACCCACCATCACCTGCATAATCATCAAATTCTTTGTGCCACCTGTGGCTGAAAAGGTTTGTGGAATGTTTTAATACAACCGAGAAAACGAAAGCTGGGGAACCTTGCGCCGCAGAACTAAAATAAGCAGTTCAACGTGCAGTGGATGAAAACAATCACAGCACCCGAAACTTAGCTCGGTATCACAGCCAACCAGAGCCAGATGAAACGTCTGGCAAGGCTGCACAAAACAGACGCCATGGCCGACAAGGATTCTATCTTTCCAGCAATCTCCACTGACACATTTATTCGTGTTCTTGTTTCTGGGCAGCACACCGCTCACCTGTTCCGCCATGTGTCCTGCCACGATCTGCGAAACCACATCCCCGATGGCTGACAGCGAGCCGCACGTCAGACCCGCCCTAAGGACCCCCTCCAATCCCTGCATCAACAAGGCGATCGGATCATGCTCAACTGAAACAATTGCACCCACGCCGGTTGCTGATGCCCCGTTGACAGCCGTTCAAGCCGACTGTGAATCACATTCTGGCGCACTATTTCGAGCAAACATGAGCGAATGGAATTGCACGCGTTGTCGCGTTGCAGATGCGAGGGCAGCAATTCTCATATCTGTGCGTTGCGAATCTGAAGGATTGTTTCTGCTGCAACATGGAAGCCGTTTGGCTCACCCCGAAGTTCGGAGCGAGCCTGCCCGCCACGGGCTCGCCTCTGGCCGCAGCTCGGCGGGGCAGCCGCGGGTGGCCATTGGGCCAGCGTCCGGGGAACGGCTGAAGCGCAAGGGACCGGCTCCTCATTGCCTTTGGGGCGAACTGGGCTCAAAGGCACTTCCCCATGAACCCACGCGGGCCCGTGAGCCCCAGGTACCGCCACGCTGACGAATGCACTGCTGTGGGACTTTCAGCCACGTACTTACGGCAGTACTTACCGCCGGTGCTTCATCCACTGGCGCTGGAGACCAAAGACGCTGTCCACCAACAGTGCATGATCAGCAGTGCCCTGAGTCAGCACAACCGGTGGCAGGAGACGTCTTGCTCTCCAAAAAGCGCCAAGCCCCGCGCCGTTGGGCCCCACCCGCAGTGAGTGCCTCTCCGCCTGCCTGCCCCGGCGCCGCGCCAGCCTCGAGGAGCTTGCTCCCCCCGTACTCCCCCCTGCACGGCCGGATGCGGGCGCTTGGGCAGCTGCGGTCTCTGGGATCGTCCGCTTTTGGCGTGGTGCCCGCGATCCAGCGGGTGCCGCACCAGTCTCTTGCCAGCCATCCGCTGCGCCGGCCAACGCCACCTGAGGCGGCGATCGCAAACGGGAGAGGGCGCGGACTGGGCCAGTCGGTGGCGGCGACGGGAGACGGGAGCGGCGCGGCGACAATGCAGAGTGCGAAACGATTGGGAGGGCGCACACTGTCTCGCTGCGTGTGGGTTGCTGATTGGGAAGAGCGCGGAAATTATGAATATGGGACGGCGCAAGGATTCGCCCTGCTGTTTGATTGTTTGTGTTCTCGTGGCAGCCATGATTGACGCCCATGTACAAGGCCGTTGTTGCGCGGCTGTTGATGCAGTTTGAGCAACACTTGACGTCGGTGAAAGCAATCCTTCAACGTGACTTCCACAGTCAGGTGAAATCAACCCAGGACACGCACAAATGAGCGAAGGGCGTTAACTCCTACTTTTCTGGCCCCTTCGCAGCGAAACGAGCAGAGGTCGAGGACATGTCTGCCCTCTTGAACGACGTGGATTGCTTCATTTTCGACTGCGATGGTGAGGAAAATGCTTGCAATATTCTGACAGGTGTTTCACTTTCAGAAAAATGTTGCAAAATGATTGACAGGCAGACGCGTCGTTGAGGAGGATGCGCTCAGCTGTTTTTTGTCCCTTTTGCCCCAATCCCTGCATCCAAATATGCGCTTAAGTTGCTGATTTGGCAGCGCGTTCAGCTGTTGATATTGTGAGGCACTGGTGCTCGGCCCGACATATCCCACCTAGGGGTATGACAGGGCAGTGCTTGGTACCGGGCTATTGCAAATGTATTCAACAAGGGCTGACCTTGGTGCATCTATCATGCAGGTGTCATCTGGAGAGGAGAGTGCCTAATTGATGGAATCCCAGAAACCCTTGACATGCTGAGGTCCATGGTATGAACATCCTTAACTTGCAAAAATGCACAACGCACAACTTCGTATTCTTGGGTTCGGGTGGAGTGGGCGGGGGGGGGGGGGAGCCTGTTCCAGACATTGTTGGCAGCACGTGCATACAAATCCCCACATTTTCACTGGGGCCAATAACCCCTGCCCAATGTTAGAGCCAGTTTAGTCAGGAAACACCCATATAAACGTGGTAAACTGCTTTCTGAATTGTCATTCAGACAAAACATGCATTCCACAAGAATGTTGCCCAAGCACTGTCATTTGCTCGAGATTGGTGGCCTTCCAGCTCATGTGGCTGTGACCTGACATCGATGTGGCATGCGTTCGTGGCACAGGGCAAGAAGCTTGTTTTTGTGACCAACAACTCTACTAAATCTCGGGCAGGGTATGTGAAGAAATTCACTGGCCTGGGATTGAGTGTCAAGCCGGTAAGGGAAAAGAACTGGCACAAGGCAGCCATCTTCTGAATGCCATTCCCTGATGCTGCATTTTGTCACTGAGAACAGACAAGAAATGCAAGAGAGGTAGTGATAGCTATTCCTGCATGCAGGAAGAGATATATTCATCTTCATATGCGGCTGCTGCCTACCTGGAGGCAGTGAACTTTGACAAGAACAAGAAGGTGAGTACAGTGTGTACATGTGCATTGATATGCATCAAAACATGACGAGTCACTGCCTTTGTGTCTAGTTGACCTTGTCAGGGATCGTTGCAGTCTTTGGTGTCTGGTACCAAAATGTTCTCAACCGAGGATTCGTGTGTGCCGGCTACAGCAGGCCAAGGCTGTCAATCTGGCGTCTCCTGATGTCGAAATTGTGGAGTTCTCTAGAACTCAGAGTGACTTTCTGGCTTGTTGACTAAGACCCATCCACAATCCACAGCAAGCTCTGGGAGGCTGCATCACAGTTGTCGCAAACGTTGATTTGACTTTGACTATGACCCATCCACAATCCACAGCAAGCTCTGGGAGGCTGCATCACAGTTGTCGCAAACGTTGATTTGACTTTGACTATGACCCATCCACAATCCACAGCAAGCTCTGGGAGGCTGCATCACAGTTGTCGCAAACGTTGATTTGACTTTGACTATGACCCATCCACAATCCACAGCAAGCTCTGGGAGGCTGCATCACAGTTGTCGCAAACGTTGATTTGATTTTGCCAAGGGAGCCCACCGGTGGTTCTGCTGCCCATAGTACAGAGCAGTCACTGCCTGTCCACTGGCCAGCGCATAAGGCATTCCTCTTATCTGCCTTGCAGTGGACAACCACAACTGATTGTGAAATCAGTTAAGTTGGCTGCCTGTTTTGTTGACTTTATTTCCCATAATCCCCAATGAAATGCATCCTGAACGATTTTGAGGGTGCTTATCGAGCAGCCACATTCGTGGAGAGATAAGATGTGAATCCTTTACCAACAACTGCGAATTGGAAAATGGAGTGTACGCCATCTGTGTGACACCCAACAAACTCAAGTTCAATCATGCCACTTGGCTCCAGCCAAGTTTCTTGAAACAGATGGAAATATAGTGGAGTACACGAAAATGCATGAAGATGCACGTCACTTGTTTCAGAATGCTGCCCTGCAATACTGTTCTACTTCAAACGAGAGCTGCCTGTAGCTGACATGCAGTTTGACTGTCCACAAGCAGTCAACTCACAGCATGACTGCCGATTACATGCTATTCATTTGTTGATGTGTATGAATTATCAAGACGTATATGAGAGGATGATCAAATCTAATGTGGGGTGGGGAACACCAGTATGTGTGGTGAAGAGCGAAGAGCAAAGAGCTTAATGTTGCACATTCTGGACTGCAGGTGTACGTCGTTGGAGAGGTGGGCATCCAGGAGGAGCTTGACTTGAAAGGCTTCACACACACTGGGGGACCTGAAGATGGTGACAAGAAGATACAGCTGTCAAAGGGCTATGCAATGCCCCACGATCCAGAGGTGGGAAGAATGTGATAGTTTTTGACACAAACATATTCGCTTTGCTGGTGGAGCATCTTGGCGCCTGTGTGTTGTCTTTTGGAGTATTGACTGCTCATGTACAAGATGTGTTGTGCTCCCTGTGCAATTTGGGATCAATCCCTAAAGCTGCAAAGCCAATCATCTTTTGCTGTTATACCATTCTTTTGCCACTTACTCAAATACATTTCAGATTGTGGAACAGGTTAGACAGTGCAACTGAATCGAATGTTACAAGGCACATGCTCCAAACATAGCAATGGAAGAATGTTCAGACACCTTCCTGATACAGCTGAAGCCTTGGCAAACAATAGCCTAAATGAATGCTGGTATTTTCATCAATCATGTTTGAATGCAAAGGGCAGCAGGTCCTGTGCAAATGTTATTGGCCAACTGCTATCCTGCCCTTATGTGGGACAGGTGGGTGCAGTGGTGGTGGGCTTTGACCGGAACATCAACTACTACAAGCTACAGTATGCAACGCTGTGTCTTCGCGAGAACCCAGGCTGCCTGTTCGTGGCCACCAACTTGGACGCAGTGACGCACTTGACAGATGCCCAGGAGTGGGCGGGTGGCGGATCAATGGTGGGTGCCCTCAAGGGCTCAAGCCAGCGTGAGCCCACAGTTGTGGGCAAGCCAGCTGACTTCATGCTGCAGAACATAGCCGACCAATTCGGCCTGGAGCGCAACCAGATATGCATGGTTGGTGACCGGCTGGACACGGACATCTTGTTTGGTAAGAATGGTGGCCTGACGACGTGCCTGGTGCTGTCTGGGGTGACAAGGGAAGAAACACTTTTGAGCCCTGAGAATACCATCCACCCCGACTGCTACATGAGCAGCCTGGCGGAGCTCCTGAAAATAAAGGAGAAGGCGGCTGTCACCGCTTGAGTGGCTGATCGTATCTGGACCTGTGGAGCCTTGGGGGCGTATTGATTGGAGATTATTTTGGATTTTTTTGCACTGTCTGAGAAGAAGTTTGTGTGGAGGGATACCTGTGCATTAGTGGTCGAATTGCTTACGTTTTGGCGATTGGGTATTGTTTGAGCAGCAGGGGCTTTGTTCGATTGGCGGCCTGGGGGATGCACAAATTGTGGGCTGTCTCCAAGATTTATCAGTGGTGGACATTTCGAAGGACGTCCGCTGAGAGCACCATAACTGGACGGTGTCCGTTCGACTGTTTTGCAATGAGAGCGTCCAAAAGAACTGAAAGCATTTCTCTACATGACGTTCACCAGTGCCTTGGCAGTGGACTCCCATTGGTGCCAAATTCAAGCCACGCAGTCTGGCAGTCCACGAGGCGGTCCTCCTCTGGCATTCCACGCAGATGTGCCTGTCAGTTGCCCTCCACATCCGCCAGTTGAAGCGATCCCATCTTCGCTGACAAGTTCTGGGTGATGGCAGGTGGCTTCTTGCCCTACAGGCCCTGTACCAACTACCTCGACTGCAAGCCCAATCCGAGACCCCAACCGCACAAGTTTGCCTGTGGTAGACACCATTGTGAAGGTTCATCATCTGCAGTTACGAATTCGTGTTTCCGTTGGTGTCAATCATATTGCTGCCCATGTGCTCGTTGCAGATATCTGATTTGAGGCTGCCCAAAGCGATGCGCTCTAACGGTGCGGTGACGCTGCATTTTCTGGCGTCGTTGCTGACTGCCGTAATGTGGTGCAACGCTGTACTGCCGTACCGCCGTACTGCCGTACTGCCGCTGTACCGCAGCTGAGCATTTCATGCCCGGCCTTCAGTCGCCATATTCAAGATTTTTCAGCAGTCGCAGTAGTGCTGGGCGTCAAATCCATGGACACCCAATTGCCCAGTGCGCACACTTCCACCTTGTTTGTCCATGACCGAAGTCCTGCGCCTCAGGCGCGGCTTCTCATAAATGCTGAGCAATTTGTGGAAAGCTGTGAGCAATCTGCTCGAAAGTTTCACCAGTTCCCAGGGGCCTGCGCGTGGGGCTGTGTAGCCACGCGCGGCAGCATCATCCCGAAGCGACGCAGCAGTCAGGGTTGAAGGTTTGGGACAGGAAAATTGCTGGCAACGAACGGGGCATCACCACTGCCGTCATGTTCGCATCGTGGGGCAAAGCAAGGTGATTGGCGGCCCCCCAGTGGCACGATGCCAATCACGAAACCTGCCGTGGGTTCGCGTCCGACCGGTGTCGCCCACCCGTCCGCTGCCAGAAGCGGAAGGGCGTTGCACCTGTTCCTACACATTACTCAAGCCAGGCCCCCCGTGGCGTTCAACCCCGCGGCCCTCCTTCCCCGGCGCGTGTACTCTGACGCTGTACACCGCACTGGGCCCCTTCCCCATGTCCGGCATGCGGACACCCCCCTCAGCGCCTGCGCTCCCATTCTGAACGGAAAAAGAGGCGGCACGCTTTCAGAGCTCGGCGTCCCGCCCCACCCCGCCCCCAGCAAACGCGTCCGATGCGCGCCCGCCTGGCCCAAGCGACCAAGGCAGATAACCCGCGCCGGGCCAAGAAAACGCAACCCCAAACCCCCGGGAAAATAAAGCGAAGGCCACACACGCCCACGGGCGGGATCCGCGAAGGCGATGGGCTGCTGCCAGAGCCATCCCCGCGCTGATGTCGAGGTGCAGCCCAAGTGTCCCGTTATCGAGGTGCGTGCCCCAATCCCGCCCGGAATTGATTGCACATCCCGCGGGCTCCAGGGCTTGGATCGCCCCTTGGGGTGCATCTCGACGGAGCCCGGGCTTGACCGCGGGGAGGGCGATTCGCGGTGCGCCTTCGGCACCAGAGCCTCGAGGGCATAAGCCATCCGGCGCGAATCGCCGTTGTTGGCGCTGAACCCAGCCCCTTGGGGCACCCTGTGGGATTGCCGGAAAGGGCTGCCGTCGCCGGGCGGGCCAGTCCGGCGCCAGTGGCCGTCCATCGCCCGGGGGAGATTGGGAGAGATTCGAAACGGCCAGCCCGCGACTACCCCGCGGAGCTTGATCGGTCGTCGCGCCGCGCCTGTGGACGTCTGGCCGTCGGATCCACGCTGTCGATCGCGAAGGGCCCGCGCGGCGACTTGATCCACTATCGTCGTACTCGCGCGACCCCCGCCACTGGCCTCCGGATCCTTGGATTGCCGCTCACGAAAATAGAACGGCCAGTGACCCAACACCCCCTGGTTCTGTCGCCCGCAGAGGCTGCCCTCTCTCGTGAACCTACAGAGTCACCACAAGACGAACCACCCATCGGGATTGAAGGTGAGCAGCTGCGCCCGTGCCCCCCAACATCCGCGCTGGCTCCACGCCGCCTGTCCGCGCCGCTTTGCCTGGCCCCCCGTCATTTCGCTCCCGCCCTGTGGCCCGCGGTAGGCTCTCACGACCTTGGGGCTGCACAGGTGCATGCGCACAGCGCCGGGTGGCAGGCTAACGCCGCCTATGGCGACTACCACGCGGTGCACACCACCGACGACTACATGTTCGCGGCGCTGTTCGACGCTCACACGGCCACGGAGGCCGCCGCCTTCTGCAAGGCGCACTGCGTGGAAGTGTTTCAGCAGTGCCTGCGGAACGGTGGCGGGGACGTTCGGGGTGTCCTGAAGGAGACATTCAAGGAGCTGGACGCGCGGTTCTTTAAGTCCCAGGCGTCGCCGGTGGTGGGTGATGTTCGCCGTATCGACGGAATGGAAATCGTGCCGTTCTGTGTGTGCCACCCTCCCAAGCGTGGATTTTGCGGGACCGTCTTGCACACTGTGGAAGATGTAGGAAGAAAGCTGCTGGTGGTTGAAGTGGGGTGCTTGAGTCCCTTCAGAATGAAGAATGCGTGCAAGGAGCACGCCCGCAAGAGCAAGCATGTCGAGAATCAGTTCCGCCTGATGACTGGCTCTTGCAGACTGCGCAGGCTCTTAAGCCCCAACACCCAGTTAGGAAAAAGCAAGCAGCGAAAAGCGACGCCCTCCAGCCCATTGTTGTACGGACCTGGGCCATCACTGAGCCATTGACTAGACAGGCAGACAGTTGGGCCAGGGGAGAAGCTTATCATGTTTTGTTTCGTGGGCCTGTACACGTCCATGCTAATGGACGGCCACTGCTTGCTGGTTACTTGGGGACTGCCTTGGTCTGCATTGCCTGCCCACAGGCTTGCAGCAATTGCTCAATGGATTCTTGCAAAAAGGAGAAAAATGCAAATTCAAAGTGTCTGCTTAGTACAGTCTATTCCTTTTTCTGTGAGAATTGAATAACAGGTGTAACTGATCTGGTATGGACTTGAGAACATGGAAGGACCTGTGCCTGCTGTAGTTTGTGACCAGCGGTTGGGGGATGAATTTCTGCCAGATAACGTCCTGGCTGGTGGTCGTGTCACAATGCACAACTGATGGAATGAAAGGCTGTGTGTTCTCAACGAAATGGCTGTTGAGGGTGGCAATGACAGTGCTCAGGGTGTAAGATCCCCCTGCAAGAGTCGTGTGCCACCACGATGCTGGACTGCTGTCTTTCTGCTACTTGGCACAGTCAAGTCGGCCATGCTTTCAGTGCATCCCCTGCTGAGACAGGGGGTGCCGTGATTGACAGATGAAGGCAGCTTGTGGAGCAAGCGGTGTTGCTGTGTATGTGGAGTTTTCAAGGCACAGATGCTACGTTGCCAACTTGGGGACATCTCAGTGTGTGGTTGGATGGGCAACAGGTGGGGCTTTGGACAACAACTGGTTGTGCTTTATGTTTGCTGCTGTCAGTTTCCAAGAACCGATCCAGGAATATCTGACATCAAAGCAAGCATGGAGAATGTTGTGTGTCCTTTGTCAGCTGGGAGAAAATACAGCCTGGAACTCACAAGGCAGGTAACGGGCAAGTGTTCCATAAGTTTGCTGGCCATCAAGCTGTTCATGAAAAGCCTGGCCCAGTCTGCGTTCCAGAAATACAAGAACCTCAGGTAGTGCATTTTGTGACTAGGATTGTACAAGAGACAGTAAAGTCAGGACAAGCACTGCAATGAACAGCTCACAGCAGTGCCTGGTCATCCTTGTAGCACACTTACTACCATGGGTGAGTGTGACACAGAGTTGTGTGCATTATCGCATTTGCTAGTTTCGAACAAGCACTGTATGCAGTACACCAAGCAACACACTGGCTCCAGTCCTTTCATCGTGATCATGACTTGACACTTGGTGACAGGTGGCTTCAATTCGAAGAACTGCGATGGGCGGCTGCTGACACGCGATCACAGTGCGAGGTGGGATATTTGCTTGAAAGGATGCCCTTTTGATGCCTGTTGTGTCTCTGCATGGCCACGTCTTTGCCTCTTTGTCACTGCACTGGCATTTTGTGGTCTCACAATTGGGAGAAGCTAACATGTGCAACATACTGCTTCCCATAGTGACATTCAGTCTCAAACTGGAAGTTCATGCTGTGCAGCTGCGAGACACTCAATTATGGCCTGCTTCGGCCATCGTCAGCCCACCCTGGCCCCTCTAGCAAGAGCCACTGTGTGCTACCTGAATTGTATGTGCTTTTTGTGGACGAAAGCAGTCAATTTGGGGTTAGTTTGCACAATTCTGGCCATGATGCTTGGGAATGGATGAATTCCACGGGCTTGTGATGTGGGATGAGTTCTGCAGGTTTGCAATGTGGCGTGAGTGCTGTTCAATTGCCTGAAAGACACATGTATTTTGTTGCCTCAGGGACCCAGTTCAGCAGCAGCTACTTAGGGAAGAATTTCCAAGTGACCCAAACATCATTCACTATTACGATGGCAAGCCAATGCTGAAGGGTGTCACAAAATTGACACGTTGTATTGGATATGGACTGGGCAAAGACTCAACACTGGCAGGTGTGTACGTGTGGGGCTCTGACACTGCGGTAGTGATGTCAACATTGGCAATGCCATCTGAGTGGATAGAGAGTCTCACTTTGAGACCTGTTTGCATATGCGGAGTACCTTTCTATACTGTATCAATGTCCCTGCATCAATGTCCATGTTGCATGCAGAAAACTGCTTGTGCAGTGCTTCCTCTGCAAGGGTGCAAGAGACCCACTGCAGCAACAACTGCTGTTTTGGATGTATGACACACTTTGCACAGCCACTAGGTGACTGTGTGCTGTAACCACACATCAAAGGGGCTCACACCTCCTGCAGGACAGTAAATATGTTGCCAATGCATGTTCAGGAGTCAACATGTGTACACATTTATACCTTTTGAGCTTGGAGAACCAGGCTGTTCACCACCATGATTTGCCATTTGCAGCACAATAGGGCAACAGGCAAAGGCGGCATGGACCTCGTTGCCAATAATAGATTATAGGGGCATTGATGTTCCTTGGTTCTGCTTCTCCAGATCTTGATTTATTTCCAGCAGGTTGACATCGCTAGAATGCTGTGCCTGCGCTACAATCATGTGAAGATGGTCTTAGTGCTTGGCATTTATTTTGCCACTGTGAGCTTTGTGTTCAATACTGCAGGGCATTACAATAGGGTGGGAGTCCGCAAGGTGTCACCACTGCCAAGGAGAGGAAAACCATACATCTCTAATGAAGCTGATGTGAGTTGTACACACTTTTCCACAGTTGGTCAGTAGGCAGTGAGCTGTGCAAGGATCTCAAGGTTTGTGCAGGGATGCGAATACTCATTTTGTCAAGACTCTTCAGTGGCAGTGTGCACTGGTCCTCATTGACCTGCGCTCGATGGAATGTCTAATTTCTTCCCAGCAGAACAGCTCCAATGCAAAGAAAGCTGGAGGTGATGCATGACTGCCATGGACTCAAAGGCACTGCTAAAGCTGTGTGCACTGTTTGTTGCGTGCCAAGATCCCACAGTGTACTTCAGTGCTGGATGACAGGCTGTCCTCAACAACAAGGGTGTGCCTCCTTCATTCTGAGAGTGGCGGCATCCTTGCGTTTGTGCACCAATTGTAGAAATCAGCTTTGGACAAAGTTCGAAAGCTGAAAGCCTCCCAATCGAAGTCCTTGGAGTCAGACGCATTAGCATGTGATCAATAGAAAGATGCGGTACAGAATATGGGCATGTTGTGCTGTCAGCTCCCTGCTTGAGTGCCTTGGCCAAAAATGTTGTACTCTGCCCTTACATTTGCACAGGGATGACGAGCAATCACTAGGCTGACATCACGTTGCGGTGCCTTCATAGGTGGCCGTTCATGCCTTGTCACCTCAAGATGAACACATTCTGCTGGTCTCAGAGGGCGTTCTACAGCTTCTGAGCCCAACAGACACCTCTCTGTTCTGCAGCCAGTTTAGCCATGCAAACCTGGGCATGCTGCAGAGGTCCTTGTCTGCACAGATCGCCTCTACATCGTCAACGGTGCAGGAGACAGGATCTTCCCAAAGCCCAGCTGCCGCGCTGGTGCGATACGCTATGGTGAAGGCTGCAGATAATTGGCGAAGGTGAGGAGCATTAACATTCCTGTCATCAATGCATCAGTTATAGTTGGGATCCATGGGTAGGTGTAACTGCCCTTGGACGTTGTCCATTTGTACAGGGTGACCAATGCTCTTGTATGCAAGAGGACGGTGGCAACCATTCACATGTTCAGAATGTGTGTTTGCTTCCTACTTAATATCGTGTGAGACAAAGATTGGACTCGGGGCTTATTGAGCTTGCACATTCTGTCCAAATACACCACCTATGCACCAGCGCTTGTGCCTGTCCCCCCAGTGCTGCATGCATGTGCACAGTGGCAAATCATGATTTGTGGTATGGAGCGGAGCGCACACACATTTTCAGCATATCATTCAGTACATCAATAGTGATTGCCGTGTGGTTGTTAAAACACATCCCTTGACAGGCAGCAATTCCAACTGCATCATTAGCTGAGCATGTGAGTATGAAGCTCATTATTGCTGTGTTGGCCAGCGTTTCCAGGACTGTTGTCAGCCAGTTGACAGCAATGTGCCAAAAGTCTAGCTCCTTTGCACCAACAATTTCTCCTGTGTCTTTATGATCAGAGTTCCCAATATCTTGAATTGGTGTGACACGGGTTGTGCGGTATCAGGAAATTGAATCGGACAGCATCACTGAGCATTGAGGACATTCGTAAACTGCAGCTTTCTGGTGTCCAGCCGAAGTCCACAAGTGCCACAAGCATCCTCAGGGGGTGAGGGCATGTGTATTTCATATTTCATTGCCTGTGTTCCTCAGCTGTTTGGCCAAAATCTTCCTTCTTTCCCAGCATTACAATCCAAAGAGAAGAGGTGTATTCCACAGCTGTTTGGCCCAGATTGTTCTGTCTCAGTAGACAGCAAAGTAAGCGAAATGCACCACCTAGAGGCCACTGCTTCCCAGGGTTGTCCCAAGGAGCCAGAGCATTCAGCCCCAGCAGCAGCCGATTTGCTTGTCAATGGATACACATTTGTTTCTTTGGTGAGCATGCCATCTCTGTCAGCTGATGTGTTTAGTGAAGTCCATTGCATACACCTACCTGCCCATTGCTTGAGCCAGTCTATCACTGCTCTGAGGAATGTTCTCTGCCCCGATTGTTGGACAGCGATGTGCATGACAACATTGGCGTGCTGGCCATCACATTCGACTGGCCGCGGTCAAGGTCTGGTGGGGCCCTTGCATTGGGTAGAGGGGGAATGCAAAAGCATGTTGCATACCGGTGGCAGTTGGCACTGCTATTCTGCCGGTTTATGATTGTTCGCAGGTGAGGAGCCACATGGTGCACCAACTTGTGTATTATGTCTGTGTATGGCTTGAATTGCATTCCACTCCAGACAATGTGACATTGATGCTCTCAATTAAGATCAAGCCCTGCAGTGGTATTAGCCCTACAAGGTTGGAGATTCTGCTTGATTGTTCTCATTTGGGCATCGAGCAGAATGTGAATTGGTGCAGCCTTTGCGCTTTGTCAATCAACAAATTTCCTGAGGTCTGGAGCATAGCATTGGGTGATTGGGTGGGTTAACTCCAGAGACTATAATGGTATGTTGTCTGAGTTGATTGCGGAGCAGCCACCATGACTTGCTGGTCAGGCTGATTCCCCTTGTTTCGCTATAATTGTGGATGCCGATGGTTGCTGGAATGGTAGGCCAGAGATGACTGTGCAAATGGAATTGGTGTGGCTTATTATCAGGAGAACCCTTTTGAAGAAATGGTGGAAGGCAGTAGATGTGTCCATGCGCAAAGCCAGGGAAGCCGCTCGGCATGCTGAGGTGCGTGCCTGGGTTGACCAGGGAGAGGCCCTCCAACTGGCTCCAGCAACAGTAGGGACGTCCAAAATACCCAGGGTGCCGTCCGAGGCGTCCGATCACCCAAGCAGATCTGGATCTCGCAGCAGGTGCGTTTTGCACGATCCAGGGACACCCTGGCAAAGCGACTTCAGCTGAGTCTCTGCTAAGCTACAGTGCCAAGGCACAATTCAGTGATGTCATTGTTTGGAATCCAAGAAAAGGCCTGTTCACAACGGACTCTTGTCAGCAGCACAGCTACAGAAGCCAATTGTGGCAAGCACTTGGGCTAGAGAGGGGTGTCCTCAACCAACAAGCAAGGTCCACCAGTTCATGGTTGTCCTTTGAAGAAGGGTGAGATGCTTTGAGTGGAGCGTCTTTAGTCTGCAGGGCAGTGTTCGTGAAACGTGGCACAGCCCCAGGTGTAGCATTATCCCAGTTGACGTGTGCTTGTTTGTTGCATCGTCAAATGGTGATTTGACACACAGTGGTACCGTGTCACCACAATGGTACTTTGTGCCACTGCAGGTCTCCCTCGGGCATCCCATCGCCTCCCAACAGTATCTTGACATCACCATCACAGAAACCTTTCAGTCCCACTGGGAATGTGGACGAGGGCCACCCTGAGTCGCCGCCCTCCAGACTGACACAGGACGAGCTGCCGATGTTGCTGATGCAAGCCACTATGCGGAGCTCAACTCCAACATCACATTCTCCCAAGAGGGTAGTGGGCTCACGCAGTAGCTCCAGAGTGCCTTTCACATTGGTGAACGCAACATAGATGGAACAGAGGACGAAGAGCTGGGGCAGTAGGGAATCAGGCAAGCAGGCTGATGGCACGTTTTTGTCTTTCAGTTGAATTCATTGAACTTGAGGAGTCATTGTATGCTGGTAACGTGGCTGCTCCTCGTTGACATCCGAGAAGTCAGAGGCAGTCGCTGCAGCAACGATTTATCACAGCTTGTCCGTTGATTTGGCGGAGGAGCAGACATAATATGCCCATTCCAAGTGTTGGCCAGCACAAAACGATTTGAAAATGAACCCTTAGAACAGTGCTGGTGGGCTGGACTTGGGCACAGTTGCAGGTGAGAGTCTCCCACATATGGCTCTCATTCTCAGACCCACCAGGGCATCCGGCCTTGGGGCTGTGGCTGACAAAGCGAAATGAATAATGGCGGCTTCTGTAGCGAAGTCATCAATGCCTACAGGGCCTCGTTGTGGGGCCCATATCTTGTTGCGCTTGTAAGAGTAGGATGACCGTGCGTTCGGGAGGAGCCAGCGCACATGGGGAACGGCTGACGTCGGTAGTGTTGGGGATTACACCAGTTCAGAGGTTGTGGATTGTGATGCAGAGATTGATGGTTATCAAGAACTGCGGGGCCAGAATTTGGCGTTGACGGTCGCGTTGACTTGATGCAGCCCTGTCTGTGACCTTGGTACGAATATGTGTGTTCAATCATTGGATGATCGTCAGGGCCAACATGTTTGTACGCTTTCGAGCCCTCACACCCATCTGTGTATAAAGGGTGCGTCTAGAGCCCATCCGGATTATTCATTTTCATGCGTGTCGCTGATAGTGGGTTTCAAGCATCGCGCAATGTAACAATCGTGTCGCTTGGGGGGAGTGCAACTCGGGGCCAGGCCAGGCCAGCGTTCGGTCTGGAGACCTAACCCCAACTAACTTAGGACCATTTCGCGTTGGTGGCCATACCGGAAAGCAGTCGTGCCCTGTCACTTTAGAAGTGCATCGGAAGGCCCTGTGAGGTCTTCATTTACCAGAGAATGCCCAGGGCATGGCTGTTTCAGGGCTTCACTTGAGAAGTCCCAGTTGACAGAATCGGGCAAAATCAGGCAACCGAGGCCATGCTGACGGCGAGTTCTAACCACGATGCAGCAGCAGTGGGCGGCCAAGCGCGGGCATGGAGTGCAACACGAACGGCCTTTGCCGTTGGTCGCCCAAACCTGGCATGATCTTAAATGTCCAAGAGAGTATAAACGTGTTGTACACAGCCACCCACCCGCCTACCTGTTCTGAGTAGGAGCAGACACTGTTTTGATTTTGGTATGCTTAGCGTCAAATTGACGTTAAGCGCAACGATCAGCATCACTGAAAGTGCTTCTCAGCGTTTGCAGCATGTTTTCATTGTGTTCGTCATAGTTGCATCAGAAAAGTATGTTAACATTTGTTTCGTTGCCCACAGTTTTCGGTCTGTTGCACAATCATTTTCCAAAAACGATCGTCATTGTCAGGCTGACCAAACACTCTCACGCGCGCTCACACACGGTCGCTCCTCAGGCACGGGAAGCGAGGCCGCAAGCAGATGCACTACAAGACAAGCGCATCAACTAAATAGTGTTCGCAGGAAATGTCCCCATTTGGTAACCACCGTTTCTGTGTTCACCATGCTTCTTTCTCACCGCGTTCACAATGCTTAACCACACCATGTATAATCACACCATTCACCTTAGAAATATCCACCATACATACCTCGCCCTCGCAGTCATTATCTGAAAGTGCTTCTCACCCATGTGCGCAATTCCTTGCACCCGACTCTACCATGGACCAACGTACTATCCCATCGTAGAGCATCCTCAACTGGTGTCAACGTCAGGCGCTGAGCTGTAGATGGCCACACCGTCAGGATGGCGTGCGGTTCTGTGACGACCTCTGGACCGTGAACACCCATCCCCAAAGCGATTTGTGGCAGCCGTGAAGCTATGGTATGCGCTGTGATCGCTGCCACTGTGGGCGCTCTGATCGTGCCCAAGCCCCCTTGCACAGAATTTGGCATGCGTGTTCCGATGACTTTAAGGCGTCTTGGACCAATTTCTGCCTTATTCTGATTTTAGTGCAATTATGTAACTCCTTAGCGTCAAGCCCTTTACTCCTCTCCCCCCTAACGTCAATTTGACGCTTAGCGTACGAAAATCAAAACAAGTGTCTTCCCTAACTTCTCAGTATTTTCTTCCATATTCCGAAAGTGACCAAGCAATCTCCGAAAGCAGCAGGAAAGTGCATAAAATTTTGTGTGGATTCCAACATTGCAACGCTGCCCACTGTCATAGTTCATGCGAGCGCTTCGGGTGCTGGTTCCTACGGGCTGGAAACGTACTTTGCAATGAGCGCAAAGAGAATGAATGCCGCATCAGGCCCCTTTGCCCATAAACCAATCTGAGACGGCATGCATAATCTTCCACTTGGGGTGCTTGCCCATGGCTATCTGCCGTTGTGCACATTCCAGTGGCGTTTCTACGGCACTACATGCCGCGGGCAGGTGCGCCTTTTGGGCCAGCGTATCCGAACGTGCAGACACGCAGGGCCAAAGACAATTGGACAGAGCAGCAAAAAAGACGGACGTCCAGGCCGCAAAAAAATTTGCAGCCTCCATTTGGGAAATATCGAAATGGCACAGGAACGAATTCTTCTGACTCTTTCTCATCAGCTTTACTCATCATAAACAGCAAGTGGCACCCATAACTGGAAAGCGTGCTATCACAAAGACTGCTTTCCTTGCAGCGGTGGTGGTCTATGAATGGTGTATAACATCACGTCGCATGTCTGATACTCCTGTGCTTAGCCCTTCATGCAATTGAGGCCTTTGCACAGTAAACGTGCGACAACTCCAGCATCAATGCAATGTGTGCTTGTCCCAATTGTTATCAAATTTTTCACCTCAGCCTGTATTCCCTCGTAATCAGATCGGATGCAGAAATAGTTGCCATAATAGGGGCAAACCCCAGGTCCGTTGATGCCTTTTATGACAAATCGACCAAAAGCTTTTGACTCAATTGCCATCAGTGCCCCCAGAATATTCCTTCTCTATTGTTGCTTCCTTGGGAGAGTCTTGTGGCAACCCCTTGGCACACATGCATATTCACATTTGACAAAGCCATTCCAATTTTCAACCCACCTGCTGTCCATCACTACTAATAAGCCGAAAATCTCACTTAATTGTGCCCATTGGTTCGCAGAACTTTACACTTTTCTGATATGTAACACAGCCCTGAGTCACCCCCTCATCCCGAACTTCACTCCCTCACCATTCCACAACTAACCGAACCTTGCTCTCTACAGGTGGTCGGGCGGACGCGAAACAAGTTAAAGGGGAGACCGAGGGAAGAACGTAAATAGCGGCCCCCAATCACCATCCAAAGCCCACCAAACTCCACTAGCGGCAAACCTCCCGCGGCCCTGTTTGAGCGCCTTGGACTTTGACTAACCGAAGGCACTGGATGGAAACACAAAAGGGCGGGGCCTAAAACGGCCTTTCACAATGAGCTGCCGATTCAAGCCATCGGCGCAGCCCACCCAACGTCGCCCTTGGGAGAAACCCATCGAGCAGGTTGAGCATAGTTGATTCCATTTACCTTTCGCATGTAATGATTGACTGAGGCGTTTTAGCCCGGCTTAACCGATACTTTTAGGTTGGCTGGCACTTGGGCCTGGTGACGTAAAAGTGGAGCCACACGCTGCTACGGCGGCAGGCTCCACCCCACCTGTGTTGCTCCGCCGGCGTGTCGCGAATTGCCGTCGTGGCGATGGGCGGCTGGGTGTACACCGGGCACCGCATATGCGCCGGTGGCGCTGCCGAGAGCGCCGCTTCCAAGACTTTCCGACTGGAGACGATGTGCGCCACGCACGTACAACACAAGGCCACGAAGCATCACAGGCGAACAAGGCCGAAGAAGGTGCCGCACATACATGCAGCGCTCCCCATGTCTTGTTTCCCTATCCCAAGGCGCGTTTTTGCGGTTGTCGTGGTCATGCCTGCCCCTTCATCGCCTTGTTTTGGTCTGTTTTCGGTCTCTGGATGTTCCTCGCCGCCGGGCACCTGTTCGTTCCCATTCAGCGCCAGCCAGGGATGGCCTCAGCTTTTGGAACGAACGGAAAGGGCCAAGGAAAGGATGCCTTGCACTAGTGGCGCCCGAGGGACGTGTTTCACGCGGGCGCCTTGTGTCAATGTTTTACGACCCATTGGCACAACCTTTGCTATTTGTCGCTGCCAGATTTTGTGGGCGGGTAGAAATATGCCGGTCAACTTATATAGGTGCATGGGCAGGGCTTAGTCAAATGAGCTCAACGGCATGACAATTTCAAATGCACTCAATGGTGTGACTATAGCCCCCTTTGGAGGGTTGCAATGGTCCTGTTGTATTCCAGCCCATTAGATGGATTGCTGGCTTGTGAAACAAGCGCGTGTGAGTGGATTCAGCACTGAGCTAAGCACTAGATCAGTTTATCAGACTCGTCCAACTAACGATCATCAAGCTGATCAGTAGAGCTGCGGGTGTTGCAACAACCATGTGCATAGCCACTGTACACAATGGACACAGGTGATGCAGTGAACATTGAGAGGTGAGTATACTCCACCTTGTGTGAAATCGCACGTGTAACAATTGCCAGTGCACGACACAGTACAGCCCCTTGCAGGTCGCACTGGATAGCCAGGCAGGAGTTAACTGTTGTTAAAAGCACCATGACAAGCGCAGCTCTGGCACGTGGCCGGCAATGACATGTACTGTGAATCAGCGTGTTGCTTTCCAGTATACACAGCACCCCCCTCATGCAGGGCACCAAGAAGTTTAAGTGGCCAAATGAGGAAGCGAGGGAACAAGAAATTTCACTCGGTAGAATGAAAACAGAAATGAAGACTTAATGTGGTAGTTTTATGTGGAGATGTAGGCATATTAGTGGACCCCTTGCTTAGGCACAGAGTCAACAAGAATTGGACGGAGCTTTATGCCTGGTATGGTTTCAGAATATTTGATCCGTCGTATAGAGTGCTGCTGAAAGTCCTAAAGCAGGAAATGTTGTTTGGGTTCAGACTTGAAAGGGCATGGCACTAAGTTCCTCACTGGTGAGTGTTGAATTTAGAGCTTGACGAGCCAGTTTAAGTACATTTCTCAATTGTCAATCTGGATTCAACATTGCCAAAGCCTCCCCAGAGAGGTGAACAGCAAACTTTCCGATTCACTGTCTGGCTCTGAAGTATTTTGATGTAACTTTCACAGCCAACGTGCCCACTGTGCTGCTGGCTGGCCAAACCAAGTGTTGACTGTGGCAAACTGAGTTGTTCATGTTGTGTTTTGTGTTGTCAGCACGGATCTCAGCGTCGGCAGACCCCCACTGAATATCCCCCTCTGCCGACCCCTCCGCCACAAGTTGTGGTAGTCAGGGATGCGCAGCAGTGAAAAGGTACAAATCAACAAGCTGGCTGATGGTTTATGTGCTTTCCAACCAACAACCCCACAAGCAAATGGATGGACAAAGTGTGGCACAATACAACAGGTTTTGCAAGCTTCCTGTGATGTACATGCACCATGGCTTGGAAGAAGGGGCACTGCGACACCTCTGGTTGCATTTGTTGCCAAATGCATGTCATATGCATGAGCATCAAGCTGCCCAAGAGGTGTGCTATGCTGTTCCAAACTCTGCTGCACACCTAGTTTCTGCCAGATCGCTAATGGTGGGCAGCCATCGCGTCCTTGGTGCAGCGCCACCAGCCGTAAGTATCTTTTACGGTTGCTTGCTGTTCCCTGCAGGTGGACGCTGATGCAGACTGCTGTCAAGGCTCGTTGGACTGTATGAGATCTTGCACGAGGGCGGCCTGCTGCATGCGCAATGCCTGGCACAGGGATATTCCAAGGGCATGCTGTGGATGCAGCGGCGTTGTAAATCTTTATTGAGATGACGTTTCGCTGTGTGGTTAAGAGAGTTATTTGTTTCTCAGTGTGTGGGCATGAACGTCTGGCGTCTTACCCAATGTTCGACAGTCAGCAAGGACCTCGTCATTGCAACATTTGCAGGCATCCTAGCTGCCATGCCGACAACACGCAGTGCTGTGTCAGCTTGCTGGCACTTCACAGGGCACAGCAACGGTTTTTGCTACGTTTTTGGCTTTCACTCCCTGTTCTTGTCAAGGGTACCGGACATTGCGAGCCTTTCTGGGTCCCCATCTGAAGTCAGTGCCATGACACATAAAGCCTAAAGCCGTGTAGGCAAGGGTGTGCGGGACAGGAGCCTTCTGGGGTAGTGGGGGCCATGAGAGCCAGGGAGGAGTTGTTGTTATTTGTTGTACAGTAGGCATCCCGCTGGTGAACGGTGCAATTAGCACTCTTTCCCCTGAAAGATATTGTAGAAGTAATTGAATGCTGACCAACCTGCATGACAGTGGAGACTTGAGGCAGGTCATCATTGGCATGGCCGCAGCCGTGATGACCAATTGTCTAGGTACCCTTCTTCAGCTTCAGTTTGGCATGAACCGTATCTCCAAGCCTGTCACCGCAAGTGCACACTGCAACTAACAAACCAGGGCCTGCATTGAGAGCCACCGTTCGTGACTAAAACAGAAGCCTGCATTGTTGGGAGAGGTAGATGATGCACATTACCGCAAGAAAATCCCCCGGTTTCTGAAAATTGCCAATTTGTCGTTCGGTTGTTGATAATTTTCTCATGGGCACGCAACTGCTGTGGACCAGCCCAGGGATGCTGTCCGCGCTTGCCAGCTGTGCATGTTGGGGTATATGTGTGTGGAGCTGTTGTTACAAACCGTGAACTTGAGTACATACAGGTCCTGTGGAACAACAATGCTATTCCGGGGCCATCTTAGCAACCGCGAACTGGGTATCCACAGCACACAACTAGCCAAGTCCGCTGAAATGAGAACAGATGGCCCCTAGCGAAACAGATGAAGGGATCCTCAAGCTGTGTGTGCGAGCAGATGCCGTCACCGCAGCCAATCCAAGACCATGGTGATAGCTGCCCAATCAGCATGTGCAACATTGATTGCAAATGCCTCGCCGTTCTCCCTCGAATCCAACACATATTGAATAAGTAATTCCCATTCCTGCATTTGAAACAGGCCTGACACTACGCCATGTCATTACATGTGTCACACAGTGCGTTGTCATATAATTTAGCACCTCATCGACTCCCTCTGACCAAAAAATCCCATAATACGCAAACCATCAGCCACCACGTACAGGACCAACGATTCACTTGTACACAGCAACGTCACCCAAATACCCACACCAAAACGAAAGAACTGGCTCATCAGGTTCTTCTAGATGGCCCCGTCCCACCTTGCCCACCCCAAAGATCACAGGTCCATGCCTTTCCCGTGGTTTGCAAGTTCCACGATCAAACATCCTTCAATCGTTCCCCGCAGCAACGTCCGTTCGACTCTGGCACGTCTCTAGAACCCTCCTCACACCACTGTGAGGCTCCTCATCCGAGTGGCCATCTTTGTCGCCAGCGTCCCTCCCATCAGACACTCCGATCATCAGATCCTCCAGATCATCAGATGCCTGCATCCCAGCAGCTTCCGGCAAATCTGCGCACCTTTCAGTCTTGTCTGGATGGCTCACACGGTTCTCATCAGGGGCCCCTGTGCTTGGGTCGCATAGCTTATCAGCTTGCAGCACCGCCATCGGCTGGGTCACCACATCAACACGCTGCTGGATGCACCGCTCACTCCCAGTACGCAGTTCACCAAGGGGCGTTGCATCTACAACTGTGTCTGCTGTGGCCCTCTGTGCCTCACAGTCATCTTTGCTTTGCTCCCTTGCATCCGATGGCGTTACCCGCATAGTGTCTGATGACGAAACAGGCTTTACGGCGTCGCTGTCAGGCTCAGCACCAGCAACTGGGTCCTCAACTGAGTATTCTGTCAGGTAGTACGCAGGGGCTATTGCAGGCACGCTGGACACCCCAATCTGGGCTCCACTCGTGGGGGGCATCTGGAGCACCAAGCAAGACGACGTCTGTGCTGCACCAGTGTACAACCGGCCTGGCAGGGTGCTCCTTGCATCATGGACATGCACAGGGCGCACACCACTATCCCTAGTACCTCCCCTCCCACCCACAGCTGACCTCCTTGGCTCTTTCACAACCAATACTCTGTGTTCTTCCCTTGGCCCCTTATCACTCACCACCTTGCACCCATTCCCTGGCTCCTTGACATTCAACGACTTAAGCTCCTCCCTTGGCTCTTTGATACCCACAGCCTTGCGATTGCTACCAGGTTCTGCTGCGCTCAACATCTTGTGCTCATCCTTTGGTTCCTTTATACCAATGGTCTTGCGCTCCTGTTGCAGAGCCTCCTGATCTCCAGACATGGGCTGCTGCTCCTGGGGCGCACTGCTGTGCGGGGTGGCCTTTTGCTTCAAGCTGCCCGACGACGATGAGGACAAGTGCCTTCTCAGGAATGAAACCTGGCTGAAATCACTGCTCTTGGGGCCAGAAGCCTCCACAAGTCCACCCGATACAGAAGGCCCTCTTGCAGGCCTCGCGTTTCTGCGCCGGCGCCTTTTGCCCTGCGCCACAGCCACCTCCAGAGCATGCAAGTCGCAAGCAGATGGAAGCCTGCCCAGTGTCATATGTGCATTTTCAAACTTTTCCAGCGTTGACAGGAACTGCCCTGCCATGGCCAGACGGCGCTGCAGTTGGGCCTTTGGATTTCCAGTTTGGTTTCCATACCCATCTTCCACCTGGTAGGGAATGCTTGGAATCTTGTTCCTGCCAGCTGGTTTCGGTTCAGAAGAAGGTGCACCTCCATGACTGCCAGCAGTTATGCGGAATCTGACTTGCAGGCTACCAAATTCTTCAGGCAGCCGCACAACCCTTGTGGCGTCCACATTGGGCAGCCCACCATCCTTGAATAGGCTCAAGTCAGGCCCTGTAGGTATCTCGTCCTCCATGCTTTGGTGTGTTTGGTTCTCATCCACATCCATAGACTCTAAGCGGGCAGCCTTGTGCTGTGCAGCCTGAGTTCCAGGTGACGGGGGTGCCGATCCATCACGAGCCTCGTCAGTCCAAGGGCCCCTACTGTCCCCAAACTGCTCAGAGCCAGTATCAGTGCCGTCTCTGCTCAATGGGTCCTGCACAGGCTGGACGTTCGCACTGGGCCCCTTTCTCTGGTTGTTTTTCTCCCAGCCTGAGACAGAGAAGTTATGCACCTGATTGGCACTCTCCACTTTCAGGGGAGATGACACCTCGATGGGGTCCCAAGCATCAGACAACACCCTCTCACCAGTCTCCACATTTCCCACAGGCGCTGCAATACTGCATCGCAGAGCCTTCCGGTCCCTGAGATCAAGACTGTCGCTGCCAGTAGGCAACTTGCCCACTGCAGGGTGCTCTCCGCTTCCGATCTTGGCTGTGTGCTCTGCAGCATAGTTGCAACCCTGCAAATTCTGATCATTGCCATCCTTGGCCATGTCCTCTGCCAACGAGCCTGGAGTGCTGCCACGATCTAATGGATGCTTCGGCACCCTGGTAGGCAGGGTCCCAGCTGAAGGGTCCTTCTGATCCATGCGCCGCTCACCAGAGCCATCTTGTGCTGATGCCCGCTGCCTCTTCTGTGCCATCTGGCCTTTTGGGCCCACCATGCGCTTGGTTGCAGCGAGCTTTCCAGTCTTCGACTTCCCTTTCCCCGTTGACTTCGCCTTGGCTTTTGAAGGGGCAAGCGCCTGCTGGGGCGGTGTGACCTGCTCACCTCGAGCATCATCCTGCAAAGTTACAGGCCACGCCAGGGGTTAAGACATGACGTTCGATCTGACCCCACACACAGGTAGTTGTCCAAGCCCGACAAGCAAACAGCCAAGATCCGCTCCAGGGGACACGTTCTTCTTTCAACGAGGGAACCCCGCGAGGCTGCGAGGTCGACTTGGCGCGACCACACCGCAAGGCAGTCCCGTTGTCAGGACGGCGCTCATCGCGACAGGAGCAGCGCCTGACCAATCCCCGTTCCCACCAGACGCAGGGCAAAGCGCCCAGATTCCAGGACCAGCCCGGCACGTAGCGCCCGGAACGTCATCGGCCACCGTGACCAATCTAGGCATCACTTCGCGCCCATCAAGAAGGCCTCGCGAGATCATCGCCAGCGGTGACCCGACTCGATGCTGCCTACCCATTCGCGGCTCGGCCCCTTGGTGAAAACGCCGAAAGCGACGCCGATGGGCGCATTGCCACACACGCTCCCTCCCACTCTAACTGCCCCAGGCGAAATGTACATCCTTTATGTCGGTCTCGTGCGCCGAAAGCTGCTTCGTGTCGTACGCTCGTGGCCAGCGCCTCGGCCTTCGTGGGAGCCCTCCCTAAGGCCACGGGTTGGATTGCGCCCACGGCAAGGCCACCGGGGACCGCTGGCGGGTGTCGAGCGTTCGAGAGTTCAAGCCGGATAATTATGTGCTCCTCGCGAGCAGTCATATGCGCCCAGCTCCTGAAACGCGTCGATATCATATCCGTGCGCGAATTTGCCGCAACTCCGACGCCGCCCACTTTCCTGGTGCCCCAATCGCGGCGCTTTCCACGACAGTGACCTCCCGGTCCGTCAGTGCTGGGGAACAACATGGCCAACGCCAGCACCCCCTCCCCACCTGCGCCGTATTCTCCGGCGTTGCGGATGCCTTTTTCGCGCCGGCCTGCTGGGCGCCTTTCTTCGCCGCCACGGTTCTCCTGTCCGATTTTCCACCTTTTTTGCCACCCTTGCCGCCTACGCCAGCCGGCAGTTTCCAGATGACCTTCTCAGATGACAGGGACAGGTTCTCTACCTCGCCATCGTCGTAGTTGACGTCGTGCCTGCCTGTCCCGGTGTTGTAGTTGGTCACTGTGCCCTCGTAGAACCGACCGTCCTCTTTCCAGAACACACCCACCCGCCAGCCCACAGCTGCCCGTCCACGAGGCGGCTCCTCACCTGACAACAAAACCACGGCTGCCGTTCAGGCAAAGGATTCGGATCCCAGTTGCGCCGTCTTGACGTGTTGTGCGACAGACAGACAGACAGACACACACACACACACACACAAACACACATCACCACAGGCTACAAACAGTGATGGTGCAGAGAATGCTAATCGGATGGCCCTACCGATTCATCACAAGGAGTATCTCACAAACCAACAAGGAACTACCTTCCCCACTGGAAAAACACACACTCGTTTTCCCTGCCACTCACCAGCCTCAAGACCTGCCGCGAACGTGCAGCCTCTTGCAGTGTCTCCCCACACGACACTCTCACTCCCCATGTCCAGCCACTCTTGCTCACCATCATGGTACCACACCAGGTGCACCTTACGCCTCTTGTCATAGGCCAGCACCTCTGCCTCGTGGTACTGGCCATCACCAGCCCAAAATACAAAAGCACGCCGCCCAATCATCTCTCCTGGCGTGGTTGGTCGACCTTCATTCACAACACTCTCTGGCGGTGACGGATTCGCATTAGGCTCTGCAGATAGGCCCTCAGCCCCTAGCTCAAGCATGATGTCCCTCATGCTTGAGTTGTAGCCCACAGATTTGCCTCTGGGGCCGATCCAGCGGAAGCGCTCCTTGGTCAACAGGACCTCTTCACTCTCGCCATCATCATAAGCAATGAGGTATTCTCCTGTCTCTTCCCGGTAGGAAGTGACCTGACCCTGCTCAACCAAAACCAAGAAGCAATCAGCCACCCTGCAGAATAACTTGAAAAGAAGGTGGCCAAGGTCAATGCACAAAGGAGTCATTCTCATGTCTCACCAGCGATGACCATCAAACACTTTCCAACCTTGAGACTCATGAACCCTTGCTGAAAGCAGTCTGTGCCAACCAGTGACCAAGCATCAAGCAAGCAAGCAAGCTAATCCCCACACATGGCAACACTCCCACTGGCTGTGGACACCAGATCAGTCCACAAGGTTGAAGTTAGCATACAACAGCCGATTCTCTCTCCAGGATAGGCATTGTTGCTACTTGCAACTGTGGGAATGCGATTTCCAGCAAATACTAGCAACATCTACTCACCCTGTAGTGCCTCATGTCTTCCTCCCACCAGATGGCCACACGTGTCCGGAGAATGTTTAAATGGGGATTGGCTGGAACTTGGCTTGTTGCAGCACCTGATGGCTTGTTTGGGCTCTTGCGCTGTCGCAGCCTCCGAAACACCACTTCATGGTTGTTTTCCAATTTTCTGGCGCCATTTTCTGCCCCCTGTACAGCAAGTCAACATTGTAAGCCCAAAAGGGTTGATATTTTGCAATGAATGGGATGCCATTCACATGGGAATATATTCAATAAGCACGCATGCACTTATAAGTTGCTATCGCTGGCTCAGAAAGTACACAGGGAAGTGTGAAAGCAAGCATTCTGGCAGGCACAGAGTACTTTCAACCGATGAGAATGAACAGGGCTTGAGACATAGACAATAAACACAGACAGTGTTGTCTCACATCAATTATACTAGGTGAACATAAGAATGGGATAAACAGTAGGGGTGTTGCCCTGGATAACAGCACCCCATTTGTGAAACGGCAGTTAGCTTAACACACATATGTACATACTTTAAACACAAGTGCATGCACCAACATTCTGCAAGCACACTGCAACAGGGCACAAGGCAACAAGGCGATTTGGTTTCTGCAATGATACACAATACAAAGCTAGTCAACTTCATGGGTTTTGCATTGAGCACATATGTAGGCTGCAACCCTCCTCACAGGGTCATTCGATTTTCAGTACCTTTGTGTTGTCAGAAGAGGTGCCTGGAGTCTTCCCACCAGATCTCTTGGATGTCGCTGCTGCAAGAAACAAAGCAGCTGAGACAATAGGCACACAAGCATCTACATTCTGGAATCTGTCTGTAGGGTATGCTTTGCATCTGAGCATCACTTCTGATCAGGCACACAAACCAATCACAAAGCAGTCCCATGAAAGAGAACCATGGCAGTTCCCTTCAGGGGACATTACAAGTAGGATGCGATTCTGTACCATACGTTCCTGTCTTCAAGAGAACAATCTTGCACTTTCTGATCCGAGCAATTCAATTCAACATGTTAACTTGGAAAATGACCTGGCACAGCCCTGGGGCAACTTGTGTCCAGCCCACATCGAACAATAAAGTTCATCAGCAGTTGCAAACATTTATCACAGGCACAGTAATGGGAGAAGTTGGATAATGAAATCTCAAACATCCACCAGCACAGTATGTACCATAAACAATGCACTTGGGCTGTTGACATTTTAGAGGTGCCCAACAGTATCCTTAGCCCAACATGCAGATGCTCAAGTGGCAAAGTGTGAAGCAAGACCCAACACTTCCACCACAAAGTGAACCCCTTTATCAGCTTCGAAAAGAACGATTCAGCACTCCAGTTTAGTGGACTAGATTGCTCAAGGTTGCAGGGACAAAAAAATTGCTTGTTGTTTTGAGGCATATGCCACAATCCTCCAAGCAGCCTTGCTGCTGAAATGGGGCTAAATGCATTGAAAAACAAAAAAATCGACCCCCACCACAGTGAGCATAGAGTCTTGGAGAACCCTCACCAGACGGCTGAGAGGGCTGCTGCTTGTCATGGTCATTCGTCTGCACTTCTGCCGTGCTGGTCTTGCACGAATCAACCACAGGAGCCCTGAGCACCAGTAGGTGGAACAAATCGGTCATGATTGCAAACACAGCTGAAGTGAGCCAAGCCAGCAGGAAGCTACCACACTGTGATGTGCTTCCTATGCTGTCGACCACGTTCAGGTTTGACTTCTTTCAGCCAAGAAAAGTGCTACACCGAGCCCATGCCATGCACTGTTTCAGGAAACTAGATGCAGAAAGAGTGAGGTGGGTTGACGAAAGTGAAAAAAACAACGGATCCTGCGCAACGGGCCCACTGTACTTTACCCCCTATACTGCTGAGCAAAATGGCAATTCAACACTGGGTTGTACTTTTAACGTCATCCGCCCCAGGCATAGACCTGACAGACCCATTTGGTTGCGAGGTCAGTTCGCCAACCTGCCCACCAGCACACACGACGCACATGACACATTCGCCGGCCACACTCCGGTGCACATATCCGCACGCGGTGAGCCCAAGGCGGGCAGACACGCACCGCTTGTCCCCTGCCGCAGGGCAGTTGTCGCCTTCGCAGCCTGCGCGCTCACTTCCCGCGCCCCCCTCCGCGTCGTCCGCTCCGCCGCCGGATTGTGCCAGCCTGGGGTCCATCACCCCGCTGGAGACCTCCTCCTCTCTGCTGGCGCTCTCCGCCCCGTTGGCCGTCGCTCCCGATCTTGGCCCCACTCCCAGCAGGTCCTTGTTCCTCTTGCCACGCGCCGTGGGCGACCTACCCGAAGAGTCCAGTCCGGAATCTTTGCGCGGCCGTTTCCTCGACTCCCTGCCCGATGCGGGCTTCTCCACCCACAGGACGGCCTCCTCTCGAAGACTGTAATCTCTCACGTCCCCGTCACAAAACCTGACAATATGCCGGCCGGTCTTCTGGTCAAAGCTCTTCACGTATCCCACGTACCAGCGCCCCATCTCACTCCAGTACACCTTCACCTTCCAGCCGATCGCCGCCTCCTGCCCCGGGAAGTCCTTGAAGGTAGGGTTTGGCGGGGCGCCAGCGGGGTGTGGCGCCAGCCAACGGAAGATGCTCCTTCCCAGGCACAACCACCGCTCCTGCCCGTCGCTGTTACTTCGAAAGCGGTGTCGTCCTGAGTCCCTTTCAAAGGCCGTTATCTTGCCGTCCTCCCAGACCGCAGCAGCGACGTCCCGAACAGTCGCCGGCCTCCCAACGGCTTCCTGGCCAGCCACCAGCTCTACCCCGCCCTGCTGCTTCTTTCGATGAGAATCGTCAACCTTCCCCGAGCTCATGCCCAGGTCCGGCGCGGAGATCAGGGGCACCTCAACAACCATCCACCGCGGCGGAAGGACCCGCAGTCGATGCGCACAGCCGTCTCACCAGGGAACTTAAAGTGTGTGCGGCACCCGTCCAGGCTCGTCAGCGCGCCAGGGAGGTGGAGGCCCGCACGTGCTCCACGCCGCAGCCTTCCCCTGCACAGCAGTCGTCTTCTCAGGAGGCCAAAGCCGCAGCGCACACAACAACACAACATCGCAGACCCAAATTCAGCTGGGGACCCCTGGGCGGCGATCCGCCCGCAGGGAGGCCGGGTGGCAGTCGTCCGGTGCGATCGAGCCCCGCCCCGCCCGTGCGGCCCCCAGCCAGCCCGGTCTGCCCACATCCAGTGTGCCCCGTCGGTCACCAGGCCCCAGCGCGCGGACATCGCCGCGGTCAAAATTGTAGGTCGATATTTTTGTCCGCCGCACGCGATCTCACATCCAAAGCTTCAGTCGCCAGCTGGCGCCCGCCCCCTCGCTATGAACAGCGTCCGCGGTGTGCGGACTTCGACGGGATGCGGATTCCAGACAATTACAGCGGAGAGCGCCTCCCAGGCGGGGACAACTCCCAGCGGGAAGACACCTAACACCACGCGGACGCGCATCCAGGGGCCACCACTTCCCGCCAATGCACACCACAACAATGGCGGCCAACGAAAAGAGGCGGGGCAACACTCCTCAGGCAGCCAGCACCCGGCACCACAAGCCGCACCTGCTGTCATGTGCCCCGCCGCACACCCACAGCCGCGGAAGTCGCGGCGGCGTGAACCTGCGGCTTGTCGGCCCTCCCAGTCGGCCTGCCGGAATTCGACAGCGCCAGCGAGTCCGCGAAGCGACTGTCGGCTCTCGGGTCCAAAACGGCGCTTCTTGGCAAACAGAATGCCACAACGCCAACCACCCGCCAAGCAAGCAGATGAGAAAGCCAGGCGGCTCGACAGCGTTGGGGTGGTGGAGAGGAGGTGGTTGCCGGTGCGACATGGGGAACGCCAGAGAAACACCCCATAATGAGCTGTCAGTCGGACAGGATGGCTGTCATCGTCCCGTCTTCCCTCCCTGAAATTTGGATGGTGTTTGTTTGGGCAGTGGATGGGTAGCACCGAGGGTGCAACGCCATCCTGCACATACAGTGCACTCCCAGGTCACCCACGCCTTCATTCCCTGCTGCTTGTGGCCACCAGCGCCAAGTCCACACTGCCATCCAGTCTCAAACAGCCGTGTGCCGTATCATCAAAACGCATCCAACCATCCAACGGGCAGCCTGAGGCATGGTCATAGGAAACACAATTCTTGTTCTGAAACATCCATTCCCTCAGCGTTCTAGAATGTGCACTTCGCGGCAACATCAAAATCCCTCCAATGCACCTGGCCATCGCAGCAGGATGGGACTGCCAGCATCTCAATTTCGTCAACTTCATCCACTGCCACCTTCCCAGGACCTCTACCAAAGCAGGCTTCCGTCCAAAACATGAGAAGGGGCTGCAGTTTAGTACATCCAGGGGCCATCTGCAGGTGTCTTCCAGAGTGGGGCTCACTACCACAGCCATGAAAGGCAATCTTCCAGCAGCTTGGCAAACATGGTTTCTACAGTTTGCGACGAGCCGCAGCTATCCGCAGCTGCAAAGCATCCATCGACCCAACTCCAGTCAAAATGCCACCAGCAAAGCACAAAGCATTCTGCCACCCTAGCCAACCCTGTGCCAGCGTCTGCTGTATGGCTATGGTCGGGCCGATTGCAGTTCCCCAATGAAGGTGCCATGGCAATGCGCTTCCCATGTGGAAACTCGTTCTATGCTGCCATACTCGCAACTACCACACGTCTCAAGCATTCACACCTGTGAGCTGAAACTATGCAGTAACCCCTGCAGTCCAACATGCTGGGCTATTATGATGCTGCCCCAATTTATAATTCTTGGCCACCTGCACCAGTGGGGGATTGCAATTCCATATTCATACATGCCAAGAAGCAACTGCCACTTTTGCATTGCCATGTTCTAAACAGCTGGAGATTCACAGCGTGCATCGTCCACAAGAAGCCAGGTTGAAATCCTTGTCAGAAACTCTGTTGGGGACACTATGTCAAAACCACCAATTTCCTCAAGCTTTGCCACCAAGGTGACAACATCAGGAACTCCATAGTCCCACACAAACACAGGTATCATGGAATACCCAAGAGGCGATGTTGGGTCTTTGGGCATTGCTTCAAGTTTATCCAACAGTGTTGTCACATTGTCTGCCCACCAAGCAAGCTGGTACCTTGGCAAAACCACTGGCACTCCAGCAGGTGTTCTGTTGATCTCTCCATGTTCTGCAGACGCCTGATGCACAAAGTATCAAAGAGGCCAAAGGAATCTTAGCACCATTCACAGTCCAATCCACTATATTGCAGGGTCAATGGGCTCCACACTCACTGCTGATAAGAGGACAATGGATCTTCTTGTTTGATCTTGAATGTCACAATGTTGGTTCTTTGCAAGGCAAAATGCATGACATCATTCTGAGACGACTCCTGCAGTAAAAGGTCCACATGACCATGCAGGCAGCACACATTGCACCAGTGAACACGTGCCTTTGTCAAGGTGATGGTGCCTGGGCAATGTTCTGGCAAGCTTTTGACACTCTCAAATTGTAGTAGACTCACATGCCAGTCATAGCCAATGGGGAGTTGCAAGCATCAATACCTTGGACATCCAGAACACCCCTTGAATCACATCCTCTTCTGCATTGTCCCTATCCTTTGTCCCTGTTGTCATCAAGTTTGCTGCTTCTTGAGAGTACTCCCATCCCAGCACATTCAACACAGTCATTCCAGTCTTCTTCATATGGTCCAAAGTCAAGTCTGCGAAATCCCCCAGTTTCTCCCTTCCATCTGGTGCCTTCAGCATCAGGTCCGGATAGACATACCCAAGGCCAGAGGGGGCTGCCAAGAAAGTGTCATTGGAAGTAGCCGTCATGTAGAGATAGTGCATGACCACTGGCGCCAAAGAGTCCAGGGCTGGGGACAAGGTCCAACCCAGGGGCACCTGACCCCGCAAAGGGGAGGCCCACCAACTGCATGACGTGGAGCAGCAGAGATTCATGTCATCAGCTCGCATTCTGCAGTTCACATGCTAGCAAATTTCCCCATCGCAAATGATATGACCTCAGCTTCCAGTGCATGATTCACCAGAATTGGAAAACAGTGCTGGAAAACGGAGCAGACGTCACAAATGCTTGAATTCAAAAGTTTTGCAGGCAGGAACTGGCACAGAATCTCTTGTGAGTTGCCATAATGATGTAACAGTTCGATTGGAAGCTATGTGATACACTGCAACGAAGACTCCCACCAAAAATAGCATGAAATTCTAATGTACCTTGAACTTGTCGCAAAGTTTGAGAGGAGCCACTGGATGTTATCTCCATCAGTCAGGAAAAATGTGACAGTGTGTACTGACGTTGATCGTGTATTTGCCACAGAGCAGTGTCCAGCTGTTGCCCTTGTGCTGGTCTCCCCTTTTTGTGATAACAGTGACAGCCATTGGACACTGGGAATGTGGTAGTTCGTCAGAGTCGCCAGATTCAAGGCCCAGTCTGCTGCATGAACCATGTGCCCATAATGTGATGTTGTCTGAACCATGTCCTCCTCAGATCGTCCCCATCCAAAGACAGTTGCTGGTGTCTTTAGCCAAGACATCACCTTTCAGACAACACAAGAAGTAAAGAAGACACATTAAGCGACAAGAATTCACAGCAGGCATGTGAATGCTTCCATCAATAGGATTCAATGCATCCCCACCAGTTTGAAAGTGATGGCACATACTAAAGCATCCACAGCCATTCTTATTCAGATTTGCTGCCACCAGCAAAATGGGAGCAACCTATAGCGATGTACGCTGCTCACAAATGTTGGCAGCTCACCCACAAAAAAAACACCACAACAAATGACTGGCTCTTGCTTACTCGCGTGACTATCTCATCTGACATGTTCTCTGCAAAAAAAGTAATTCCTCTGGAGAAGATGGTGAAATCTGCAAGGTAACTCCCCTTTGCAGGCTCTTGCATGGAAACCGTGCAGCGGCTGAACTGTGCACTGCCATTCAGAGCGTTGATGACCTGGCCACATGTGGCACACACAAATGTTTGTGAATTGCACAAGAGCATGTTCAACCGCAGATAACCCCACCAACAGATACAGTTGACAGCAACTTGAAAACATCCCGCCCATTGGCAGGATAACTGATAGCAGGAACACAACCCCATGTATTCAACTGGCGAAGCACACAACAGCGGCACAGCAACTGAACGAGCTGCGGCCGTGCACAAGTTTTCAGCTTCCCAACAGCAATCAATCACAGATATTGGAGCACAGAGACAACTAGAGTGCTGGACAAACTGTCCTTGACAGTTCTATTCCAATGAATAGACAGTCTCCAGCTTGGCAAAGCAGCTTCACACAGGATATTGAAAATTTCAAGTCATACCTCCAACACAGACATGTTCCTGACATCCATAACCAGTCCAACACCATGCTCTTGCAGCAAGATCTCTGTGACCTCTGTGGCCACTACAACGTTGCCATCCAGGCCACTTGCTGCTGTCAATGCACTATTTGGCTGGGACGCATCACCCAAGACATAGCCTGTTACTCTCTCCACCAAATAGGATAGCAGCTGTCGGGCAGATTCCACTTCTGTCACAGTTGTTACTAAGTTGAAGTCCAAAAGCAAGTCCAACCACATTGGTGCCGCATTTGTTTGAGGACCAGGTGGCCCATCACTTTGGTTGCGGTAGACTGCTGGTGCGGTTCGTGCACTGACACCTTGATGCAGCAGAACAGTAGACAGAGCTCAGCTCCAAGGGCGCAAAGCAGGCTGAAACGACAATGCTCACCAGGAGCAGGACAGTACTGCATCTATCTGTGGTCAAGCAAGGAAAACTGCGATTTGCAAAATGCGGTGTATCCGATGGACAGCAGGAAAGAAACAAATCGAAACAACTGAACAACTGTAATCAGCCACAAACTACCACAGAGACACTTGATGCGACACTGGACACGGTGCTGGTCGTAATCTACAAGGTAGGCTGCTGATTGAACATCCTTGAAAATGCACTGAGGGGCACAGTCTTCAATATCAGTACACAGTTCCTTGTCAACTGCTTCGAGCGCACTACTACCCATACCATCACGCCCAATTGTACGTGGCCATTCAGGGGCACGTGCACACTGCTACTCTGCCTATGTTCAGCCACACAATGCAAACTCAACAATGCTGTCAACATTTCATGCGCCTCCTTGCCTTGCAGCGATTGAACCAGGAGCTGGTCATCAATGGACCAGCTGTAGTCATCAACTACGTAGAGGTGGTCTGAGGTATTGACACCTCGCGTCGCAGGTGGATACCAAATGTCCAAGCAGTTGCCATGCACAAGCTGCTGCAACATAAACACAGCAACAAGCATGCAGCAGAACTGAACATGAAGCAGACAGTTGGCCATTCGATCCTGCAATGTAAGCACAAAATTCTACACATTCATCAATGGCTCAAGACTTGGCATCCATATCAACGCCTTGTGTGGCAGTGTATCCACAGAAAGTTAAGGAGCATTCAGCAAGGCATCTTGAGATGGTTTCATGTGTGCTCCAGGAATCAACTTATCCCATATTTGCACAAAAGAATCAATTGTGCAAGCACATGTGAATATAGGTTTGCTTGGAATTGGTCTGGCCATTTGCCTTTTGGCTACATTGCATAGCTGCCGATGCTTTCTTTTCTAGGTCGGACAACCAACCACAAGTGAGGGCTGCTTGCTTCTCTGCCCCATATAATTGATTGTGTGCACATGCACATGTTTGGTATAAGGGCCTCCATGACAAACAGAAGTTCTACCGCCGATGTAAGGGACTGGACATCACAGCGCTGTGCTGTTCACTCCAGTTAGAACTGTACACTGCCTTTGGACACGGTGTGTTATTGCACTCTGTAACACTGAAACACCTATAACAATGTGCTCCTTGGACAATTGCCTGACAAATTCCGACCCAGTCGTGATCCACAGTTGCAATGCCCACGAGCCAGCCTGATTGGACCGCACTATTTGTTCCTCATGTTCCACGCTCTACCCACCCTGCGGACTTGCCAAGCACACGCGTTGGAAAATTGTTGTCAACGCCCCTGTGCAGGTTGCTGTGATGCGTCAGCCCACAGCCACGCGTCGCACAACGCCCGTTTAATATACCCTCTGTTGTACAATGTTTCCACGCGTTTGCAGTGGTGCGAGCCCAGAACTGGGCTGCGAACAAATGAGGCTGTCCGCACTACACAGGGGTATGCTCGCTTAGCAGTGGTGATTCAGCACCAAACGCTGCAAGGACGAGTGCGTTGATCGACACGCCCAATTCGGTGGCCACAGGATAGCGAGAACAGCATTCAAGCTGTGAGAGGACAGTTTACACAAGACAAACAACACACAAGACGTAAAGTGTATAGCATATTGACATTGCAAGTCACCGATGACAACTGCGCTCAGGAAGCCCTTGCGCCCAAATTTGTAGCACGGGAGCTCTTAGAGAAGCATCCAGGCGACACACCCTTCTCTACCGTGTGGCCACAGAACAGGGCCCTTCCTCGAATGTGCAACCCAGAACGTCCCGAAGTCCTCAAGTTACAGCTACGAGGCAAGAACTGGTAGCTACACACAGGTTCACGCCTCCACAGCCCCTGCAAGATACCGCGTTGCCTTCATCGACAGCGGGCGTTATATCGCCGAAACGCTTCGACGGCACCAGTGGCAAGACAGCGATCGAGGGGAACTGGTATGCTTGTTCTTTCAAGTTTTTGCGGCATGCCCAGACAACAACTGCTGATGTCATGTTCAATCCGCCAGAAAAACAACGATTATGAGATGGTCAAGGCGCCAAGGTACGGTTTTGGGACCATACGGTAGGGGAACACGCTCGGAAAGCTCGTCACAAACGCACACTAGCTACAAGGCCAGCTGTTGAAATGCAAACATCTGAGTCCTTTTCCAAGGTTGTGAAGACCTAAATATCATGTTAACATCAAAAAAGTGTTGGATGGCCATCATGTGTGACTGCCTCGTACGGCTGGTGAGTCACGGCCACGTATACTTACTCTAGAGAATATGCCCAACCCAGATCCCCAAGCAAAGGGATCCCAAAGACACACAACAACCTATTACTATTCCAGCTGCAAATGCACAGGCCAGCTGAAAGTGGTTTGAGCTGGTGACTGGACCAGCAATCACACCTGTTACAGGTTGTGACGTGATGGGTGCTGCTTCCCTTTCCTGTCTGTTCTGGCAACGCCTTCTGCGCTCAGAATTCCACAGGAAGTTCAATTGCCCTTTCAATCTGGTTATCTCCCTGGCCAGACTGGCTAGTTGGAGAGATTCTCCGCGCATAAATGACAGCAAATTACACTTAAACTGGTTGAACACCCGTTGAAACACTCTTGTAAGACGTGCAAAAATAATAGGACCACAAGTGAGTAAGTTTACACTGAGTAGTGTCAGGAACAGACCGCCTGCAACTTTCCAGAATTTCGACAACTAGTTGGTGTTGATGAATATACCCAGCCAATCCTTTGGGCTGGTATCTTGGCTATGTATAGTGCCCAAGGATACTAGCACATCATCAGCATACACCTTTACATCCAGATTTTCTTTAATTTAGGAGAAAGATCTTATGGTAACTTGTGCGTTAATTTTCAATCACTTTCTCTGACTGTACCGCACTAACCGGTACCCGGGGGTATCGACAACTCCCCTACAGTAACCGGCCCAAGAGGGCTACGGTTACGATAGTGTAGGGGTTAGAGTGCTTAGACCGGCACTAGGGCGGTGGCCACCGGTACCTGGAGTACCCCCAGGTACCGGCGCTCGGGTGTGGCCCCAAGTACGTAGTACTTGGGGTCCGGTGCTGGGTCCCGGCTTAATGGCCTTCGAGCGCCCGCACCGGCAGCTCTCTCTCACCCCTTGTTGCGCGCTGCCGCGCAACATTTGGTTTCGGAGCCGGGTTCTCGCGAACCCGGCGGCCTTTTTCAGCCCCACCCACCCCTCGCGGTGCGGCCCCCCCTCCTCGATTGTAGGGCCGCTCCGCCTCCCTCCGATCGCCGCCTTCGCCGAGTTCAAGCCATCTCCATCGCCATGTCCGAGGAGGCCACTTCCAGCCAGGCCATCGGCGCCGACGGCGATGATCAGCCGATGCCGGCGGTCTGTGCGGCGCAGGCGAGCGGGGTGGTCTCCACCCAACCGATCGGCACGCCCCTTCGCGCCCATTCGGCCGAGGGGGGCACAATTTTCGAATCGGCTGGGGGGGACCTGTACCTCCCATCCTCCCCCCCTCGGGCGAGTACGGCCACGGCGGTGCGCCCGATCGTTGGGGCGCCCGATGCCTTGTCTCGCAGCCCGAACCGGCCCCCTCGCCCTGCTGTTTTGGATCCGCTGGACCTGCCTAATGCCCGCGATTTGGCCGGGCAGCTCCTGCCATTTTTGGAGGAGCATATCCGCCAAATGTTGGCGGGCGTGGGTCCCTCCAGCCGCCTGCCCCCCTTGCCGCATTCCGGTCCGCTCCCGGCCCTCACCCCTACCGCCCCGCTGCCCATTTTTTCGGGGGCTGAAGGGGGGGCCCTCTCGGGTTCTTTGTCTCCAATTCCCTCCTCCTTGGCGGGTTCTGTGGCGGCCTTGGCTGTGGCCCCACCCGCCTCGAGCTTGGAGGCATTCTATGGTCTTGGGAACCCGCTGAATCCCCCGATCGGCTCCCTGCTGCCTGCTGGCTCGGGATCCCGGGGTGTTGTGTCTCCAATTTCCCCCTCCTTGGCGGGTTCTGTGGCGGCCTTGGCTGTGGCCCCACCCGCCTCGGGCATGGAGGCATTCTCCGGGCTTGGGCACCAGCTGAATCCCCCGATCGGCTCCCTGCTGCCTGCTGGCTCGGGATCCCGGGGTGTTGTGTCTCTAATTTCCCCCTCCTTGGCGGGTTCTGTGGCGGCCTTGGCTGTGGCCCCACCCGCCTCGGGCATGGAGGCATTCTCCGGGCTTGGGCACCAGCTGAATCCCCCGATCGGCTCCCTGCTGCCTGCTGGCTCGGGATCCCGGGGTGCTGTTTTGCCTGTGCCTCCCCTCTCTGCCCTCCCGCAGGTTGCCCCGCCATCCTTGGGATCAGCTTCCACCGACGAGCTCTCTCGCCAGGTGGTCTTCCTCCAGGGCCAGTTGTCCGCCCTGGAGGCCTTTCCTCGAGGGTCTGCTGCCGCCCCGCCCGGCTCTCCTCCGCTCCCCCGGGGGGTCCCCTCGCTGCCTACCTTCTCCGGCGATCCCAAGGGCGATCGTTGGGACCAGTTTCTGGTCCACTTCGACGCCCACTACCGCCTCTGCAACCGCGACCGGGATGACGCCTACCGCATCAACCTCCTCCCGGTCCTTCTCAAGGGGGCCGCTGCAGCTCACTGGCGCCTGCACTTGCAGGCCAATCCCGCGCCCACCACCTGGGAGGAGGCCCAGGCGATCATGCGGTGCAGGCCCTTCGCGCGCCCCCCAACCTTACTGGGTCTGACGATGCAGATCCAGGAATTGGCCGCTCACCCCCCCGCCACTGTCTTTGAGTTCCTCACCCGCATGGACACGCTGTTCGGTGAGCGGGGCACCACGGGGGCTGCTGTCCCGGAGATCGACCGGATCTTTTGGGTTTACAGCAGCTTGCCTGAGTCGCTCCGCACGCGTTTGCTAGCCGATCCCATGGGTCAGGCTTGGGGGGCGCACTCGCACCAGCAGTTCAGGCAGCTCTTGTGGTCGTTCATTCATCACGATCCTGCCCTTGGCCGCATTCCCAGTCGTGCTGGTTCCTCTCGCTCCTTGGCCGTGCGTGATCGTCTAGGTGATCGATTCCTCACGGGGCGTAAGCGCTCCTTTGATGGGGCGGATCCTTCCCGCCCTCCGGTTCGCAGCCGCCGGGGATCCGACCTTCCGCCTGACGATCCGGCTGAGGGGGTGCCTCTGGCTGGTCGCCTCCCCCACGCCCTCTGGATGGCCACCCACGCCCGTGGACCACATGGCGCCTGCGTCTGGTGCTGGGAGGAGTACACCCAGCCCCGCAGGAGGAGCGATCCACCTCACTGCGCCTTCCAGCGAGATCGCCGTCGCCACTTGCCCCCTCCTGATTGGCTGGTGAGTCTCCCTGCCTTTTCCCCATGGTGCTCTCGTTTTCTGTCCCGCTCCGGCTTGTGGCACCCATTTTGGGTGAGGGGTCGCCTTCTGCTCCCCTTTCGTCTACCTTGTCCTCGGGAGTGCCTGGCCATTCTCTCTTGCCCTGTTGTTCTGATGTGGATTCTCGGGGGGAGCTCCCTTCCTTTTCGCTCCCCCCCCTGCCTCCCCTGCCTCCTCTTCCTTCCTGTTCCGTGTCTCCCTCTTCGTCTCTCGCCGTTCCGGCGCCCTCTCTCCCGCCCTCCGCCTCAGTGTCGCGTTTGATCCCGCTCTCTTCCTTC